TGAGTTGAAATAAATCAGAGAACTCCCTATCTTGGAATTTCTTCCTTAGTTCAAAACTCAAACCCCCTTGCGCCAGCTTGACGAACTCCCTCTCCGTCAAGTTAACAAAGCAACGGTTACGGGCATTCTTGAAGTTAGTCAAAAAATGCTCAACCGATTCCCCTGGTTGTTGGCGCATACGTGCCAAGTCAGCCATGGACACCTCGGGCTCAGATCTGTAAAACTGAGCGTGGAAGACTTGTTCCATCTGTTGCCAAGTCTGGATGGAGTTAGACGGCAAGTTGACGTACCAAGCAAAAGCCGGTCCTGTCAGCGAGTTTCCAAACAGTCTTAACTTGACGAAATCTCCCACATCGCCACATTGGACAGTGAAACGTCCAACGTGCTCTACAGTGGACTGATCTCCAGTTCCTGTGAATGTGGCAAACTCGGGAACTCTGAATCCCCTTGGAAATGGGTAAAGCCTATCTACCCATTCTGGGTACGGCTTACGGTATACAGGTGGCATAGCAGGTCTCACTCCCATGCCAAACTGCTCCGTGAGGAGTTGAGCCACCTGATCTCTAAGAGTGTTGGCCTCATGCCCCCCTTGCCCCCCTGGCGGGACGAACCCCATGGGGTCCACACCATGCCCATGGACTTGGGGTGGTATGTGTGCTGGGTAAGCACGTGGAGGAACTTGATCCCCAACACCTAACCTTCCTCCCCCACCCATGTTAGGAGGAGCTACGTAGGGTCTCGCCACCGGGATGGATGGCGGTTGTTCAACATGGGTGTTGAAGGTAGTGGCGAAATTTTCGCCACGTGGGGGAAATTCCCCAACTCCCACGTTAACTGAAGCCTCCACTTGAGTGGTGGGGGGAATCTCGCCGCGATTCACGGGGTGAGAGGTTGGTTGGGTTGTCACCGGCGGCGGTAGGTTATCTTGCCGTGGTTGGCCATTCCGGCCACCGACAGGAGAAAAATTTGCATTGTTTGGAGTTGAACTTGTGCCATCAATTGGCAAAGCTCGTGATTGTACCACTGGTGTGGTCAAAATTCTCCTAAACTCATCAAAATCATTCCTATTTTTAGTTACAACTTCAAAAAGTTGACTTAAACGCCTATCTACACAGGAGTTAAGACAATCAATTTGAGAATTTACCTGAAGAGTGTTGCCAGCCAAAGCTTCCCCCATGAATTGACGAAGTGACCCAATGGCAGCAACTACATCAACGTTGGAGTTTGGTGCCGGCGGCGGCAAGGCTTCCCCGCCGTCATTGTCACCGGAAACCGCTTCAGCTAACCGGCCATGTTCAATGTTGGCCACTTGATCCTCCACAAACCCTGGCGGAGCATCACTTTCCTGATTCTTTCGCCTAGGAGCCATCGAATCAAACACACAGTCGTCCCACCAGGTGTGCCAATTTGTTTTCCGGCGAGAAAACTTGCGTTGAAATGAATTGAATGCACCTTTGACTTCTTTGGACAACGATCACTAAACACGGTTCACACCTCTTCAAACACAGTTCGAACGAGGGTGTTTGATTGATGGTTTTTGGGAACGAGATCTAAATTAAATTACTTCTACTCCTATGGAGGTTCGGTGAGAGCTCCAAACTACGAACTACATCTATGGCTACATGATAGAGAAAAGGTAAAGGATAAACTTGACATGTGTGTCAGAGTGTTGGTTTTGGAACCTTTGTCTCTGTCGACCCCTCCTCTTATTTATAGCCCCGAGGAGGTAACCGCCATAGAAAACCGCTTTTTGGATAACTGCTACTAAGAACCGCTCCTCCTTCTTCGGTAATAAACCGCCTCTTGGACAACTCCCAAAAAAGAACCGCTACTTGCTTCCTCGGAGTGGTAGTTACTCCTTCAACCGCCTAGGTGCCTCTCTTGGAACTGTCGTGGGTTTTGGAGTGTAGCTTGCCTCGCCTAGTCTTGTTCTGAATCTCGTGCCATGCTAGTCTTTTGACGAGCATGTAGTGTCTCGCAAAGGGGGTCATGGTCTTCTTGTCTCGCGGCCATGGACTTCTTACTCATGTCCATGGCCTTCTTGTCTTACGGCCATGAACTTCTTACTCATGTCCATGGCCTTCTTGTCTCGCGGCCATGGACTTCTTACTCATGTCCATGGCCTTCTCGTCTCGCGGCCATGGACTTCCTACTCATGTCCATGGCCTTCTCGTCTCGCGGCCATGGACTTCTTACTCATGTCCATGGCCTTCTCATGAGGCGGCATGGCCTTCTCAGACTTAGTTTATTTTTTAGTCATTAGGCCTTGGTCATGGGGCGGCATGGCCTCTTCATGAAGTGACATGTACTTCTTCCAGACTTAGTTAAATTTTCACTCCTTCGGTCTCATTGGTGAGGCGGCATGGCCTCTTCGTTGAGGCGGCATGGCCTCTCTTTAGACTTAGTGGCTTGGGCCTAAAATCAATATCCATAAGGCCCAACTGAAACAACATTAATTGTTCTAACGGGTGTGGCCTTATAAACTCATTAATTATCTTGTAACTCACCAATGTGGTACAAGACAAATTTTATGGTGTAAACAGAATCAAATCATCACATAGTTCGGTTTGGACGGTGAAGAATGGTTTGCTTTGATTAATGGTTTGTATTGGGGTGGCTATACGGTCCGGTCCGGTTAAATTGGACCAAATTGATCCGGTTCCAGTCCGGTCTTTTCGGGAATATAAGGACCAAAAATTGGATTGGATACAGTCCGGTCTTGACCCGGTCCGGTCCCAATTTGATCTTGATTTTAGATTGAGCTTGTGGGGGTTTGAGTGTTGGGGTCTCTTATCCGGGTTTTTTTACCTCAAATCTAATCCCGAATATGAGATTGGATTGTTTGCTATCCGGTTCCGGTCCGGGTTATACGGTCCGGTTTCGGGTAAAACCAAACAGTCCGGACCAAATAGCCAACCCTAGACTGTATTACTGACTGTTTCGTTGTCCTAATTAAATTCTTCGGTCCAAATAGTAATCTCTCGAACCGCAGATCGTGAACTCGTCTCAACTTCTCAACCCTAGTTCTCACGTTCGTTTGTAATTTTCTTGTAATCTCCTGCGTTCATTTTACCTTCCTCCTAACAAGGTCTTATGATACTCTTCGAAACAAATCCAACGTATCAAATTACACCAAAACCACTCAGAGTACACATTAAATACTTGTAAATCTAGCCGGTAGTGACGTGGAGAAACATTGCACGTGATGCACGAGTAATAGAAAATATATTAAATGATTCTCTTCACAGTACAACTCGGAGATATGCAAAAAGATATAGACAGAGGCGTATTTATAATATAATTATATATAGATCGACCGGTCAAATATAGTCTTCTCAGACACCGATATGCATGTAATTAATTTAACTATAATTATGTTTAAATAATAATACTACACGTGAATTCTGCTGCATTCCTGCCTAATCATTTTTTGAAAAATTAACGACAACAATAACGCAGATGATACGCGCTGAAATTGAACAAATTCGTTTGGGATATAGTCATATAGATGAGACAAGCTTGAGAAAAGAGTTGTTATCTCTAACGAAATTTTATTTAGCAGCAAACTAGATTATACACATACAAACATAACAGCAGATTAATACTGGTGGATTTATTACACCCGATCAACATACTTCACGATCCGTCGTACCACAACATAAACCAAATGGTGAAAACTTAAAATTATAGAACTATATATTATTTGGCCTGACTGGGAAAATCTCCATTACATAGTATATATCCTTCTTGATCTCATCCACTCCCTCATCAAACACGACAACAACATGAACTATATATACTTGACCGACCCGCAGCGGCGGATCCAGAACACAGAAGAGCACTGGGCCGCCTTTCATTAAAAAATTAGAACCGTAAAATAACATTATAGTTTTTTTATAATATAAATTGTACACGACGGTATTTTAATTTAGCGAATGCATCAATTATGGAGTCCACATCCATACCAATAGTATACATTGTTTTAAATAAAATACTTTAGCAATCGGCTAGAAATTCCTCGTTCATTTTGTTGCGAAATCAGTTTTCATATGTTTCATTGTTGAAAAGGTTCTCTTTGTAGTAGTTGTTGATACGAGCAGCGTCAACACTAGACAAATCAATCGTGCATTGTGTGTCCATACCTATATCCACTAACTGCTTTAGTAAATTTTCAAGGGAACAAACCTCATATTTCTTATAGTCTTTTACGTTTTAGACTTTTACAATTTTAGATTTCATTGTTTTTTTTAGAAAAATAGTCTTTGGAGCTAGAATTTCTAGGCTAAATTTATAGTAGTGATTTGAATATGTTAATCTGAATCATGTTTCTAGTTACACACAATCTTATTATAAAATAACACTAGGCCGAATAACTAAAATCGAAAAATTCATAAATACTATACTAACTCCGAATCCAGAAGAGGGCTGGGCCGGGGCCCGGGGTGGCCACCCCCTGGATCCGCCACTGCCGACCCGCAACCCTAACTCCTTACACGATATCATTATGTATATTTACAAAATAGTACCTATACCTTCTAATACCATTTCTCAAATTGATGATGTTGTCGTAACAATAACTGCGGTGATATTTTTCTCAAAAAGCTATGATTCTCTGTGTTGTGGACGACAGTGGTGCGTAGCTTTGTCAATATAACTCAATATCCTCTAAAAATCGGTTGGGATTTCGTTGTAAGAGGAGTTTTTGACTCGCAAAAACTTCGTCTGTTTTTTCAATTTCAAGTTATTGTGATCGATTGAACACATATGGAAAATAAATTTTTTTATTGCTGAAACTTCGAGACACATATAACTAGAAACTTAGCGTGGAGGGAGCTAGATTGAAGCCAAGAAGGTCTACAAGTCCTCTCAAATTTCAAATATAGGTAACATTCATATGTGAAATCTCTGATAAATTTAAGAAATCGAACAATCGCGATAAGACATTCACCTCCTCCCCAAATTTATCACGGTTCAAGTCAGCCCCCGATTCACATATTTCACTAGTTGTGCCCCTCCTCCCCGTTACCGGAAAACATCATGCCGGTCAACCCACAGGAAAGTGTCTCCCTGGGGACATCCGCAAGAAATTCCACACCTTCGGCGATCACAACTCCCATCCCCATATGCAAATGCGGCTCGATGTGGCAGTGGAACGGCCAGGCCCCGGGGTTGTCGGCGACGAACCTCAGCGCCGTCCAACCAAACGGGAATATCACCGCCGTGTTCTTCAACGGCGGCCTTCTCCCCGCCTTCTCGAACAACTTCTCGTCCCCTCGCTGGAACTTGCCGTCACCGTACCCCAGCACCCAGAAGTTGTGGCCGTGCATGTGCCACGGGTGGATCTCGCTGTCGTTCGGCTGCAACGTGTTCGCGTTTTGAAGGATGACGTCCACGGTGGAGTTGAAGTCCAGCGTGTAGATCGCGTTCCCGGTCGTCGCGTTGGGGTTCGCCGGCGGCGACATGATGTCGTACCTGTTTTAGAGATAAATAAATAAATACACGAGCTATGGTAAAAGCGTTTTGGTGATGGAGAAGCGTAAAACTGTAAGCTTTTAAGTATTAAAACGCATTTTTTTAATTATATTAGTTATAAAAATTGGTGATTATATGTATAAGCGTTTTGGTGATCTAAAAAGTTAAAAGCGTAATTTTTTTTTTAATCTAAAGCACGATTTTGACTAAATTCAGACAACAACAACAATTTGATTCAATGGTATCACCATTGGTCTTGGACCTAAAAGTTCGAGGTTCAAATCCATTAAGTCAGAGATTCACTCGAGATTTCGGTGTAAAATTCATCTTTTCTTCATTATAAAAATTTGAAACAAATACTCTGTCACATATGTTGTAATTTCAAGCACTGAAATGACCTTTTTAGTATGAATGTAACAAAGAAAATTTATTCCAAAACAAATTAATTTTAAGCACTGAAATGAGGCCTCTTCTAATATAAAAAAAATTTGTTTTTCATTTGGAATATAATGAAAATGTAGATTCTATGACTTACAATTTTGTTTATTTCTTATTTTATATTTATCGACCGATATATCTCTAAAAAATTTTGAATCCACAACTAACTATTAAAAAAAACTCTTGACATATATACCAGTCGGGAAAAGTGTCCGGCGGAGGGGTCTGGTCGAAGGCGGCCTTGATGCCGTACTTGAGCGCGCCGAGGTAAGGCGTCGGAGGAAACGACAAGGAGACGTTGTTGATGGCCCACACGGTGAGTCCGTCGATCGTGTTCTGAGTGTTCAGCAGCATGATCCGACGGTCGTAATCGGCCGGAGGCGGCGGGGTGGTCCCTTCCAGCCCTTGGATCCTGTTGCTGAACGCCTTGCTCCGGTTGTAGTCGTCCCACTGCGGGGTCACCGGCGGCGGAGAGGTGGGGAACTTCGACGCGTGGTTGGGGAGGTAATTTACCAGAGCCAACGCCTGTGGGGTCTGCGGGAGCCTGCCACGTACGCCTACCGAGATCCAGTAGTTTTCGTCAGGGTTTTGGTTGGTCGTGAACAGGACGGAGTAGGTCTCGCCGGAGTAGATGTCGACGTCGGTCGTCGAGAATGGCTGGACGTAGTTCCCGTCGGCTTCCACCACCGTCACGTTGTGACCCTAGGGGGGAAAGAAAAAACTCAGTTTAGTGTTGTAACGGATTGAGAAGTCAGTAAAAACATACTGGTTCACTGATACGATATGTGTTAGCGCGCTCATCCTTCGTAAATCGTAATAATTAACTTACTCCAATGGCTAGGTTGAGGGAAGCCAAGGAAGTGGTGCTTGCAATCCTGAGCCTGTAAGTCTTGTTTGGAAGAACTTTCAATACATTGGGAGCCCATTGCTCGCCGCCGCCCAAACTGCACTCCGGTAATGCTGCGGATGAGTTATACCGCGATGCTAGGGAACAATTGTACTGTCCTCTTCCGTTAATGAGCAAACTCTGCAATTATCAGAAAACATTAAACAAAGTAAAATCCCTACTCATTTCATTAACTATACAACCAGTCTAGTGACTTATAGCTTCTTTGTTATAAAAAAAAAGTAATGAAAAAGAGACGAAAAATTGGCCATTGGCCGATTTCGAGTTTTTAAGGTGTTCAATAATATACATTTTATATCATGTTGTAAAACGTTTCCTCAAATTAAAGCTACTTATATATATTAGGACCGGGGTGACTATGCGGTCCGGTTCAATTAACTTGGCCCTAATTGATTCGGTTCCGGTCCGGTCTTTTCGGAAATATAAAGACCAAAGATTGGATTGGATACAGTCCGGTCTTGATCTGGTCCGGTCTTGGCCCGGTCTGATCCCAATTTGGTTTTGATTTTAGATTGAGCTTGTGGGGATTTGAGTGGCCTGAGGCCTCAAAGGGTGAGGAGTTGGTTAAGTTTTGGGTGTTGGGTCTTTTAAACGGTTTTCGATCCTCTTATCCGGTTTTCGATCCGGTCTCAAACGGTTTTTTACCTCAAATCTAAGCCCGAATATGAGATTGGATTGTTTGCTATTCGGTCCCATTCCGGTCCCGGTCCGGGTTATACGGCCCGGTTTCGGGTAAAACCAAACAATCCGGACCAAATAGCCAGCCCTAACATATAAGGACTTGAAGTTTACACTCATCGAGATTCATAAACAAGACCTCTCGATCATCATATAAGGGTTTTATACCATGTCAAGTACCATTTGGCTCATTAATAATGAATCTTATATAACGTAGCAAACAAAAAGTACCTGTGGTTCATTGATCCATTGGAAGGGGTCGGAGGAGAGGCCAACTTCTTGCTGATAAACGGTTTGGTGCCACCAGTCGCTGAGCAAGAGACTGAACTCTCCGTCGTATTGGAAAGGCTCCTTCTGCCCTTGGTCTCCCTCTTCCACTATCAACGACCCGTACAATCCAGCTTCTCTTTGCATCCCATAATGCCCGTGGTAAAAATAAGTCCCTGCCTGCAGAAAACGACGAGCTTCTACTCAAGTAGCCTAGGAAGAAATTTATATAGTTTAAGTAGGGTATAGTTTTAGTGTCTTAGTTGTATCTGTTTACTAAAACAATCCTCGACATATAATATAATACTAGTCGTACTACTCATACTCTAATACGAACCTTGTCGACTTTGAACTTGTAGAGGAAAGTCTGGCCAGGGTTAATGACACACTGCGAGACCGAAGCGGTCCCATCGTACCACGGCGTCGTGAACTGCCTGATGCCGTGCCAGTGGATGACGACTCCCTCGGTGTTGAGATTGTTGCTGAGCTCCACCTCAACGGTGTCCCCGACTTTGGCGGTGATGTTGGGTCCGGGGAACCCGCCGTTGATCGCCATCACCATGTTCTGCTGGCCGTCCGGCGACCAGAAGATGTTCTCCACTACCCACTTGTAGTGCAACGTGGTCGCGGCGCCCGAGGAAGCTCGGGTGGCTAGACACATTGCCATCACCGTCACGTGGAGCCGCCACCACCACCGCCGGCTGCCGTCGCCGCCGATCGATGTTGCTGCAGGCATGGTCGTCGGCCACTGTTTAAACGTGATCGTATTGTTAGATCTATGTGTATATATGTAGGGTTGGTGAAGCATGGATGAGTGATTGCACCGGTATATATAGAATAATGAGTGAATTGGTCGTTTGTTGAAAACACCTTCATAACGTCATGAAACACGAGGAATAAGACCGTTTGGACTGGTTGAGTATAGAAAAATTGTATAAAAGAGTATTATCGATCGATCAAACGAAAAAGTTTGGAGACACTAACATGATAAACGTTGATCATATCAAAATTCTGTCATTTTCCTTGTTAAAGCCTGCATCAGAATCTTGTCGTGATTAGGATACGATCGTCTTCACGATCTCTTCTTTTGTTCTCATTATGATTGGGAGAATATACGACTCGGATAGAACCGTTCGATTGCGCGCGGTCTAATTTGAATGGTTAAGAATGACTTGGTTTGATTCATGGTCTGCATTATTATTTATTTTGATATTCTTGGTATGGTTTTTTTGTCCAAAGAGTGACTTACGTCACGTGCATGGCAGACAGGATCGATCGTACGTGCACCCAACTCACTTCTCAATTCGTGTTAGCATCCATCCTTCCTCCACAGACAACACTCCAACAGGGAGCATAGACGATGATTGAGTCTCGATATGGCATTATATTAATGTTTACAGTGTTATGTTGAAAGCTGGGTTGCTTTGACTTGGTCTTTTTGTTGCTTGTTTGGATTTAGAATATCAAAATTATGTACGCATGTGGGAATTCACGTTTTGCACGGAAAAAAAAAATTTCTCGACTTTTGATTTGATGGACCAAGCAAATTGTTAATTTTTTTACTCACATATATATTATGTCTAGTCTAAACGATATTATCCATATTTTTATACTCCAGCCTCTTGATTTGAACCATACACCATATACATTATCATGACTGAGCCAATTCATGTATTATTTCCCAACCCTAATTCTCATGTCCACCGTTAATTTTCTGTGATCTCCTCGTTCATTTTACCTTCTTAAAAAAACTCTTCGTCGAAACAAATCCAACATATATACTAGGTTGCACTAAACAACCAGAGCACCCAATACTCGTAAATCTAGCTAGCTAGTAGTGACGTGGAGACACGTTGCTGTAATGCATGTAATTAAGTAATTAACTATACTTATATAACATAACTACACGTGAATTCTGCCGCATGCGCCTAATAATAATAAATGTGAAATTAGTGACAATTCACGTGCATTCTCTCTTTTTCTCTTTATCATTTTCTACCTATCCTCTAACGAAAATTAATTCAGAGACTAGATTATACCATACCAACACAATCATAGATTACCAGTAGATTTATTACACCTGAAAATCCTTCACGACCGAACAGCTACATATAAACTGAAATGGAAACATAACTACAGAAAGAAAGCAACGATACTTATCGAAAGCTAGCTAGTGCATAAATTGTGACAGCCGGTCACCCAATCATCAACGTGGGGCTGGGGCTCCCACGGGAGCCCAGGAAGCTGGGGCTAGGGCCCCAGCTGGCGGTGCAGGTGTGACCTTGGTCTGGGGAACCATCATCTGCCCTGTCAGACCACAGGAAAGGGCCTGACGGGGAATCTTCATAGTGTCCTTTTTGATCTCATCCACTCCCTCAGCAAACACGACACCCATCCCCATGTGCAGATGCGGCTCGATGTGACAGTGGAACGCCCAGACCCCCGGATTATCCGCCACGAACCTCAGTGCGGTCCAGCCTCTGGGGAACACCACGGCCGTGTTCTTCAGTGGCGGGTCGACCAAATTCAGCTTCTTCGCATTCTCCTTCTCGTTCTCGAGGTAATCCCCGTCCCCGTAACCCAGGACCCAGAAATCGTGACCGTGGAGGTGCCACGGGTGGATCTCGCTCACGCGGCCCTCCACGGTCGGGTTCTGCAAAACGACATCCACTATCTCGTGGATCTTCAGCTCGAAGATCCACGTGTCGGGCCTCGGTGGGAATCTAGCCTCCGCGGGGGACCGCGGAGGCGGGTCCCCGTTGAAGGCGACGCGCTCGAGGTCGTGCTTGATCGCCCCGAGGTAAGGGGTGGGAGGGAGGGACAGGACCACGTTGTTGATGGCCCACTGCTTGTAGCCGTTGATCTCGATTTGGGTCCCTTCGAGGATGATCCGACGGTTGGGATTTTCTCCGGTCGGCTTGAGCGGTGGCCTGGGCGTCCAGTGCTGCCTCCCCTTGATTTTCTCCGCCGAAGCCCTGCTGGCTGCGAAGTCGTTCCATAAGGGTTTCTCCGGCAGCTGGAACTCCGGCAGGTTTTCTGACTCTGGGTAGTGGCCTGGGGAGCTGGGGATGTACTTTATCAGGGCCAACGCCGGCGGGGTTTGAGGCTCCCTGCCACGGACTCGAACCGAGATCCAATAGAACTCGCGCTCGGCGGAGTTTGCCGTGAATAGGACGGAGTAACTCTCGCCGGAGTAGATATCGAGGTTGTTGACTTCCTCGGCCTTTTCGTCCACGTAGTTGCCGTCGGCTTCCACCACCGTCATCGTGTGGCCCTGCATCATGAGTCATGGACCCAAGTTCAGTCTTCATTTTCCACGTCACTTTTATTATTTTCATTTTTTTTAACTCAACACGGATTAAAAATAAGCACATATAAATAATTATTACTAGAATTTGGAAACACTATACCATTTTACTAACCAATAAGATAAAAAAAATGATCAAATCGATTTACCGGTTTGTGTCGTCTGATATGATCCGATCCAAATACCGATGTAATATGTTGTTTCTTCGATATTCAGAAAATTCATATATAGAACCAAAAAATCAAACCCTATTTTATTCAACCAATCCAAAACAATTACTCGTTCCGATATTCCAATGCGGACCAAATCACGACACGCGCGCTCAGCTCGAATTAATGTATCAAACTTACTTCCATTGCCAAATTGAGGGAAGCCAAGGCAGTGGTGCTCGCGATTCTGAGCCGGTAAGTCTTGCCATGCTTCACCTCGAGCACGTTTATCTTCCACTTATCCTCCTCGCCCTCTTCTATCAAGCACTGAGGTAAAGTCTGCTTGTCATTTTGCGGTGCCAAGGAACAATTAAATTGACCTGTGCCATTGATGAGCAAAGTCTGCAAAAACAAAGTACAAGACAGCCCGCTCGCGATCAAAACCAAAGAGATCGACTGTAAAACAAAATCAATCAAATATCGATTAAAATGTCTTTTTCCCACCACTCGATCTGGTTATCGGAACAAACCGATTTTTTCAACATCATACAAGAATTTTTAAAGGATGCATTCGAATCTTCATAACGTCCAATATCAACATTCCTCTCTGTCTCTCCTGACCATTGTACCTGAGGTTCGTTGATCCATCGAAAAGGGTTGGAGGAGAGGCCGACTTCCTGTTCATGAACAGATTTGTGCCACCAGTCACTGAGCAACAGGTTGAACTCTCCATCGTACTCGAACGGTTCCTTCTCTCCTTCTGCCACGTCGACAATCAACGACCCGTACAACCCAGCTGACCTTTGCATCCCATAATGCCCGTGGTAAAAATATGTCCCTGCCTGCAGAAAGGGAAGGGTAATATAGGGATATAATCGAGGTGAAATTTCGTGATAGCATAAGCATACGCGTCAGCAGCACATGTTAATATCGTTGGATAAGATGAATACCTTGTCAACGGTAAAACTGTAAAGGAAAGTTTCACCGGGAGCAATGGCACACTGTGAAATGGAAGCCGTCCCATCCGCCCACGGTCTTCCTTTCTGTAAAATTCCAAAAAAAAAAAACCACCTCTCATTGGCTACATATTTGTACGTAAGTATCGGTACAAATCACTTTCAAAAACTCGAGTTATGGAGACTAAATAATTTGTTTGTTAATATCGAAATAATGTAAAAAAGAAAAAAAAATACGTTACCATTCTGATACCATGCCAATGAATGACGACACCTTCGGTGTGGAGCTTGTTGGTGACGTTCACCTGGAGCGTGTCGCCGACTCTGGCCCTCAACCCCGGTCCCGGGAACTCGCCGTTGATTCCCATCACCATATGCTCCTCGCCGTCCGGCGACCAGAAGATGTACTCCACATCCCATTGAGCTGTCAACACTTTGGCCCCGCAGCAACTTGGACCGACGACGACCAAACACGCTATTGCAATCACAATAAGCACATGATGAACCGGCAGCCGTCGGAGCAGGAGGGTTGATGCTGCGGCAACCATAGTCGATCGACGGTGTGTGTTCTCGGGAAGCCCTCCGGCCAGCTGTTAAATATTATACGTATATAGATCGTTGTGTGGAGAACTGGAGATTGTTATCTCTTGGTTCGTGTAGGCTGTTGTAGCTATTAGCAAGGTGCATCTATAATATATATGAAGCAGATTCACCACTTCAATTTTCTCCATTTTGAAAATGCTGCTCTCAGATTAATTCACGGAGGGGTATTATGGACATTATACCTGTCAATTAATTGTGCCGTGCGTTTTGTCCCCAGCCCTGTCATAGCTTGATAGTTGTGTCCGCCAGGCTTTGCTTTCCGTCGCTTTCGGCCAGAATTGGGCCTGGGCCTGGGCCCGGCAAAAAGTCTATCTATTCTTAATATCGGCCTGCTATCAGCTGGATATCGTGTAAGTCGGCAAGTGGTACAAAGGAATTTGTTGGGTAGTTAGTTCAGCTATTCGAGTCTTCATGTTAAACAATATCATCTTTTCCATTGGTCGCCTTCTATCCTGAATTGCATTGCACCAACAGAAGATTGACGGCAACAAGTGCAATAGTTACATGGAAAGCCGTTATGTTAGTTTGGCTCCAAAATCAGAAGAGGAAATAGTGATATGATAGATCTTTGTCCATTTTATATTGTGTTTAATCCAAATTTGGTTATACTAAGCATATATTTGGACCTATGTTTGGATGTGATTAATGGTTTTGGTTAGCATAGAATAGAAGTAGTCACAGGACGTCTCATTATGATTTATTTCATGTGGGTTAAAGGGCATTGAAAATGATTATGTTTTGTCTTCCAATATCATCTACTTAACTGCTACTTCTGAATTTAAATTAATCCTATCTTCCTATGTTTAACCATAAGGTTAAGTCCAATACCAAAATAGCGTTCTATCCACTTCAAGCTAAGTTCGATGGCAAATCCGAAAAGAATGTGAGTGCCCCAATTTTGAGAGACGGTTGCGACAACATTTATTATCCTACTTAAAATAGTTTGCTTTTACCGGTAACCACAAAAATTGGTAGACAATCAAAATCATGTCATACCCTATAGGATTTCGCGTATCAACAATGTTTTTCTTCGTTGAAACAGTTCACTTATCAACAGTTATCCATGAGTAATCTTCTATCTTTATAACTCCATCGAACTTGCTAACATTCACATGTATACTGACATTACAGAAATGAAAAAGTATGGCAATGAATCACTAAAATTAAAAAAATTAGTTAAAAACAATATAATTGCGTGAAAATATTATATGCGTGTAATAAATATCAAATATGTTAAGAAATATAATGATAATTTTAGATAAAATACTTATATGTGTATATTGCGCGAGTCCGGGTTGGATAGTTAGAAAACCATGCTCACACATTACCCCCAATATGCGGATTCGTATTTAATTCGAACTCACTTAAATTACTTCAGGTTTGAGTTTTACCCTACTTGATTGGGTTTTGGGAGGGTATTGATGATTATGGATTTATTTATGCTAAATCAAGAATTCAACATATTTTAAAGATACCGAAGGTTGTGATGGAGAAGTCGATAAAGTGAGGAGTATTAAATTAACTTTTATTTTTATGCACAATAAAGGAAAAAGGATTATCGAGATAAGAGGCGAATCCTCTAACGATTCCCTAAAGTTACAATGCAAAAATGAAATTTTAATTATCGGAGAAAATAAGATTTACTATTTAATTATTTTTAAATTTTATGTAATTCTTCACTAAAAGTAGATATAATGTCAACACAAAAAATTGGGTTCACCCATTTTGAGAATTGTTTTTGATTTAGATTAATTCGATTTATTATCTATATATTTCATTACATATATTAATTTTGTACACATTTTGTAAAACCGTATTAAAGTTTGCACTCTAAAGTCAGGGACAAGATATTTTGTGTTGAAATCGTCGTTCAACTATTTCATGCAACTAAAATAGCCTATCAACTTGGGCTTCGATAGACTGTTTTCAGTTAGATCGTCGAGACTCGAGACGGTACAATTTTGGAAATACTGATAAAATTTTAAATTGTGGTAATAAGACCACCAAAATTTTCAGATAATGACAATCGTTACTAACCATGCTTTTTTCGTTTCCAGGTTTAATTTTCAAAAGCCTTTAAACCTATAAATTTTTAAACATGTTTTTTTTCTTCAGGAAAATGGTAGTTTCCTTTTGTTCAGGTTTTGTTTTCTATTGTAAAAAAAACATCATGGTTAATAAACGTGGCCTCTTTCTCTGTTATTGTGCTTCGTTATCCTTCATTCATGATTCTCTTGACTCATACATTAATTTCTTTCGTCTTTCCCTTTCCATCTACCAAATTTGAGACTCCCAATAACATTTTCTCCTTATTCATAATCTACTACAGTCTTTGTAGAATGCACTTATTTTGTTGGTCGGTCAAATTTACCTTTCTAACTCCTAAATTCATTCAATGTTATAGGTGAGATTTATTGCAAGAACATGCTTATTTTCTTTTTAGCTTTATAAGCTAATTGCATCGTACTTCAAATATTTTGGGCTATGTATGTAACAATAAAATTTGGAGATGAATCTTTGGAATTGGGAGAGCCTGACTCCTAGACCTATTGTGGAAAGGATTGCAACAATTTTGTTGAATAGGTTATCGAACTCTTCTCTTGGTGTGAGATTTCAAAAATCCATCTCTTTCAGTCGTCATAGAATCATAAGATCTTGATGATATTTAGCTTCAAATTTTATTGAAGTACTAGATTTATGCCCCTAATCGTTTGTAAGTGAATTTGGAAATGAGGCAAAAAATCAAATTTGAACTAGCAAATTAGGCCAACCAGCCGAATACATAAGATAATCACTTTGCAACGATTCTTGAGGAAGTTCATTGTTTGTAGGTCGAAATGGCAATATGATCGCCCACGTGGTGGCTAGAAAAATCCTTTCTTTGTACCTGACTACATGTCGTTATTTTGATTTCATTTCCTGGTTATATACCAGTGTATAATATGTTTCATTTCATTTTCTAGCAATACAAGATTATCTTTTGTAAAAAAAAAAAAAAAATAGGTCTTCATTTGTGACTATCCATCTGCAGCGTGCCCTTTCAAATCATAGAATTTCATATCTATAACCTGTGTCGTGATCAACAAATATGATAAACACTGTGAAATATTTTTAAGAATACATTGGACTATATAAAAAAAATCATAAATATTATCTTTGGAACATGTATATAACTAATCGTTGCATATTTTTGATATTGAGTATTTACACACATTATGAGTAGTGGCAACACATGCAAAATACATAATAATCAAACACCCGGCCAACAGGTCGGGCCCTGTGCTAGTGGAATATATATATATATTTATAGGAAACGGCAATGGGCCGGGGATCGGACGCGGACCTCTTGGTGGGCCCAGAGATCCAAAGTGAAGAAGTGGAATTGTGAATTGCTAAACTTTATTCTAAAATTATTATTCGTCGTCCAAATTTAATACGCAGTTTATAATTTATTATTTGGAAGCTACCTCTTAGATTAAACAAATTCATACACGAGTGAAAAGACCTCTTCTAGAAGTGAAGGAAATAAAAGAAACAAAACTTTGTAAAAATCAGGCGAAACTCGAGTTAATACGATAAACTAGTGAACTTACTACATGGTAAGTTCACAATGGAGGGAAAAACGGATCGATGATATGTTAAAAGTGAAAACAAAATACGTCCACGTACCTACCATAACCATTGTCCCTTTTGCAAAGACGACTTAGAGGCTATGAAGTCTATAAGTACATAGGACTTATGGCCTGTTCAAAATACCTTCACGTACCTAACATAAACATTTGTCCCCTTTTGCAAGGACATGTGCCTATTAACCCTACAAGTATAAAAGGACTTTGAATAAATTCTCTTTAAAGCACAAAAAAAAAAACATTAAAAAATTATACAAACGAAATTTTAAACTGTTAATTTTTTTCTCACACTATACTTATATCTATTAGAGCTGTCGATTTGGTTCGATTCAATTAACTGAACAATTAAGTAAGAAAAATCGAAATAACTAAATTCCTTAAAATCAAAACCCAAAACTGATAACGGGTTGTTCGATTTTGGTTAACCCAAAAATCGTCGATATTCTTATCGGGAATCAACCAAATAGGTAAAAACTAAATCATCCCCCAGGCCCCGGCCCCGCTTACAATAGTTATGATAGGTTTCGGGTTTTCAGTTTCTTATTGACTTTACAGGTTAAGTCAAAACTGAACACATTTACTTACAAAGCGATTTAAGACCGAAAATGTTATCTTTTTTTATTTGTTGGATATGAACCAAAATCGAACCGATACTCCAGTACCTACCATAGCATTCCAATGATTCCGATTACCAAATTATTACTAATAGGTCCAAAAATCAGGTAGGTAAGCATAACAAAAGATTGGTCGGCAAAAGTATCAATTATGTTTATCAGCCAGAAAACTCCAACTAGAAAACAACAAAAAAAACATTCAAAATGGGTACTAGCTAGACATAACATAATGTGAACTCGATTGTATTGTTAGGTTTGGGCGCATATATTGGCACTTGGCGTTTAATTGTCACTAATCATATTCTAATGTACAAGATTCTTAACAATGATAAACAAAAGTATTCAACTAGCAAAAGAGATTATGATTATGCTATTAAATATGCAATCTTTATAAAGCTCCGAGAAATACTATGGGCTCGTTTGGATGGATCAAATTGATTCGTTAGATTTACTCATCCAAACGACTCCTATGTTATGTGAATTACTTCATGTATCGTAATCGAACTTTTTACTGTTACAACTGCTCCTACGAAGCATAAAAAATGTCAAAAATATGATAAAACGGTAACATTCTTCTTTGTTGATCAATTATGAAAGCAAAAACAAACATATATGCTGCCATTTTTGAAGATCATCAGGTACTAAACTTTTGTTCATAGCATTTCATATGCCTAATCTAATGCTCTGTGGGAAAAAAACTCTGCCACATCCATTCCATATAATTCCAGTTTCCACCTCAACAACGTTTTGCTTAAAAATGTTTAGGTTGCTGTTTAGCCATTAATTTGTTCTCTTCCATTTTCATGCAGTTCAGTGATTATATCAGCTTTTGCAGGCATAATCCTCTCGCCTTAAGAACGTATTCATCACTTCCACAGTATCTGTTGTACATGTTTTTGCAGTACTTCACAGCTTCTGAATACACATGACTACGAATGCCGCCCCTAATATCCCACGGCGCAGCGCTGAGCTTCCGATCTGGTGTAGCTTGAGAATTGCTGATGGAACAGAGCTAGCAGGGGATGTGGTAGGGTTTCTCTGTTTTGATCATGATGCAAATTGCATGATGATTGATAGAGGACGGAAGCTGGTGGGACGTCAACAACACAGCCAACCGATGACAGCAATTCCTAGCAAGTGCATTATTGCATTTCCTTAATCGGAATGCTTTTCATGGCAGCTTTTGAGCGATGCCTGCCAATTGACCTTACCTCACACCTCCAGTCCCTTCTTAATATAAGAGTTATGATACAAACACTAGTGCGATTGTTGTAATCCGCGACAATTAGGACCGATCATATAGTCCCAATCAACATAGTAATCGGTCGTAGTATCGATCAATATGACAGTAGTATCCGCCCTAGGCTATAGTAGGACGGGGAATAGCAACACCAAACCAGACCCCCTTTACAAGCTAAAGAATCATCTGAGAAATCAAACCAGGGAAGAAACCATAATTAATCAAGCTGCTGCAATCCAAATGCCACACACCAAAATGAAGAAAACCCCCCACACCAAGAGCTGAAACCAAAGCCATATATCCGTATGTATGAGTCTCACCGCCATCTAGTTCATCATGTTGTTCAAATCATGTGCCTTTTTCTTGCTTGGTTTCGTCATAGGCAGCGATATGTGGATGAATCCGAACTTCCTCCTCTGCGTGAAGAACTGCTGCTTATGATCACCAGTTTCGTGTTTCTCAGGCCTCGGATGAAACGATAGATCGTCCCTTAGTTCATGAAGCATTTGACTAAGTGCCACCTTTTGCCTCCCATTGCGCCGACCACCACCTTCAACTGGCTTAGCCCTTGTTGCTGCTGCTGCTGCAGCATAATCTTCAGTTGTCACTTGCTGCTTCCTGCCTAGAAAGTCCCGCATTGACACTGTCGACCTTAGAACTGGCTTTGGTTCCTCAGCTTCCACACTTGGGTCCTTCACTTGGTTCATTGGAGAATCTTGGCAGGGATCAGGATGGAAGAAGTGCATGTTGCTGAGCCTGGTGTTGTAATATGCTGCTGCAGCCTGTCCGAGCCCTTTGTGATCATCCTCCGGAATCCACTTCAGGAAGGCCTCCTCTGCAGCAGATTGCTTCCTGTTTGCCATCTCGATTTTGTTGAGAGCATCTTCCAATGCCTGCTTGCTTCTCTTCACTTCCTCTGTTGCTTCCCTCATCTTCTTCAGAATCTGCATCTTGGTGTTGGAAGGTTCATATTTGGGGATCTTATTAACTGCAGGCTCTAGTCTCTTTTGCATCAGAGGAGAAGCTGGCTTGAACAAGGTTGTTTTCTCAGGCTCAGGGAGGCTGCTAAACCCAGAAGAAGGGCTCGTCTCGATGTTCGACATGCACTTGATTTCAGCCAAGGCGACAGCTTCAGCTGCCTTGGCAGCTTCCTCCATCTTTCTAGCTGCAACCAACCTCAATTCAACGGTTCTAAGATCGACCTTAGGCTGTCCATTCATGGAAACTTCAGTCATCTGCTTTAACTGCTCTTGATTGTACCCATTTCCCACATTATGATCCGGCTTGCGCCTTGCCTGTTTCAGCTCCTCCTCTAACGACAGCACTCCTGCAAATTTCGAGGTTAGCCGCTTGCGGGTGTTTTGAAGAATGATTTTCTCGTGCCTCATGTTCTTATTCAGAGACTCAACAGAAGTTTGAATCACCCCAAGTTCGTTAATGGTTTTACCAAGGTTCAATTTCGCCTGCTTCAGCTCCATCAAGATAACTTCCGGAGACGACGGGCAACAAGGAGCCCCCATCAACCTCTGCTGCTCATGATAAAAATGATGGCCATGATTGCTGTTGACATGAAAGGCATGGCTTTTCTCCCTGTCCATTTCTTTTATAGCAGCAGCTGGACTTGACATATAATGATGAACATCGTCCGACACTGCCATACATCTAAGTGCTTCTTTCTGCAGCTGCAGCTTCAAATCCTCAACAATCCTCTTCGTCGACCCGAGTTCTTCCAGAACATCCAGAGTCTCCAGCTCCTTGACTATCAAATCCTTCTCTAGCTCTGCAGCTTGTTCCTCCACTTTCTTCAAGTCTACCTCTCCCTGGAAAGGGACATTTGTCTATTTAGAAACCATTGCAGCATGTTCTTTAATTCGACATAAGAAGGGTTTTGATTATCTACTGTACTGTACCCAATTTAGCTATACAAACCCCAATTCGAATGGAAATGTCAAAAGCAGTGAAGAAAGCTAGAAAAGGGAACTTACCAAGTCTTCCCCAATTCTATAACAGGGAACCCAGGGACCGCTGCCGCCAAAACGAGTGACGGCTTCCTTCACAGACCCAAACGGCGGCGACGTGTCGATCTCGGCTCTTGAACCGAATTTCCTAGTCCCTGCTCCGCCGCCGAGCTCCGGGCAGAGCCCAAGGCTCTGCTCGGATCTCATTTCCATGATCCCGGGGGTTCCTGGCACCGGTTCGGTGGCCGAGGCCGCCGGCGGAGGTACATCGGACATTTCAAATCCCGAAGAAGAAGAAAGGGTAAGAAGAAGAGTGGTGGAATGTGCAGTGAGAGTAAAGGAAGAGGAGGCGGGAGGAAGTTACTAATAGTAACCTTGCAATCAATTGCCAACCCTGCAATCAATTGATTTCCCTTTCCCTTTTTCCCTTCCATCTTTTTCTCTCTTTTAGAGGGGTTTTTGGGTTGTGGGTGTGATGATTGTGCTTTCCCCTTTTTGCCTGATCCGAGTGACGAAGCGAGTCGCCCACTCGCCCTGGCTATTGGCTAACCTCTCCCAACTCAACTCGGTCCGGAAAAAGCCCCGACATCTCGACGGGTCCACTCGCCGCCGTACTCAGTGAGACATGGAAGAGCTTTTTTGCTCTGATATTTCGCAGTCTGTGGCGGAGGTCACGGCGGTGGTGGTGGTCAGATACGGAATCAGGGAGAACCCTTTTGGGCCAGAGACCACCACCCACCAGCCTGTTCAATCTTCTTTCCCAAACGTCGCCTCTGTTTCCATGGATACAAAACAGAGGAAAACAGAGCGACCATACCAAAAAAAGAAAAAGCTGCCTTTTTTTCACAGATCGAATTCTCCAATCAAAAGGTGGGAAATATTGGAAACAAGGCACAGACTTACCCATGGAGAATTCAAAGACCACGACGACGGTGAGAACGGTCCAAATTGAATTGATAGGCAATTTACAGTTTGATACTTAAATTTAAATGATATTGAGATTTAGTACCTAAGCAAATTGATGAACAATTACATTTCAGTACCAAGAAATTTATGTCTTACATTTTGATATCTAAACTTTTAAACTTTGAATTGATCCAAGTTTATGAGTTTTCTGCTATGCTTATAAAAACTTGTGATATGTTTTAATAAACTTGCGATCTGCTTTATGAGATTTTGGGTATATTTTAAGAAACTTATGATTTACTTTGAAAAACTTGTTGTCTGCTTTAAGAAATTTGTGGCTTTCTTTAATGAGTTTGTAGTACTGGTATGCTTCTATGAACTTGTGGTATGTGTAATGACATTTTTGGTCTGTTTTAGCAAACTTGTGATCTGCTTTAAGTAACTTGTAGTACGGACACATGGAGGAGGATTGTCCGGATGGCAGTACCAATTCCGCCTCTCAGGAGCAACAAGAGAAGGGAGGAAGTGCAGCTGAGGGAATGAAAAGGAACCACGAGATCAGACCAGAAATCACAGAGGATTACGGCCCTTGGATGCTTGCCACAAGAACAAGAAGGAAGAAACAGATACAGAGGGGGGAAAAACAATCTCAAGATGGGTTGAAAGTTCAGAGGAAAATAAAAGAGGGATGGGATCCAGGTTTGATGTTCTAAGTGCAGAAGGAGAGAAGGAAGAGGAAGAGGAAGAAGGAGATGTCCCCAAACAAACAGCTGAGAACATGGACATGGAAGTTAGCAATGAAGAAGCAATACACAATCAGAACGAGGGGAACCTGAAGAATGAAGCGAGTGAACGAAAGACTAGTGGAAAGAAAATCAAAGCGAAAGAGGTAACAGAAGAAAAGCAAGGAGCAATGAACAACCAAAATACCACAACCCAGAGTAACCATCAAAGGAAGGATAACCAGAAGGCCACACCAGAACAAGCAAAAAGTAAGGCGAAAACCCCTGTGAGCAGCAGAAGCCTGGCAATGGCAGCTGCTCGACTTAGTCCAGCTCCCATTAAAGGGCGAGGGGACTCGCAAGCCACTTCGTCCTTGGTGACTCCTAAAAGAGTGGAGGACAAATCTGCTTGTAAGGGCACACCTAGGATACAGGGGAACGAGAAGGACCAGCAAGGGGGAGCTAGAAATGGTCACCAACCGAAAATGAAAGAGTCGGGGGTCCTGAACCAGCATCGAGCAAGTGATACAGGAAACATTACCTCCCCAGAAAATGGGAAAAGTCACCAAAGGAAGATTGAGTTCTGCTCTAAACCGATGGTGGCTATCTGCAATCCTGAAAATGCTTCTCAGTCGGGTTCCAAGGAACCTACAGAAGGGAAGGAGGAGAATTCGACGGCAATGGTCGTCGACAACTTGTGATTTCGACCGTTAGGTCTCGTCCAGGGAAGTTTCCTTTTCATTTGATGATTAAGATTCTCTCTTGGAATTGTCGGGGTGCTAAGCATCCTAAGTTTCTTTCGACTTTTAATCTGTATAAATCACAACACACACCGAATGTTGTTTGCGTTACTGAACCCAGGATTAGTGGGGAAGAAGCCTTGAAGGTGATTAAATCTTTGGGCTATAACTCTTGGAAGGTTAGCGATGCGAGAGGGTTCAAAGGAGGAATTTGGGTGCTCTGGAACAAGGAGGATCTTTCTCTTGAAGTGCTAGAGAGCCATCCCCAATTCCTCCACCTTAATTGCAGCAAAGGGAACCAGATCCTTGGAGCCATTACTGCGGTTTACGGTAGCCCAAATGAGTACGAGAGGGGAGATCTTTGGGTCTGGATTCGGCGTCTTGCTCGTCAAACCAGTACCCCTTGGCTTCTTACAGGCGATTTCAACTCCATCACGCAGCCTTCTGAGAAGATGGGGGGTTCCTGTTTTAACCCTGCTAAAGCTCGTGCTTTCAACGAGTGTATTGAAGACTGCCGCCTGATTGATTTGGGGTTTACAGGACCAAGGTTCACTTGGTTTACGAGCTCGTCTAATCTCCGAGAGCGGCTTGATCGTAGCCTTTGCAACGCTGCATGGTTCCAACAGTTTCCTCAGTCAACTACGTACCACCTTACCAAGTTGAAATCAGACCACCGTCCGATTCTGACCTGCAGTAATCATATTCCTGATTCAGCCAAACTGGTGAGACGGTTCCAATTCCTCTCCCCCTGGCTAACTCACGAAGGTTTCTTTCCATTTATTGAATCTGAATGGCAGCTTAGTAATGATTTTCCTTCTTCTCTGCAGAATCTTGCTACCAAGCTGCGAGTTTGGAATCGTGATGTATTTGGGAATATCTTCAAACGCAAACGTTCTCTTCTCTCGGCTCTCCAGAAGCTTGAAGCTGTCAACGAACGATCTGCCTGCCACAGTAATCTAGCCAAGGAAAGGGAAGTTCGTGAACAGCTTGAGGAAACCCTCTGGCAGGAGGAAATACTTTGGCATCAGAAATCCAGAGCTAATTGGGTGGTCTTTGGTGATTGCAACACGAGATTCTTCCACAATAGCACCATGAGCAGAAGGAAGAGAAACAGAATCACTTGTCTGAAGAATGATCAAGGAGATTGGATTACTGACCCGGAAATTCTTAGGCAAATGGCTAGGTCCTACTATGTCAACCTTTTCACTAAGGATGACGAAGGAGAACTGTGCCATGTGGTTGCTGCCTTCCCTGAAATCAACAAGGCTAGGCTTGATGGGGTTGCAGTTCCACCTACTCCGGATGAAATCCGAAGAACGGTTATGGGCATGAATGGCATGAAAGCCCCGGGAAAAGACGGTTTTCATGCTATTTTCTTCCAAAAATGCTGGGATCAAATTGGACCTGACTTTACTCGTTTCATTCTCTCTTGCTTTTCCTCCCCTGATAGGATTAGGAGTATTAATGGAACTTTGCTTGCTCTCATTCCCAAAGTTGATGCTCCAACTTTAATGAGCCAGTTTAGACCCATTAGCCTCTGTAATGTGGCTTACAAAGTTGTAGCTAAGTGCTTGGCCAATAGGCTCAAAACCCTTATGCCACAGCTTGTTAACCGCAACCAGTCTAGTTTCGTTCCCAACAGGCATATTACTGACAATATCATCATCTTGCAGGAAACTGTTCATTCGATGTCAAGGAAAACTGGAAGGAAGGGCACTATGCTTCTCAAAGTCGATCTTGCAAAGGCCTATGATCGCATCGATTGGAGGTTCTTGGAAGAGACACTTAGGAGTGCGAGGATTCCCGAGAGCAGTATTTACATGATTATGAAGTGTGTTACCACTACGGAACTCCAAGTGTTGTGGAACGGAGGAGAGACGGAGAGCTTCTCGCCCAACAGAGGGCTTCGCCAGGGATGTCCCTTGTCTCCCTATCTCTTTACATTATGTATGGAGAGGCTTAGTCACTGCATCTTAGAGTCTGTAAGTAAGGGTAAATGGATCCCGGTGAAGCTTTCCGCAGGGGGACCTCCTCTTTCGCATCTCTTCTTTGCGGACGACTTGGTCCTCTTTGCGGAAGCCACCACTAACCAGGCTTGCATTATCATGGATTGTGTGGAAAAGTTTTGTGATGCTTCTGGGGAATTAGTTAGTAAGGATAAGTCGAGAGTTTTCTTCTCAAAAAATGTGAAAAATCAGAACAAGTCTGATATCTGCAATCGCCTTGGTATTTTGCAATCTCAGGACCTTGGTAAGTATTTGGGGGTGCCTGTTCTTCATGGTAGAGTCAATAGAGGCACCTACAAATACATTCTTGAAAAGATGGACAAAAGGCTCACTGCTTGGAAAGCACGTACCCTTTCTTTGGCAGGGAGGGTTACGCTTGCTACTTCTGTTTTAAATGCCATTCCCACTTATGCCATGCAAACCTCGGTCCTTCCTATCTCTGTGTGCGATGAGATTGACAGAAAGATCAGGTGGTTTGTGTGGGGCTCTCAAGCGGGGAAAAGGAAAGTCCACCTTGTTTCTTGGGATACAATTTGTAAACCCAAGAATCAGGGGGGTCTTGGGCTTAGATCTGCTAGGAACTTGAATATGGCATATATGGTGAAATTGGCATGGCATATCTTCAATCGTGATTCTGAGTTGTGGGTGCAGGTTCTTCAAGGGAAGTACTTTAAGCACAAGGATGGTGCCATTGTATCTATGAAATCCAGCAACCATTCTAGTCTTTGGAGAGGTATTGTGAAAGCCTTCCCACTGATGAAGAGTGCAACTGGTTGGAGTATCAGAGACGGAAAAACGACGGGATTCTGGACCCAGCCATGGCTTGATAGCAACATTGTGCTGGGGGACTACCTCACCACTATAATCTCAGAGGAAGATCATTGCTCGGCGGTTGCATCTTGGGTGACTGAGTCAGGTGAGTGGGATTGGAACAGATTGAAAGATCTCATTCCGAATGATACACTTGCTCTGATTGCAGGAATGGAAACACCTAAGGCTGAGCTTGGCGAGGATCGGACATTTTGGAGCTTGGAGCAAGATGGAAGATTCCGACTCAAGTCAGCTTATAACCTAGTGGCTGATGAACTGAACGAAGAACATCTACCTCACTGGAAGAACTTGTGGAAGTGGAGAGGGCCAAACAGGATAAAACACTTCTTGTGGCTCGCATCCCACGATCGCCTGCTGACCAATGTGGAAAGATCGAAGAGAAATCTCACCAACAACAACTTCTGCCCCCACTGCAAAGACATCCCGGAAACAACGGAACATATACTCAGATACTGCAGCAAGAGCGAGGGAGCCAGAAGATACTTTGGGAGCAAATTTACATGCGCTGACAGTGTGAAGCCGTTCAAATCCTGGCTTGCCGAGAACCTTAGAGACGAGGACAATGGCGTTGATTTTGGTATTTTGTGTTGGCAGCTGTGGAAACAAAGGAACGAGGAGGCGATGGTTGGCACAGCCTACTCGGAGATGGGCCTGATCCAAAGAACCCTGGCCTGGTTCAATATTTACAGGCAAGCTACTAGGAATGTTCTTAGCATTTCTCCTGCAGGAAAACACCCAAGAGAGGAACGAGAGATTAGCTGGAGTCCCCCTAGGGAAGGTTGGATTCAAGTGCAGACTGATGGCTCGGTCCTTTCAACAGGTGAGGCTGCGGCTGGAGGGTTGCTTCGGGATCACCTTGGAAGATGCTGTGATGCCTTTGTTTGTAACCTGGGCACCTGCTCTATTACTAGAGCAGAGCTGAAAGGTGCTGCTGTGGGGCTGAACATTGCGTGGCAGCGAGGATTCAAGAAAGTGGAGCTCAATTTGGACTCTGCCACGGCGATCTTGATTATCCAGAACAACGAGGATAGCGAGCACAGACATGGGCTTGTTGCTGATCAGATTAGGTCCCTTTTGAATCTTGATTGGGAAGTTCATGTTTCCCATATTTATAGAGAGAAAAATGTTGCTGCTGACTTCTTAGCTAGTAGAGGGCATGGGTTCTCTTTTGGCACACATCTGTTCGATGTGAGCGACAAGAACCTCAAACATTGGCTTTTGTATGATATTATGGGAGTTTCCCAACAACGTTCAGTTATTAATACGAGTTAGGCCGCCTTGAGCGACTGCTTTCTACCAAAAAAACTTGTAGTATGCTTTATAAGTGTTCTAATATTTGTTGTGCATTTTATGAATTTTATGGTGTGGTGAGACTATGTTATGCTTTCATGTATGCTTTATGATTTCTATCACTATTTTATGAATTTTGTGGTGTTGTGAGGTTCTGATATGCTTTATAAACTTTATGGTATTTTTGGTGTGATTTGTTGTCTATTTATACTTGTGGTGACTGGTGAGGGGGAATTAAAGCGCATGTCCACCCTCGGAATTTTAGTATTTTATAATCCGTTCGTGCAACATTTTGTTTGGTATATGCTACTTAAGTGGTGTTTTGAATGGTAAAAGATTTATTAGTGAACCTATTTTGATAACTCGAGTAATTGGGACCAACTAGTTCTTGACATGGTATTAGAACCTTTAATTGTCGAGAGATCTTGTGTTCTACATAATTTCATCATCATAGTTTGTCGTCACGAATACGTTCACAATTTCACCATCCCAACCTTGCCAATCCTGAGGTAAACAGGAAACCTGACCACCTTCACCTTCTCCTCTCCACCACCATCTCCATTCTCATCATTACACCAAGCACGCCGGAACTTCTCCACCACGGCATCTCCCAACAGCTCCACCCCTCTCTCCTTCGCCGTCTGGTACGCCGACCACGACCTCACGTACATGAAAAACCCTTCCAAATCCATCGCATGCTCCGCCGTGAACCGAAACGGCCCCGTGTCGCCCTCTCCGGCTCCCCCCACCGCCTCGAACGGGAAGTCAACGCCGCGGTAACCGTCCTCGACCAGCTTCCGCAGTGGGTCCCAGTACGGCGCCGAGTCCGCTGCGTAGAACGAGTCGAGGACCGAGTCGACCGCCGGGTCGATCTCCGGCTCGCAGTAGCACCACGCGGCGATCACGCCGTGGGGCTTTTTCAGGACCCAATGGGCCTGTTTGTAGAATGCCGGGAGGTCGAACCAGTGGAGGGCCTGACCGACGGTGACTAGGTCGACGGTGGACTCGCCGGCGATGTGGAGCGGGAGGTCGGCGTGTGGGATGACCGGCGGAGTGCGGCGGTAGTGGACGTTCGGGAGCCTCGGGGCGTGGTCCAGCTGGGTGGCGCTCGTGTCGGTGGCGATCACGGTCTTGTAGATTCCGGCGAGCTGCGAGGGCGAGCAATGTAGTCAAAATCGCGCTTTAAAATTTAAAAACTTATTGTTTCGGGTCATCCAAAACGCTTCTACGTATAATCACAGTTTTTATAACTTTTATAGTTAAAAACTGCGTTTTAAAACTTAAAAGTTTACGATTTTACGGTTCTAGGATCACCAAAACGTTTCTACGTATCAACACGCTTTTGACTACAGGCAGAAAAAAGAGATTGTGGCGAATAAATACAGTTTGCCTCCATGTAACTTCTTTAGCGACGGAAATATTATTCGTCGCTAAAAATCAACTTTATTGTTTTGTGTATTATACTACGAGTAATGTCATGTAATATGACCAGATTTATTTTCTTTATCCGAGTTGTAGAAGTCTAATACTCATAATATAATTAACACAATATGTCTCGCGCGTACTACTCATACTCTAATAGAAAAGAAGGGGAACTCACGGATACGGCGGCTTGGCCGCTACCGGTGCCGACGTCCCAAACGACGTCGTGGCAAGGAGTCTCGGAAGCTATGAACTCGAAGAGTTGTTTCGGGTAGCTCGGCCTCGTCTTTGCGTACTCCGCCGCTTGCTTGATGAACAACTCCGCCATTGATCGAATTTCCTGCCTCTCGTCTTATCTGTTCTCTGTTTTTCTCCTCCTATTGCAGAGTTAACGGATTGGATGACAACAAAGGAACTGCAATGGCTGCCATTTATAGTAATATCAAAACGACGGAGAAAGTAGCCGGGGGAAGGAGCTGGTGAGGAATATCCATGGAGTGTAGAAACCAATTGGCTGCAATTAACTGACAGAAAGCTTTATTGAAAGACCAAAACCAACAGATTAAATACAGGACTCGGTAAACTAAGACTATTGAAGGACCAACAGATTGAGATACAAAAGCTTTATTGAAACACTAACAACCCCCATTCCTCCTAAACTAAGACTATTACTTGACTCATCGGCTAACTGGACAAGCACACAAATACATTCAACTTCAGTGGCAAATGGATGATGAGGTTTTCGAGTTGGGCCTAGCTAGGAGGGATTGGCAATGTTACGTTCTTCTTTTGTTAAGGTTAGTAGGCTTAGTTCTTTAGCTTAATTGTTATGAGTTTAGTGTTGGTGGTTCACGTAGCAGGGTCATTAGTGCATGTCTAGTAGTACGTAGGTTAGTATGCAGATTGGGCCAAGTAATACTGTGTGCAAGGTCGAGTCGGCTAGGCTAGGGTAGTGTTCATGTTAGATAGGGTTTCGTATTAGGTTTAAACGCCTATATATTATCACTATGACATTAGTCTAATTAGATCACGAAATAAATAAAAAGTTTATCGACACCAACAGCGTTTTCTCGTTTGTAAGTAACAAGCAAACTCTGAACCTGAGAGATTCAATTCATCATTTGGTATCAAAGCCTGGTTCTAAGCTCACCATGATGGCAGAGTCGCCATCCAAATCTTGGACCAATATGTAAATTTTGTAAATTGTTCAATGACATTTTTTGCAAAACAAATAAAATTTAGGTACCAATCAAAACAGAGGTTCCATCCGATTAGTTGTAATTTGCAGCCACATATTACATTACATTATATTAAACCACACACATCATAATCAGCATACATAATTAGTGAAGCACTCGCCACCTCTCACTGCCACTATCAAATGCAACTTCACAATAAGATGGAACTTAGGCATACAAGAAGAACATTAAGCAGCACGATAAGATATACAAATATTAGGGGGTGACTGCATTTAGCAGCACTCCCCCCACCCCTCCCACTTAGATATTACAGTTGTACACGATCGAGCTTTATCTTCACGAGCAATTTGTGTCGTAACTGGCAAGTCCAAGCAATTCTGGGCCTTCTAGTCGAGGATTGTGCTCAAAGCTACACAGAGAAAAAGGAAACATCGTCAATGAATAATAGCGAGCAAGGTCTCCCACAGCAAAGAACGATATCTGACAAGACAATTTACGCGGCAGCAAGGACCTTAAACCCCCTGCTAGGGGGAAAATGTGCTACAGTTGAATATCGAGATATCAAGGGATCAAGAGGCTTATGCAACTAGCTTCCAAACAAGAACATACAAGAGAGTCGGATAGTTAAGCTCGGCCAGGCTGAAAGATCTATAAGCAGGCTTCGGTAAGCAAGAATGACAATGACACCATGGAGTTTTCATCGAGACGTTACAATCAGGTGGTATTTAATCTGGAGATTAGATTACAGAGCTGGAAGGAGTAAGGAAATGAGAATGTGATGGTCATGCTGGGCCAGGGCCACTGTCCTACACAGTTTTTCAAGCCAAATTGTCATCTCACCCCAGGGCTAGACATCTACCCTCCAGCTAGACTGTCCCAAGAGTAACAAAAAATTGTATCTTCTATGATCTATCCTCCAGTAAAAACAATAGCCCCATAAGTAGCATTAACTTAGACAACATTCTCAAAGAGGTAAGCACAGAATCTGAAGTTACTAAAATTTTCGTGTGTGTGTGTGTTTTGGGGGGGGGGGGGGGGGGGGGGGTGTTAGAACCGAACTAGACCACTCCCCCTACAGAATTTGTGCAGTATGCTCTAGGTAAAAAAACCTCTAAGCAGATTACATAATACCCATCTTCACTGTGAATGAAGAAATGAATATACTGAATTCACATTGTATGCAGATGAGATACATTAACTAAGAAGATTAATAAATCACAGAAGCTACCAAGACGAAGAGATAGCCAAATAGAGTGTATGACTTAAATGCACAACGCCAATTATATACATTATCACAAGAAAGACTGAAAGTGGAGCGAATTGAAAAACGGGTGTCAACCACAATTGAAAGTTACTCACTTGTTCAATGGAATATGCTCGAATGGTCCGTTTGTTGGAATAGTTCCACACAAGTCATTGTTTGAAACGTCACTGAAAAAGAAAAGCAGTTTGCCTAATTAACCTTATAGGAATGCAGTATCATTAAACGAAATGTAAGATGTGCAATGTAAAAGATTTAATTAACAATGTCAGATTAAGTAACATGCAGTTGAGGAAAAAGCACTTACACTACTTTAAGGCTAGAAACACCACCAAGCTCCCGTGGAATTGGTCCAGTTAATTGGTTGTCATTAATCCGTCTGCCAGAAGAAAAGAGTAGTATGATTAAGGAAGATGATGCACCAAGGCTCAACAACCACACAAAATAAAAAATTGGACAGGCAGTCAGGCAGACTCTACCAAATGATTGATCCAAATATACCACTAATTACCACTATTCATCATTATGATGAGAATTTAAATATCCGTGCTATGGGGAACATGTTTGAACTTACAAGAACACGAGACTCTTCAATTTTCCCAATGAAGAAGGAATTGTCCCTGTTATGTTGTTGTTGTACAGGTCCAAGCTTATCAGATTCTTCAAGTTACCCAGCTCAGCAGGGATAGTCCCATGCAAATTGTTCTTGTACAGCTCCCTACATCAAAAGCAATCCATTAAGGCTGTAACCAATGCTGAAGTACCGAATCAGGGTCCAGCATTAAATAACTTCCTGTAGGCCACTAAATGAAACATGAGCAGCTATCAATGACATATATACACTGTCAAGGTGAGATGAAAGTAACAGTAAACGTACAAGTACTGCAAATGCTCTAGCTTTCCAAGTTCGGGCACCAGATGTCCGGACAAGTTTGAATTGCCTAAATCCCTGCAAGAAACAACAGTTGAGAACATGTTAGAGCATGATTCCAATGAGTTCCACAAAGTTGCACTGGAGCTCACCAGTTCAACACTCAAAAGTCACAAATAAACATCCGCAGACCATCCACGATATTAAAACGAAATAAAGAGATCCCCTGGACATGAACCACACTTCTCGGGCAAAGACTATACTTCATACCAAAGTTACAGGTCAAAATCACTAATGAGTAACTAAGTTGCTACATAGCCTTCCCCTCCCAGTTCATATGTTCAGCAGCTACAATTCAACCACCCAGACTACAAATACAACGCGAACCCAACATTCGAACAAAATTCAAGCACTTTCCCAGCACGAAGCCGATCGGAGCAAACACTTCCAGTCTGTTTCTCATTCATAATCGAACCAATCAGCACAAATACTTCCTAAAACGAGCTAACAATCAAACAGCCAGGGAAAACGAGACAGCGCCCAATTAAAACAGAACAAAACTAGAATCAAAGCAATAAGAAACAAACAAAGAAGGAGATGATTAGTTGATTTTACACTCGGGTGACGCGGTTGTCCTGGTTGCAGGTGATGTGGAACCAGGTGCAAGGGTTGACGAGGGTGGGATCCCAGCTCTGGAGGACGTTATCCGGATCGGACAAGCTCCTCCGCAGCGTGTACAGTGCATCCCCTTCCGAATTGCCGAACGCCGCGGGGAGAGCGAGCGCTGCGAAGAAGAGACTCCACAGCGAGAGGGCCGATGCCGCCGTCGCCGCCATCACAGTGACGGATGAGATGAGAGTTGCGAAGCAGCAACGAATTTGAAGCGAGCTAGGGTTTCGGTTGTGCAGCGTAATGGAAATGGGAAAGAGTCAGTCAACCGAACCACCAGACTGGAAATGTGAAATGGGAAAGGGGAAAAGAAAGAGTAGGATCGGCTTTGGGAACGGCAGAGTAAAACATGGTGCATTTATTTTTCCTTTTTCTCTTTCTCTTTTTCTTTTGGTGCTGAGTTGACTCAGTGAGCAGTGAGTGAGCATTTTTAATGTCCGAGTCAAATGCTGCGGCGGTCGCTCCACGCGTGTGCATTATTGGCACTTGGCAGGTTGGAAGACTAATTGTCGATTTCCTTGTTGCTGATGGGCCTATTGGGCTGGGTACTTTTGTAAAAATTCAGAGGTTCTCGAGTGTCTTTCTTTGGGCCTTTGGCCTTTGGCAGGATCCTGATACCAAAGATGAAAGCAGCACGGGCTTCCATGGTTTCTATACACGGAATAGAACTCACTTTGTAGCTCGAGAAATCGTAACCTACTTCAATCCTTCTTATATAATAAAGATCTTAAATGCCGATTATGGTGGAAACCAACCACCAACCCAATTCCAATTTATGTTAATCAAATGACTGGTTCAAGTAACATCGTGATTTCAATAGTGTGTTTTTCTAATCGTATAAAAGATATAGTTTTGACCGGAACTTCAAATTTTTCACACTAAGAATGTGGTACACATATGTTTATCTCAAATTTGATTCTCTTATGGTAATGGATCTTTTTAATAAGATGGATGAAAGATCATTTTATCCTCTTCCAACTCCCTAATATTGTCTCAATCCTATATGTAACTCTATTGCATTTGTCAAGGATAATTAGTCGATAGTCGATAGTTAGTGCGGGTTGTTTGGTTTTCTCTATACTTAGGCAACAGTGCATGTAGGATGTAGTTCGTATTCTCAAGTATTCTCTAGTATACTATCAAGAAATTTAATTGATTGTCCTCCACATTCAATGATGCTTATCCAAACAATAGATGCATCGTTGATAACACATTGATACCACAACTATTAATTTCAAAATCAATTCATCCTAAACCATCGATCACATGTTAGACCTAAAATGGAATTTAACCAACAACAAAAAAAAAAATCCGACAATCACATCTCATACTAAACGATTTATTAGCGTGATTTATCCTAAACATATATAGACATAAAATTAGTTAAGACTCAAACATCGATCTTCCAGGGGGAAAAGTACAAGACATATATGTTGTGGCCACGGGCAGATTTTGAATTACTCGTGAATATATAAATTGAGCAAGTTTATTATAGAACAATCGATATGTTGCATAAACCGGACTTATCGACCTAAAATGGATCTATAATTTCTCGTATTACAAATATTTCGCTCGCTAATATCCTATTTTTTAAAAAATTAGGAAATTCATTAAATAAATAATCAAGTTTATGGATAAGCTTTCTCAAATTAAATTCCCTATATCTCTTCTTTTGGAAAGTGAATCTTTATTTCTCGCCCTATATTACCCGTTCCCCATCCCTCGAACTGCTGCCACCCACCTCGCTAGAAAAAAATTAGGTCACCGGCGAATCCAAGCATTTACCGGAGCTGCTGACCAGTGTCGCTTGGTGAAGAAGAATAACTCCATCGCCGCCGTGCCCAAGCTGATCTAGAAGACCGGAGAGGTTCTTTCTACTTAGACAACACAACAACAGGTAGCATTTACAATCCTGATCCAAAAAAACACATGCATCATTTACATTTTTTTTTCTTCTTATTATTATATTCGTTCCAAATCGATTCATTTTAAACCATCGATCAACCACCTCCACGTGGAACGAAGATACGACCGCCATCAATAACAAAAGAATAAAAAGCCGACAACCACATCCCAAATCAAACGATTCGTTACCATGATTTTGTCCTATATTTACATAAAGCCACAATCATTCAAAGCTCAAAGATAAATTTTAAGTGTAAAAAGTACAAAACATATGTAACGGTTATAATGACGGGTTTTACAGTTACCCGCCAATATTCAAATAGGACAATCGACACGCTGCCTAAACCAAATTCATCGAACCTATTTGAATGACTAACATTTATCATGTTATCGTAATTCCGATTTCAATTTCGTAATGCTAATTTTCAGACGAGATCAAAAAAATTCCGTGAGGTGAAATCGTAAAAAAAAAAAAAAAGCTTGGGCCGTTGAGGTAACGAAGTTAATGCCACCCCTTCTGTTGCCTAATTACAGGACAGCCCATACCCAGTCCACTCACAAACGCCATGCAGCCCATCAAATTAATATAATAATATAATATAAAGTAACCAAAAAGTAAATTGACCGGATAAAAAGAAAATTCACCCAGCCGGGTTCCCTATTTTACCCTCATTCCCTGCCAGTTACTACAACCCGCACCACCCGGTTCCTATGATCCTATCAGTCTATCACTTTTTCAGCCATCACCGAACACATGGCACCCCCGTCATTTTCTACCGTCACCGAGGCTAAAACCGTAAATAACCTCTTTCGAGAAACCCGATATCTCGCCGCATGAGATAACTGATGGGTCCGTCGGTGCCATAATCCCCTGCTTACCCACCACAGCCACGACCGCCTAGCTATCCGGGATTGCTGACGCAAGCCGCTTCCTGGGCCGCTGGATTGAAAATCAACGGTGGGAGATGATCGTCTACCAGGTAATCGTTGTAACACGGGATTGTGGGGATTCACCTGACGCAAAAGGGATGAGAAGTGGGGCCCGCACCAGTTCAGCTCACACTACTCTTTTATAAGCTGAGCGAGCGAGTGGGACTGAGTGGAGTTTCCTGTTTTCTCTCTGGTTTTTGAGCGAGTTGGGGGAGGGAGAAGGAAGGCGAAGGAGCTTTTTTTTTCTTTCCGTTTCTTCTTCTCCGTAGCTTGTATTTAAAGGTGACATTCCCTCTCCTCTCAACCCCTCCGTCTTGCTCTTGTTCGTCGTAGCTAGGGTTTTTCGCTCTCGCTCGCTAGCTCCGTCTCTCGCCGTTCTTTTACTGAGGTGAGTGAGGGGAAGACTGGTAGACGAAGACTGTGTCTCTCCGTCTCGTTTTCTTGTAATGCAGCCGGTTTCCTGGTTTGGCTGGGCTGTGGTTTATGATTTTCGAACGATGAGACGATCGATTGTGGTCCGGGCTGTGGAAATTTTGTTGATCTTTTCCGGTGGTTGTTTTTAGTATTATATGGCATTGTTTGTGTGTCGGTTTGATTTTGCGAGGTTTGGAGCTCGAGAATCGTTTGGCTCTTAGGGATTGGTTTGTGAGGCTGATGGTGTGCTGGTTTCTTGTGCTGTGAACAGGTTCTAGCTCTGAAGGTCTGGTTCGGGAAGACAACACTGATTCATACTCTGTAGGTATTATGATTTCCCCATTTTCCCTGTTTGAGTGATGTGTGGATGTGGTAGCTTTCTTCCTGGTTCGTAACAAGGCTGCATGTCATTGTATCATTCTTCGATGGGTTCGTTTCCGTTTTATATTTGTTCATTTGATGGGTTGCATCTTGCATGCAAGGAAAATTATTGTTAGTTTTACTTCCGCTCTACCATTTTAAGTGGATTTGGTTGTGGAAGGGACGGGCTTTATATCTCTTCCAGTTCTGTTGTTTTACAATCTGGTTTTACCCTGTACGTCCATTTGTCTGCTTTTTTTTGGTTTCGAGAGCTAGTTCTGGCTCTGGGCATCTGTTAAGCAAAATTTCTTGCTAATATGGGATATTGTTCTTATTTACGTTGCTTTTAGCGATGTGCCTTGTTGTTGTTCTTTTTGGTCGGTTCAGAACAGTGTTGCATGTTGTTTTTCTTCTACTAAAGGTTCCTTCGGTTGTATTTGTATTGTATGGTTTCCTTGACGGGCTTGGTTCTGTGATTTTACAAGTTGGGGGGTTTCCTTTTCTTGCATATGTCTGTTTTTTTCTTGTGAGCTAGTTTTGGGCATTGGTTAAGCAAAAATGTCTTGCTACACTGGGGATTTGGATTGCTGCTTGTGCATGAGCTCTTAGATGGACCATCTAACCGTGATGTGTCTTTTTTTAAGACAATGGACTCGGTGGATCCTGATGGAAGTGGTCTTCAGGAGGCATTGCCACCTCCCCCACCTGTTCTTCCTCCGGATGTGGTGCCTGTTAAACTTGAAGAACCTGTTAAGAAGAAGCCTGCTCGTCTTCCCATGGCTAGGCGTGGCACTGGAACTAAAGGACAGAAGATCCCCTTGCTGACCAATCACTTCAAAGTGAATGTGACCAATATGGAGGGCCAATTCTACCACTATAGTGTAAGTTTTGTATTTAACTGTTAAGTGGTGTTGCTCGCGGTTCATTGCAACATATTTTAGTGGTTGCATTTGTTTTTTTTTTCCAGGTTGCTCTCTTGTATGAAGATGGGCGTCCTGTGGAGGCTAAAGGTGTTGGAAGGAAGGTTCTTGACAAAGTGCAGCAAACCTACAGCAGTGAATTGTCTGGAAAGGAATTTGCATATGATGGTGAGAAGAGTTTGTTCACCATTGGGCAATTGCCACTGAACAAGCATGAGTTCACTGTCGTTCTGGAAGAGGTCACATCTGCCAGGTTATTAGCTTAATAACCCTGAGATTGTTTATCTTCTAGTCCTATCTGTTTGTTGATTTTGAGAATTTGGTTCTGCAGGAACAACGGAAATGCAAGCCCAGATGCCCAAGGAAGTCCCAATGATACTGATAGGAAGAGGATGAGGCGTCCTTACAATTCCAAGACATTTATTGTGCAGATCAATTTTGCTGCCAAGATTCCCATGCAAGCCATTGCTAGCGCCCTGAAGGGGGTGGAAACTGAAAGCTCCCAAGAAGCATTGAGAGTGTTGGATATCATACTACGCCAACATGCTGCAAAACAGTACGTATTAATGAATACAATCCTTACTTTGCAAGATTGAATTTAGTTTACTTTGTCTCATTATGTTTGTTTTCATGTTCAGGGGCTGCCTTCTGGTACGACAGTCTTTCTTTCACAACGATCCAAAGAATTTTGTGGATCTGGGAGGTGGTGTTCTGGGTTGCAGAGGCTTCCACTCCAGCTTTAGAACCACCCAAGGAGGATTGTCTCTGAACATTGGTTAGTGTACTTGAATCAGTCTTGTGTAAGTTTGTATAATTTCTCTTCTTGTTGGTATTCTTACTGCATTTTGCTTTCAGATGTATCAACTACCATGATCATCCAGCCTGGACCTGTTGTAGATTTTCTGATCAAAAACCAGAATGCCAGAGATCCATTCTCTTTGGATTGGGTTAAGGTAGATATATGTGTGAGCATCTCTTTACCTATTCTATTTGATCCTTTGACTAATCTGTTTTTTCTTTCCTATTACTAGGCAAAAAGAGTGTTGAAAAATCTAAGGATTAAAGTAAGCCCCACAAATCAGGAGTACAAGATCACTGGTTTGAGTGAGCGAAACTGCAAAGATCAGCTGTATGCTCTACACATAGTCTATTGTCCTCTATTATGTTCCATTGTCTATCCTTCCCTGTTTTGTGATTGATCCATTAGGCACCTGTTGTTATAAGTTACTGCAAACTGAGGTTTTATAGCTTTTATGGTTTTTAAATGTTCCTTTTGTATTTGTAGGTTTCAATTGAAACAGAAAGGTGATGCTGAACCGCTGGAGATCACCGTGTATGACTACTTTGTTAATCACAGAAACATTGAGCTGCGGTATTCAGGAGATCTGCCTTGCATCAACGTTGGGAAGCCCAAGCGGCCAACATATATCCCTTTGGAGGTGTGATGATAAGCATAATACATGTTACACTTGTCTTGTGATAATCTGTCCTTTTGCTGTACTCACTACTTTGATCTTTTTTGTAGCTGTGCACCTTGGTTTCCCTTCAACGTTACACCAAAGCGCTGACTAATCTTCAGCGTGCTTCACTAGTGGAGAAATCAAGGCAGAAGCCACAAGAGAGGATGGGTGTTCTGTCGCATGTGTGTATCTTATATTTGTTAAACTTGCTAAATCCATTTTTGAGTAGTCGAAGTTGGTTAACCCTTTCACTGAATCATCTTGCAGTCTCTGAAAACCAGCCGCTATGACGAGGAACCCCTGTTGCGCTCATGTGGTCTGTCAATAAGCAATAGTTTCACTCAAGTTGATGGTCGTGTGCTGCAAGCTCCTAAGGTACTAGTGTGTATTTACTTATCAAAGATAAAGTTTGACAGATCTAGCAAAGATTTGTTCGCTCTGTCAGCATGAATGTATAGTGTCTGTGCTATAATTTTATCGCTAGTATGGCTACTTTAGTAACCTGTTCCTTTTTTTTTTTTTTGGTAACAGCTGAAAGTGGGCAATGGGGATGATCTATTTGCCAGAAATGGCCGTTGGAATTTTAATAATAAGGTGATTGTCTCTTAGTGCTTGCCATTTCTCTTATGTCATTTCCTCTAATTCATCATTAACCCTTGTATCATTTTTACTCTTCATTCCAGAAACTGGTGCAGCCTTCCAAAATTGAGAGATGGGCTGTTGTCAACTTCTCTGCAAGGTGTGATGTACGCAGGCTTGTGAATGATTTGTTGAGATGTGCAGAAGCAAAAGGCATTGTAAGTTTATCTGTTGTAATTGTTATATGAGTGCCAATCCATGTTGTATAATACAAATTATTTATTCCATTTACATTTATTGCTACTTGTAGCCCATTGAAGATCCTCTTGCAGTTATTGAGGAAAACCGACAGATGTCTCGTGCTCCTGCTATAGTGAGAGTGGAGAAGATGTTTGAGGAACTCCAGCCTAAGCTTCGTGATGCTCCAAAGTTTCTGTTGTGTGTGCTTCCTGAGAGAAAGAACTGTGATGTATACGGTATGGCCGTGAAGGCTTGTCTTTTTTAATTTTCACTGTTTCATTTTGCCATCCTAACATCTATGTTTGATCTCTGCTGAAGGGCCTTGGAAGCGGAAGAATCTTGCTGAGTTTGGAATAGTTACACAGTGTATGGCTCCACAAAAGCTGAACGATCAGTATCTTACAAATCTTCTTCTGAAGATCAATGCCAAGGTTGGTTGCAAGACTTATCGCTAGTGTACGTTAATAGCAGTTATAAAAAGTACCATGTTTTTATCTCACTTCTTCATATTCTCTCTACTGGCAGCTTGGTGGTCTGAACTCTTTGCTCTCTATCGAGCACTCTCCTTCCATACCTATGGTATCTAAGGTTCCTACCATGATCCTTGGGATGGATGTCTCACATGGATCTCCTGGACAGTCCGACATCCCTTCAATTGCTGCGGTATCTCTCTTTTTAACCTTGTAACTATACGTCAGTGCTACTGTTTATAATTTTTTTTTTAAATCTTCCAGTTCACCAAGTTCTGAGGTGCTTTGTTTCATGTAATATTTTAGGTGGTCAGCTCTCGTCACTGGCCTTTGATTTCTCGATACAGAGCTTCTGTACGAACTCAGTCCCCTAGAGTTGAAATGATTGATTCCTTGTACAAGCGAGTGTCTGACACTAAAGATGATGGAATCATGAGGTTAGTATTAAGATATGGGTTATCACATCATCAGTTTTTAGGATGATTACTGACTTTGCATCCCCTATTATCAATCCAGGGAAGCACTCCTGGACTTCTATGTGAGCTCTGGGAAAAGGAAGCCTGATCAGATCATCATATTCAGGTATGCCTAATTCTACCATGAACTGTTTTCTTACTTGAATACTTGCTACCCTGAATGTTTGTTCACTGTTATCTTTCTATGATTTTAATCATTTTGTTGACTTCCTTGAAAGAGTGCTAATCCTTTGGTATTTTGTATTTCCAGGGATGGTGTTAGTGAGTCGCAGTTCAATCAAGTGCTCAACATTGAGCTGGATCAAATCATTGAGGTTTGGATTCGATGCTCTTTCTTGGATTGTCTACATGTTTGATTGGCTTTTAAAACTGCATGCTTAGTAGTATTTTAACGATATGTCAGGCCTGTAAGTTCCTGGATGAGAAATGGAACCCAAAGTTTGTGGTCATTGTAGCTCAAAAGAACCATCACACCAAGTTCTTCCAGCCTAACGGTCCTGAGAATGTCCCACCTGGTAAGTCCTGTCCTTGTATAATTTTATCAGCAGTCTTGAATAGGTGCCGAGATTGAGTACTATTGTGGTTGTGCAGGAACGATCATTGACAACAAAGTTGGTCACCCAAAGAACTACGATTTCTATCTGTGTGCACATGCTGGGATGATAGTGAGTGTCACTGATTGAAACCCCCTCTCTATGAATTATTTTGATTGCTACTCTTGCTATTGCAACAAGATGCTGACTTTGAGATCACTTGCCTCCTTTCTCAGGGAACTACAAGGCCCACCCACTACCATGTTCTGCTGGATCAGGTGGGTTTCCAAGCAGATGATCTTCAGGAGCTTGTCCACTCTTTATCCTATGTGTAAGTTGTTTGCCTTCTCTTTTCTTAGCTACTGCACCAATTCAAATTCTAGTTTGTTTGTAGCTTAACTTCATGTGTGGGAAATATCTTATGCAGGTATCAGAGAAGCACCACTGCCATTTCTGTTGGTGAGACTGTTTGCTGATTGCTGTCGCACTTTTGTCTAATCAGTTGGAAAATTTTGATTAATACAGATTGCTAATAGTGGTGGTTGTCTGACTTCGGGTTATGTTTTCTCTTTCCTCCTCGACCACAGTTGCTCCTGTGTGCTATGCTCACTTGGCAGCCACCCAGATGAGCTCTTTTATGAAGTTCGAGGACACCTCCGAGACTTCATCCAGCCGAGGAGGGATGACGGCTGCAGGGCCAGCGCCAGTTCCTGCCCTGCCAACGCTTACACCGAATGTGGCCAACTCCATGTTCTTCTGCTGAGAAGGTGGTGTTGTTGCTCATGTGCTGGCAGTAAATGTGAAGTGGTGGTTTTATCCCTTTTGTTTGTGTACATAAAGGGGGAAATCAGGGAGGTTTGTTCCGATTTAGCCTTAGTAGTATGAAAAGTTTGAACAATGGTAGTAGTGAACTATGAGAAAGATGAACTATGGTAGTTGCGCTAGTGGTAGTAGTAACTAGTGTCTTGTGTCTGCGCTATTTTGCGGTTGGATCCTTTTTTGATTGTTAAGTTTGCTCCTAAGCAAGCTATAACATAGTAAGCAGGAAAGCCCCAGTATCAAATTTCAGAAGATGTCATCTTGTTTTGCCTTATATCCTCTCTATATTCATTTGTCCCTTTGTCTCTACATTCATTTGTCTCTAGCTGCTGCTGCGAACTGTGATCACTTTCCGAAATGATCATTAGTTTGGAGTTCCTGGTGGCTCTGCTTCTGGTTTCGTAGTATCATTATCTCCTTCGAGGATTCACATTACCATTCCACTACTTTGAGCAGCAAAAAGCCAAAATTCTGATTTCAATCACTAGCAGAAGAACGTGGTTCGAATCTAACACCACTACAACAATAAATCACTACACGAACTACAAATGCTTCACATCCCAGCAAACAGAGCACCACTACTACTCAACAGAACACCAAGAACCAAAAACAGGACAGCAGAGGTAAATGGAAGAAGAGAGCCGCTGCTGCTCTCAACCGGGCGAGGCACCACGGGCTGCTGCTGCGGCGGAGGCGGCTCGGTAGTCACATTCACCTCCATCTTCATCCCCTGCATCGCACAGTAGCTTCCCCTGCTGCAGATGAAGTAGTAAGGCCGCGCCTGCGTCAGGTTGAACACGTCCCTCCCTCCTCTCGTTATGTTCGTAATGAACCCTTCCCCACTGCATTTGTCGTAGCCAGTCCTGTTCACCTCCAGCACGTCGTACAATGTCTTGTTGAACCCGAAATCTGCACGTTTTTTTGTTTTTTGGGTTGTCACTTGTCAGAGGAGAATAATAAGCTAAGCTATAGAAGTTGTAAGTTCGTTGTTGTAACTTACAGAGCCAGTCGCCGACGTAGATTTCCTTCTGAGACGCCCAGAGAGTGAGGTTGGCGTTGGGTTCCCAGGTGGACCTCCCGCCGCCGACCCTGTAGAGGATCGGCCACCTGGCCTCGGCTGCCGTGAAGAGGAGGAAGAAGGTGGTTGCTGTGACGGCGAGGAGGAACGACGACGGTGGGAGTCTGCTGGTGGGTAGCATCTTGGAAAGCTCCATTGACGGCGGTGTGGGGAATTGGAAGCAGAGGATCAGTTAATAAGAGAGGAGAGGTTAAAGCTTCAAACGGCATACGAGATGCATGAAGAGAGTTGGGGGGGGAAGGCGTCGGGTTTGGCATGAGTTACTTGTTAACTCTGTTATGGGATTCTGCGTGATTTTTGGGAACTTTCTTGCTTGTCATACAAACTCCAGGTAAGTAACTCAAACAAACTCCTCAGTTTCCATTTTTTTACCTAACTGTAATTTAGTCATTTTTTATTTTCTTTATCTTTTTAATTAACTGCTATTCATTTACTTCATTATTTATTAGTAATTTTTATTTGTTTTCTTTTGTTACGTACCCTCCCTTTTTTCATTTTATTTGTCAATTTCGTCTGTTTTATTTTATTTCTTTTCTTTAGCTATTCCTAAAAAAAAAAATTATTAGTTTGACATAGTTTTGGATTCGGTGTATCCGACTAAGCCTTAATGGCTTGTTTAAGTCCATTTGGTGGAGCTTAGTTGTCCTACAGTGGGGACGCTTGTGTGTTTTGTTTGTTTTTTGTAGGGGCACGCAGAAGAGCTCCCGATATCGAAGAGACTTCCTCGGACAAGTGTTTTGGCTCATGATCAGGATGGAACTATCTTGCAGGAGGCTCAGAGCTTGGCTTTTCTCTTTAGTTGGGTTTCTTACTGTCTTGTTCTCCACTGTCTCAATAGGGCTGCCCATCATGTGGCATAAAAGGCCCTCTCATCGGGAGTTCGACTATTAGTCGACTCTCGCGCTCTTTTTATTTTCTCTGTATGATTGATTTTATAACAACTGACTTTGCGAAAAAAAAAAAAAAAACTACGTAGAAGTAGTTGCATTTGGGTGGAAGACTCGGTTGTAAAATCGGTTTAAGTTATTGAGCCGGTTATGTAACCGATTTGAGGTTTCATGAGTTGATCGGGGTTCAACCTATTTGAGAAGTTTTAAACATTTTTTAACTATATGTACAAATGAGGTAGTAGTTTAAGAAATTTATGACGAATGAAATTTATCTGATATGTATCATTTATTAGTTTTACATTTAAGTATATATATATATATATAATCCATTAAAATGCTAGGCTCTTCTCATTCGGTCATTCCAATCCAAAACGATAACATTTTATCCTTGATCTAGAAATCATTAAAAAGTGGTCCTACCACCAATTTTCTCGGTTTTGATCGGCTAACACTCAAAAATCAGAATGATTTGCTGGAGATCGGTTTCGACTGATAGTGGTTTCACAACCTTGTTTGTTACAAATAACTTGAGTTACAATGTGCTTAAAAATTGGGGATCGACGAGATACGAACACAAGATCTCGTGATTATCAAAAGTTTTGATCCCTTATCACTAGTTAGTTGGTACAAACTATTGGTGCATGTGTTTCCATAATGCATCTTATATCAATAATGAGAAATGAGAATGAAAGGTTTAGGTGTAACTTTTCTGTCGGAGCAAAATATTCTCATAGTGTTAATATTAACCTTTTTGAAGCCTAACTTGATTATCTTTTGTACGCAAGATTAACATGTTCTTTTACCTTCCTGTTATTAGTGGGGAAAAATCCCAGAATACTCGAGTTATTAAAAAAAATTCCCTAAATACAGTACTTATAAAAGTAATTCCCAAAGTACAGCAGTTTCAACATCACTGTCTTTGTCTAAGACAGTGATGTTGATCACTGCTTTCGTCCAAAACAGTGAAGCAGCGGGGAACGCATCACCGCCTTGGACGAAAGCGGGGAATGCATCACCGCCTTGGACAAAAGCGGGGAACATATCACCGCTTTGGACGAAGGCGGAGATCGTATCCCCCCTTTTGACAAAGGCGGGGATCGTATCCCCGCTTTTGACATCAACAGTGAAGGCATCCCCGCTGCTGTTGACAATAGTGATTGCCACCACGTTTTACATTGCCCTGGTAGGTGGAGAAGTAGGTAACAGCTACCTAGCTATCACCGTTGTTGACTAAGGCGATGATGTGTTCACCGCCGTGGTCCAAAGCAGTGATTAGCTCTCAATTTTTCCTATAAAAACCCACGCCCGCTTCCCTCCTGCTGCCAAACAGCAAATTAGTACAAAAATTATCGTTTTGTTAAGTCGTTTTCGCAGCTGGTTCCTCCGTAGTTTACTGCTCAAGAAACTCGTCGGGATTCGGTATGTTAGAATTATGTATTGTTTACATTTTGATTATGTGTTAGAATTAGGTATGTTAGAATTATATATTTAGATTAATTATGATATGATATATGTTAGTTAGTTAGTACTGAATTTAGATTAATTTGTTTAGTTTTCTCATGATAGATCGGGATTGAGTATGTTATAAGTATGTATTTTTACATGTTGATGTGTTAGTAATTATATGTCTGTATTTAGTGAATTGCGGTTATTGGAAAATATGTTATGATATTATTTAGTTTAATTATGATATGATAGATGTTAGTTAGTTAGTTATGAATTTAGATGAATTTGTTTAGTTTTCTCATAATAGATCAATTAGTTGCATTTTATTATTGCTTTGGATGATATTGTTTTTGTATCCATAATGTACTAATTATATACTATACTTAATTATTATAAATTGCAGACATGGGTAAATTTAAGAAGTTTCGGCTTATTATTTATTGGAATGGTCGGGTGACAAACTCGAACATTGGGATCGACTATGAAGATGGCGAATCCAGTATGCTTACAATTGAGTCGAGATTCTCGTGGCAAGAACTCCATGACAGGTGTGCAGAAAGGACTTGTACGGGCGGGCAAATGAGAGTTCGTCAAATTACTTACCGGTATCCCAACATGAGTGCTGACGGAGTCATGTACGAAAAAGTTGACATAAATGATGATGACGACGCGAACATGATGATACAGTTCATATCTGAGAACGGGGTGCGGCTTGCAGAGGTGTATGTCGAGACCGAGTCGGTCGGTGAAACTCATTCTCACCAGTATTCTTATGATGATGGTTTTGCAGGAGGGTATGGCTGGGGTGGTAGTTCAAGTAACTATGGAGCAGGTTCTTCTGCCGGAGGGTATGGTTGGGGAGGTACTTCAAGCAACTACGGAGGAGGTAGTTCTGAAGGAGGTGTTGGGTGGGAAGAATACCTGCCACATGGTGGTGAGACTGCCGTCGATATCGTTCAGCCCGACGGTGATCAATGGCCTGCTTGGGGTCCAGAGTGGGGTGACATTGAAAACACCCTTCGATCTGGGCGTACTTCGCATGACCAAGAAGGCGATGCTGGTTATGCTGGTAACGATGACCATCCTTCGCCGAGCTATCCATTCGCCTCCAGTGACGATGAAAGTGAGGAAGATTTGAGATCAGTCAGTGAGGAGGAAGATACGGACGATATCGATGACAGTGAGGTGGCGTTCCGACAGGCACCAACGCCTTACTACACAGAGGTTCCTGATCAATTTTTATATGGTCAGAACGATGCCCCTGACTTTCGGCCCATGCCTGTGTATAATCCGACTGCTAATTTGGAAGTGGGTATGGCGTTCACTTCGAAAGCCGATGTGCAAGACGCTTTTAGCGAAGAAGCCGTGCGGCGTAATTTCGAATGGAAGGTAAAATATTCTGACAAAGGACAACTGCATGTCATTTGTAAGAATGCAGGAGAGGGTTGTATGTGGCAACTTCGTGCTGCATATATGAAGAGAAAGGGGGTCTGGGTCATGCGGACAGTAGAGAACAACCACAGTTGCTCCTCAACCATACTTTCACAGGATCACCGGCAACTGAAAGCAAAAAAAGTGGCAAGAACCATTAAGCACCTTATCGAGGCACAACCAGATATCAAGATAAAAGCTATCATGGCGGAGGTGAAGGATCGACACTCCTACACCATAAGGTATAAGAAGGCGTGGCATGGGAAGCAGAAGGCCATGGCTGATGTCTACGGTGATTGGGATGACTCGTATGCTTTACTCCCCAGACTAATGTCCTCAATGGAGGAGTCCAACCCTGGGACGGTTTTCGTGCCTTGGTACAACAACGTAGAAACTGAAGATCAAGTTCGAGTACAGAACGAGTTGATGTTTCATCGTCTGTTCTGGACATTCAAGCCATGCATTGACGGGTTTCCCTTCTGCATGCCAGTGATTCAGGTATATTACGGACTCAAAATATTGTACTATTTCATTACTTTACTAATTTCAATTTTTACTAACTCATTATTCATTTTAACAGGTTGATGGAACTTTCCTTACTGGGAAGTATAAAGGAACTCTTCTTATTTTCTCGAGTTGTCGATGATGGCATCTCCGGTGATCGGGATGGCATCTTCTGGTTTTCTCGAGTTGTCGATGATGGCATCTCCGGTGATCGGGAGCCCGGTGAGGATGGCAACATCTTTGAGGGTGATCGTCATTTCACCCTCGGGAAAGTGGAAGGTATGCAGCTCAGGGCGCCATCGCTCTGCCATTGCCGTCAGCAGATCGTTGTCAATATCAAGCCTCATAAAGTGCCTCAAATTGTGCAATCCCGCCCTCTCTAGATAGGGATGCAGTCGAGGATGCCAACGGGGCAATCGACATGTCCCTCGATGACTGATGGGAATAAGTGATTCCTACAAAACAAAAAACACAATATTGTCAGTCAATAGAAAGCAAAATAAAAACTTAGAAAGCAAAATAAAAACTTTAAAACTATTGAAATAATTTTAGTGTGTCTACCGGATTATTGTTCCAAATTGAACGAGAGCGATGTTGATCTTGCCCGGTTAAATACCTTCGATCCCTTGGGCCAGGATCGATATACAATCTAGGGTCGTATATCTCAGCACCCATCTATAAAAAAATATGAAATCAAATCAATTTAAATTTTAGCACCCATGTAAAAAAAAATCACAAAAGAATTAAATAAATTTACGTACTCTCAAAGCCTCTTCGTCCATTTTTTGCCGAAAAGCTAGCGAGAGTATCGACAAAACAACAAAACAAAAACTCTAGTAATTCTTTCTGATGCGGAAGATCGGACTTAGCCGCAACCACAGAGCATACTTAGAACGAAACTAGAGTGAAAAATGGAGGGAGAAAGAAGTATAAAGTGGTGGTGTGGTTTGGAATGAGGGGGGATGGGTATTTATAGTGTTTGGGGCTGGAAAAAGTCCTGGCCAGTTATCACCGCCCCGAACAAACACAGTGTCATCACTGCGTCCAACAAAGGCGGTGATGGGCACGGATCGGTGACGTGGCGGCTTCTGATGCGTCGGATTGTGGAGAAAAACCACAATCCGCGCATAACTACATCGGACGGCAGCGGTGAAGGCGCGGGGTGGGGCGCGGATCGCTGACGTGGAAAGCGGGGCAATCACCGCTTTGGTCTTCAGCGGTGAAGTGCCCGCGCGCGTCCACGTCAGCTATCCGCGCCACTTCACCGCTGTTGGATCCAACGGTGAAGGCCTCACTGCTTCCCTCATCAACGGTCATGCCATCACTGTCGTCCTTGAAAGCGGTGATGGCATCACTGCTTTGGTCTAAAGCGGTGATAGCATCACTGTTTTTGTCAAAAGCGGTGATGTATCATCGTTTTAGACCAAAACGGTGATCAACATCACTGTCTTAGACAAAGACAGTGATGTTGAAACTGCTGTACTTTGGGAAATACTTTTATAAGTACTGTATTTTGGTAATTTTTTTTAATAATTGGTGTATTCTGGGATTTTTTTCCGTTATTAGTGTAGAACTTTGAAGCTTCAAATTGGGGAATTGATCAACTTGTGACCCTCCACAATGAAAGATTGAGTGATAATTATAAACCGATGTTCGTAACTTTTTAGTATAAAACGTCAGACAACGCATATCTTACCTTTTTTGTAGGATGATGATCGCAATTAAACATCCAGAATGTGATCGTATCATCAATTAAATCAAGAGAAACAAAATATACAAGAGAAATCTATATTTTTATTCACCTTCGACAAAATGAAACTACAATATATATACTGACGATAAGACTTTTGAGCTAGCTAGCTTATTGATTAATGCCGTCCTCTATCGATCTATGCATGCGCCGTCGGGGTGCCGGTGCCGGATAAGTTCGTCATCCGGTTGCTGAACGTGGCACGCGATGTTTGTCCTATCGTGTGACCATCTGCAATGGAAGTAGTGTTTACGTAACATTATAACCTCATATCTCCCTCTCCGAACTAAATCGAGCCACGAGAGCGTTCGGTGTGTGCTCTGAGCATTTTTCATCGCGGCAGAATGGTATCTAATGATTTAACTCATCGAAATAGACGAATGAACACGTGTGTGATTATGCGAGGGTGCAATCCAACAACGTCAGCACGTGCTGATCGTCGCGTCTCAATAATAATATAGCGTGGCTTATGTTATACATTTAAGTATTGATCATTTTAGGGCACCTTCTTAAGCAAATCAATTGATGTAATTAACTTGTGTGCTGAAAGTTAGATTGAATTTACCGGACAAGGAGCCGACATCAATGAGACTATCAAGGCCAACTGCAGCAAACTTGGCGACGATCAAGGTGAGGTTGTCGAATGGGCCTGAAAGATAACCTGCTCCGGATTAGCCACCAGCCCATCTCTTCTCCCAAGCGGGACTTTCCACGGCGGCCCACCACTCTGTTTCATACACGAGATCCCAAACAATTGAAGCTGTTGTTGCGACGAAATAACTTGTCGCCCTCAGTCCCATCCACTATCCAGCAGCACAGACCCATCAGCCATCACATTCCTTCAAAACAAGTTTTCACCATTTATCTGCTGGGATTATAGTAGGATCGAACCTTGTTAAACTGCAAAATCGAAACATATGTTGTGTAACATGCAGATCGGTTGGCCTAGCGATAATGAGAACGACAAATACTTCGACATGCTACAACTTGGGTTAGTTAGTTAGTTATACGTGAAGGCGCAGCAAGGAGGCAGCCATCCGCATCTCAGCCTATGCATGCACACGATTTGGGCGAGCTTGGGGCACGTCGATGCATAGAAATCGACACTCAGCTGAGATTTCACATCAATCACACACAGCAGCATCAAACAGTTATAGGAGATTGTGGGAGTTGGGTCGTCGTGATAGTGTAGTTTAATTTAGCCTTATTCTTCCGCTAATCACATTAAGTTGTAGTTAGCATAATCTAAGTCCATATTGTAAATTCTGGTTCTACATTCATATAGAATTATTTCTTATTCCATATGACTTGACTTGTGAGTGCTGCAGAAGTGCAATCAGAGTAAACTCAAGTGCAGTCGACTGAAAAGAACCCGAAATTGAGAACCAAAAACTTCAGGAGACACCGTTAAAATCAATCAATTAGAGTACAGGAATGCCACAATATGTATCGTTTCTGAGAACAAGAGATTTGTGTGATACAAAATGCAGGATTGGTTTACCTAACAGTTGCTGGAAGTTACATGGTGCGAGGAGGGACTGTACTAGATGATGAACAGGTACTTGTTAGTAAAGCGTATTAGCTATTTCCCTGTCCCGGCCAGCTTTTCCTCTAAGCCGAAAGCGACTGCAAACTGGGTAGAAGAATAGCAGGGGATCCGTCATTTACTCCGTGGGGCGGAAGATCTGACGATTTGTAGAAGAATGACTTGATGTAACTTTACAAAAGAGCCTGAACAAAATGGCAGCCGGTGAAGGGGGTGGGCAGAGTGTGCAGAGGAAACCAAAGCCATAGTTGATGGGAGGCATTTCTGCAGAGAAGTGGAATGAAGAATCAAATGATAGAAGTACAGAAAAGCTCTGCAAGCTCCATTTGATAAGGGAAGAGGAACATAACCATATTGAAACATGCATTCATCTCATATGAGAAAGTTTGATCCTTCAGCAGTGTAAGAGCAATATTGAAACACGTCACGCCTTACCTCTTTCACTCTCCCGTCCAGTCTATCAATTCACTGCTAGGCGCAGAAAGCTTTGCCATGTGCTCCTCGGCTTCAATGTCGTTAACCACACCACGGCATCGTGGGAAACCACAGTAGCATGGTAGTTGTTCGTCGATTGACAAAAACCTGATGATAAGTGACAGTCAGCTGCTAGCAAGTACAATTTAGAGGAAGAGTGAGAAGTTGAAAAAAGAAATAGTTTAAGAGGCTTGAGGAGAACCTATAATCATAGGTAAGTTCTTCCCATCTTTTAATATCTCGCTTTGCATAGATAATGATATGCTCGTCACCATTCACGCTTATAACTCTAGAATAGCAATTGGGCTGTTGAAAACAGAAAAGTGAAAATAAGTATCCTGCATTTTGATGGATTTCAACATCCAAATATCACTAAACAAAATCAGCACTAAACTCAACCACCTTACACGAACTTAGAAACTGTCCAAATCTTAGGTCTTATATTCTCCTTCATCTAAACAAAAGAATAAGGTGGGAAAGTAAGATGCATACCTCGCACGAGTGATTAATCAGATGAGCAATGCTTCCTGCCCGTGTAGCATCAATAACTCGTTCATTATCGATCCGAAACATGTAAGTACCAGCACCCTGCATAAGTAACCTAATCAGCATCTCATAAAAGTTGCAGAATTACGGGGAAATCAATAGTCAAAGAAACTTACCACCAATGAATTGTATATTAGATGTTCTCTCCTATCAGCTATAGGAGGTCGAACAAGTTCACCACTGTACTCAATCATCTAACAAATAAATAGAAAACTTCATTAGTACCCTTTTGATGAAATATATACCCTTCAACATTAGAAAACCCATAAGGTTACCATGTCTCCCGCCCTGTGTGGATGCTTTGCAAAGATGCCAAATCCGTGAATTGCTGATTTGCCTAGAATAGAAATATTGGCAACCATCAGACACAAAAATGTAAAATATCACCTTTGCCTCAATGTGAAAGCTCATCAACAGAGGAAACAAAGTCAGCTAGTATAGATATACGTCAGACGACCGCTAGTAAAAGTCAGCATGTAAGTTCAAAGGACGTACCAAATGCCAGTCTCTTTCGAAAGGTCTGCCTCATGTTATTATATTTCTCAGCCATAGAAAGAATATTGTTTGGAACAGAAAGGCGAGAGGCTCTTAGCCTTTGTAGAGTAGAAGAAAATCGAGTGCCAGCACCACCACTTGAAGAAAGTGGAACCCCTGATGACTCATTTGGGCAATAACCTCCAACAAGGTAAGGCTGGTTCTCCACAAACAGACGCTTCAAGGATACAGCAGCAAGGGCATCAGGTTCCTTGCGTCCTCTTCGTCCAGAATGATTGTAAGGCTCTTTCAGGGGAGGGAAAACAAAACAAAATAACACTTGTCAGAAGCCTGCCAAAACTTGCAACAAGAAACAAGCAAATAATGCGAAATCGACTTGGAATATGGGTTAGGGTTGGTGGGTTTACAGGTTGGTTTATATGGATGCATTGGTTTAATGGCCCGTGGGTTTGGTGCAATCACATTCTCAGTAGTTTGGAGGTAATTTGGCAAATTTGTCAGGTCAAGGGGCTGTTGGATAGGTTCTTACAAGTTTGCTACTAAATCTAGGTACTAAATGACAATTTTACAGGAACCCGGAAAAAAAAAGGATACAATTCACGAGAATGTGGAAGAGTGCATAGCAGCCAGATTAATAGCAAGAGTGTAGACAAACACACACCTGTACGAGCGCAGCCAGATTGATTACATGGTGGAACGTAGTCAGAGCAACGACGAGAAACTCGACTAATACGTTCATCCGCAATTTGTCGGTCGTTAGATGGCTGCTTATGCCTTTTGCAGAAGGAAATTAAACGAATGCATTGGTCTTCTTCATCATCATCCATAGAAAGCAGATATAGTCTTTCCTCATCTTCTAGCTGTGCAATAAAAGAGAGAATTCAAAAGAGCCTTGTAATTTACCAGCAAAAACAACCACAACATACAAATGATTCCTCTTGAGAAAGATCTTCATTGTGGATTTATAATGTCAATGTTTCAAAGCCGTGTAAACAGAAACTCACCTCAACACAAAGGCCAGCAGCACGAGCACAAAGTGGATGATATGATGCGCAGCAATTATGGTTTGAACACTGTAATGAAACATTGATTCAGAGTGAGCCAACTAACAGCTGAGGACTGAGAAAACTAAAGAATAAAAAAGGAACCTGTACACTCAGATATTGGTACACAACCAACTCTGCAATAGAAACTGGAAAGGCCATTTAGATTACAAGCTTACCTGAATACAAGCACCATAAGCTACACCACAGATACTGCATTGAAGTTTCCATCGATCCTGTTTAAGTACAAAAAGGCTGGTTAGGGCACGAGCAACATATAGTGCCATGATAAGACAATGCGTTGTTAAAAATCAGCAGATAGCTACCACTTCACAAAGTCAGTAATATCTGACAGGTATAATAGAACAATAGAACGAGTGATACAGAAAACCAGCAAAATTAGCAGCTGAAATATACCTTGTTTATTCTATTTAGACCATCAATGGGCTCCATTCTCTTTACATCTGACAAGCAAGTTTCTGTCCATACAAAGCTATGTCATCATGTCTGATATTAACATAATGCTAAACCACCAAAATGAAGGTTAAAGAACGCAGAGACAGACCAGGTATCCAAATGGCACAAGCAAGATGAGCCCATCGCCCGTCTGTTGTAGGCTTCATAGCACCACCTGGAAGAAAATTTAACTTCCCACAGTTACAGCATAATTATGTTATTGAGGTAGAACATATTAATTGAAAAATCAGGCAGTATCAGACCTATAACAGGACAAAGGCAACAAGGGGGTGGGAACTCAGGAGCTCCAGGACGGCACAAGTTACATAACCACAGGACACCATCAACAGGTTCTAGTTCCCCATAGCACCTAGCATGGACCTGAAGAAGCAGCAATTGGATGTCAAGATTCATTCTAATAGAAGGCAAAAATAGCCCAAAAATAAGACTCCCAAGTAAGCATTTTGACGGGACACTACCAAAATAACTGCACTAGGAGATACTAAATGAAAATAGTAATAGCAGTAATTATATGATTCAAGGTGTCTGATAACGGCATCATGAATGAAAAGCTTACCATCATTCTACATTTATCGCACTGCAGGAAGAGATTGTTTTCATATTCCTGTAACCAAATAGAGAAAAAGGAAGTTTAAATCACGATATATTGAACCAACACCAAATAGATGAACTGGAGAAAATGAGCAGAATATCATTCATGTCCAGCTCTTCTGCATTTTCATCTTTGATGTGTTGGTGAACTAACTTAGGTTTCATCTCCAGAAGTTATCATTATATTCACAGAAATAGGATTCACCTCATCCATATGGCAGACATTGCACTTATCAAGGTCCTTCCAGTCAACTCGAACTGGTCTGTAGCCAGCAGGCAAATCTTGATATCTGTCAGATAGTGACTTGCTTGTTGACATTCCAGATATAAATCTGGATTTCGATATTCCCTGTCCGTACCAAAATAATTGTGTGAGCAACATATACGCTAGCAAGATAGAAGTATAAACTAGACCAAGCCCAAGGCCTCTATCGCTTTCAATATGGGCAGATTGAACTCTTCTGATAGAGAAACTATAGTAAAATCAAGACAGTAAAAGTTGGTCTACGAAATTCAAACATGAAACCTAATTTATTGTGTATGTGTAAAGCCAATTGATAAGGAAATTTTAGTATCTAGTTCTGTGGCATAACAACTACAACTTCAAATGCTACGGAAGATTTTATTAATGGTTCTCAAATCGACAATCAGGGCTTGAAGTTAGTCTCTTTTGCTTGTTGAGTTGGATTTAATGTTACTCAATCTTTGAATTGATTAATGTGTTTTCCTGGTCTGTGTCATATTGTTGGTCTTGCTCTATTTAGAGTATGTTATAACACCTTAATACCCTTGAATCCTGGAAACCCAGCCTTTTGGAGGATAATCTCCTTTTTTCCTGCTGGACTTCATTCTCGGGGATGTTTTGAGGCAATATTGTTGGTGGGAATTTTCCAGAGGAATCAAGTGCAACACACTCCGAGTTACTCATGTCCTTAGTTGCAACTTGAGTAAGCACAATCAATAGATTAACTAAAGATAGTCTATTCATAAGAGAGCCCCAAAGGAAAGAAGAGGACATTCAGCCCCACCCAAGATGAATATTTGAGGCCGACTCATAAAAAACTAAAGTGAAATGGAAGATCCAGAAAGATGCATACTTTCCAGCACATAGAAGTGAAATGTACAGAGTGGCATACCTTTATGAGTTTGCTGACTTCAGGGTAAGAGAAACCAAACATGTGAGAACCAGACTGGCGGGTCCTTTCTACTTGACATCCACCATTTAAATCACCAGATGTATCTTCCAGTTTCTTAATTCTTTCATAGATTTTATTCCAGCAAGCTGATGGAGTTGATCCTTCAATCTACAAAGGACAATCAAGTCAATTAACATGCATAACAATTGATAGTTATATTACCTCAACAATAATCAGAAATTTCCAGGCTGCCATTGGAGGAAAAGGTGAAAAGTGCATATTACAAAACCAGAAGCTATGATAACCTTTACTAACAAGAAATAATATACAGTTGTTGACAAAAAGTTATTTCCAGAATGGTAAGCATGGATAGCTAACAATAGTAATTGTATCAATAGAACCCTAATTAGCTACTTAAATGCACACAGCTGCTGACCTGTATTCTACAGCTCCATGTCAAATGTGCAAAAGGAAGGGTGGGACACTGCCCTTTCTTTCACTGTCAAATGAGTTAACCAGGAGGAATTGAATAATTGGGCAGGATAATGGTTATCTCGGACCAGATCAAGACTCGAAGAACAGTATATATTTCCTCTTTATCGAGAATAAGTTCTAATTAAAAGCGTAAGCCATTTCTTGCCCTAACAGCAACTTCAAAAACTGGATAAGTCAACTGAAGTTATTGGTAGAACAAACACAACAAGTGACACAATATCCACACATAAGATTATCCCCTTACTTTTCTAGTTCTCTGATAAAGCTATCGCATACCAAAAATGCAAGTGAAAGGAAAATCAATAGCAGAAGAGGGATGGACCATATTTCTGAAAACTGCTTGAACATTAATGATGTGCTTACTGCAACTCACCTGCTCTCCATAGTCAAGTGTCACTCTAAACAGGGGCCTAATCTTTGACTCGGAATCTCTCAGCACTTCCATCTTATAAACGGTACACGCACCTGGGTCTACAACCAAGAAAATATTGAAGTAGCCAAAAATTATTCCATCTGATGCTAAGCTATAATAGTGAAATTAGCGGTATGACGGATTTAACAAGCACAGAAGTTGACCTGATACCGAACTGAACTTCCGCAAGGCAGTATATCCCTCAGGCCAGATGGATTTTTCATCCTGGAAATATTCTGAATCCTTCACAATCTTTCCTGGGATAGAGAAAAAGGGTTTATATAAGAAGATGAGCTTCCTTTGATACCCAGCAACCAATCAAAGCTCTAAGAAAAGCTTGCAGTTTGGTTCATCAAGGAAAGTAGGAGGTTTCAAAGTTAAATGCTCTAAACATGTTCCCCTTTCATGCATGGGTTAGCTACTAAAATCCGGAGCAACTGACAATCAAAAGCGTGATAATATACCACCTTCAAGACATTCAAATTTTCTGCATACTCTCAGTGGCAAATTACAAAATTAAAGATGACAAATATGGATCAGCGAAATGCGATTTGGGTTCATGAGATCCGAAATAATTACCAAGGTTTATGATTTGCAGATCTCCAATAACATACGGAGAAGTTTGGAGGCCCCTCAATATCCTTTGTATCCCTTCATCTGCGATACAATCGTCACCTGAATCTGCACTCCGTTCATTGTCACTATTTGCATGTCCACAACTATCTGTATTCGTGCTATTTCGCAACTGTAACATTCTTGTAGGAAGCTTTTGTTCACTCAAATACCTGTCAAAATAAAATTACAAGCGAATTTTTTAACTCAAAAGTAAAGACTGAAGTTGCTGCCGCGACATTGGCAAAGTTTCATACAGTTGGTCATTCTATCATTATGCAAATATTAGTATTAAGTATATCTGGTGAAATTTAAGGCAACCATAGGTGCTACATATTTAAGCCTCTAGAAGTTAATTTCAGAAAGCAACCCAAGTGAATAATGATTATTGTATCCACTCTTTATGTAAATAAGGCAAATCCCCATTGAAGGAGAACAACCATGAAAAGTAAATGTGAACACTACAAGTCAATTCCAGAGGCCTAAAAACTGTTCTCGAATTGGGAAAGCTCACGGTACCTTAGGTTCAACCAAAAGGAGTTGCCAATCTACCGAATGTCGTTTAAAGTAACCCACATACAAGAATGATGCCCAAATCCATTCAAAAAATGGTATGAACAGTGCATATTGGCCTTTGATAAATTACAGTTACTCACACAAACTACTGTCACCATAATGGATCTAGTATACATGTTGAAGTTACACCACTTACATCTTTGCTTCTTCCAAGCTGCGAGCAAAACGGGGTTGCTTGCACTTCAGGTGGAAAGAGGAAAGAAGTCCTTTCAGAAATGAGATAACCTGGTTTGATTTAATTCTGCAGGGCAACCACAGTTAAATGCACAGCAGTACCCCAATTTTTTTATTAATTTTACCAACAACAAACATGATCCCCCGCAGTCATTTACCTAGCAAAATCATGAGTACCGAAGAATTGCACAGGGACAAATCTACCTCCCAAATTCGTCTTTGAACCTCTACTGCTGCCAATAACTGATTCTTCAACAACAATAGCTGGCCAAATAGCATGACCTGCACTACAACAATCAAAAGATATAGTCGGTGCAAAACCAGAGATAAAAAGTATAGAAATAAACTGCCTTTGAAAACGAGACATGTCTTTTTCCCCATAAATTGATACTTATTTACCAATGCAAAAAAAAAAACTCCACTGCAATAATAGATAAAGGCTCATAACAACAAATTCATTAACACTAGGTTCTTTCTTATAGACATAAACATATGTACTTTCACAAGCAAGAAATGCATTAGACAACCTAATCTATTGCGCAATAGTTCAGTAATGTTCAAAGTTGCGCAATAGTTCAGTAATGTTCAAAGTTGCGCAATAGTTTATTAAAAACTATTTTTCTATACTTCAGTTTCTGTTGTTTTCTCAATCCTCCAAGCAAGAACATTTTTTCATATTGGATAAAGAGACGACAGAAGGAAGAAGATTGAATTCCGAAACCATGAGATCATGGGGAATTTCATTTAAGACTTCAAGTATTCTGCCAAGGCATTAAGAACACACCCTGGTTAGTTTCCTTAGATAATTACGAACTTCATTAGAAAAAAAGAGGAAGAAGAAATCCTGGTTAGTTAAAAGTAAAAAAAGACAACAGCACAAGGATATGCAATGAAACAAATCGTAAATGATGGATGAGATTAATTTAGTGCACACCAGTTAGTTTTGCCCATATGACATCTCCAGGTTCAAGTTCTTGGCAGTCATCCAAACTGGCAGCTAACACAACCATCTCCTCATATTCATGGCTGCCATCATTGCTGCTTTTTGTACTGTAACTCAAGTTCAGTTCTTCCATCTCTTCACGGGAAATAAAAAATTTAACCTTCTCTTTTGAAAGCATTACATTCTCATCATCTCCATCCTCATAGTGTATCTGTAATTATTCATTCCAAACAACAAAAGGAACTCAGCAGCTGCTACATAATGTTCCAGCCTTCCAGGAGCACAATTAATCGAGCGAAAACATACTAAAAACATACTTGATGCTGATTAGTCCCAGAATTGTATCCAATAATACGACCTGAATACCAGTCAACATCCAAAGGCCAATACACCTGTAGAGAACCATGTTAATTACACAATCAAAGAGGCTGAGGAACTGATTCTTCAGAACAATTGAAGAATGTGAAACTTACCTTGCATTGAAGCCCGATGAAAGTTTTTGGTTCAACGCTATCAATGCTCAACCTGTTATATCCAAACATTTGCAGGCAACAAAATGCATTAAGTTCAGCAAGAAATGCAAACTGAGAAGATTGTTTATCCAGTCCACTTTGGTGTAGAACATTCAATTAATAAATTTCCAACATTTATCATCCTCGGCAGAAGGAAACAAGTACACAATTCTCGTAAGAACAGTAAAAACCAAGTGGAAAGAAAAACACACACCTAACCCATCTTCTAGTACTTGGTGGGATTGACGAAACTTTATCAGAAATCTGCACGAGATCGCTCTTCTTCTTCTTCCGCACCTTATTGGTCCCATTCACTTGATGATTCCGGCAGTCCCTCAATCGCGGGCGATCAAACCCTTGCAAAGCACTGGAATCAACCCCCAATCTAACCAACTCACCGCTCCCAATCCTCCTCTTCTTCGCCTTCCTCCCCAAATCATCCTCGACCATATCCCCGAACTCTATCATTTCCTCCTTCACTTTAACTTCCAGGACCGGCCCCTCATCGGTCCTCGCGAGCAACGATTCTACAGATGACAGTTTCTTCTCGACAACGCGAGCCTTTTTATACTTGCGAGTATACACATTTATAATAGGAGGCCGATTGGGAACCCGATCTTCCTCGTCGGAGCTAACTTTCCGCGCTTTCACCTTCTTGGACATGACATTCGAGCCCCCGGAGCTGACACACAGCGACGCCGCAGTGTAGACCTGGTCCAGCGACACGTAACGTACTGGTGCGTCGGTCTGGTTATCCAAGTTGATGTCCCCGTCGTCTTCGAGGATCGGCTTAAATACCTTCTCGTCGCTGGGTTCTTCGACTAATGCCATGGACGGAAAATGCATGCTGCGATGAGGGAGATGGAAGAGAGAGAGTTACGAAATTGGCCGGAGCGAGCTTCTGCTCTCTCGCTCGACTTCGAGCAGTCCAATTGCGACTACGTCCGTTCCGGCGATCGGGAACCCCTGGAATCGGGGTGAATTGTGGGGGAGTATAGGATGCAGAAAGGGAGCAAGAGAGGATTAGGGTTTAAGGTGGGTGTAGAAAAGTGAGGAAGAAAAGGGGAACTTGGACAAATTGGATCGTTTTTGGAGGGAGGGATTTTTCCCCCAAATTATCAGTTTCCCGCCGGGTGTTAACCATGGCGGATATACGCACAAGTGGAATTCCGCCACGTGTACGTGCCAAAACAAACCCCAGGTGCAAATAACCAGATTTCTAAGCAAAACATACCATTTTATCGGTAATTCGGTTATTGATCAACTATCGTGCTTGACTATCTTATTTTTTTTGTAAAAATTTATCTATATATAATGCTAATTATGAGGGTGAAATCAGACGTCCAAAGTTATGGAATTACATGAATTCTAGTGATGTGTAACAAATTACACATGTTAGAATCAAAATTATCATTCCTCTAATTTGAAGAAGAAGAAAAATGTATTTGTTCCTTCAAAAACTTATTCTAATGAGACAAATTCAGGGATGAATCCTATAGGTCCACATACATTCGTTATATAATAACTGAGGACGGTTTAGATAAAATCGAGCTTGTAAAAAGGTATCCATGTATATGAGTATGCCACTAAATAACCACTTTACAAACACTTTCAAAATATAATATTTGTAATCGATCTCTAAACCGTTTTACTTACATTGACTAACAGATCAAATAGAACAAGTGTTGAATAAGGTTTAGATAGCAAGGCATGTGCTTGACCATTGCCTATCGTCTAGGTGTTAGAAGTGAAAATAACAAAATTTTAACCTTAATCACTTGGATCCAAATGATTAATGACTTGTTTAACCCTTTACATTAAGCAAAACATCACAAATTTTCATATAATTAAAAGTCCATTGAAAGTAGAACACACTCAACGATAATTTCACTAACCATCCAAATAGGTTAATCCAACCACCATGCCATCTTCATTGTCCTCGTAAGCAATATCTTCCCATCGTCTTCTCTTCCTCTTGGAACTCGAGTTATTCGTCATGAAAATCTCCCACCATTGCACTCCTATGAAGTTCAAGTTGTGCAATGGCTCCTATCGTATCTAAAACACGCATGATACACCATATCCTTCATCAACCTAATCCAAACATGGTTATTTTTGTTTTGTTTTGTTGTTTCTAACCTAACGTTAACAACTGGACGAAGAGAGTATAAGATAGATTAAATCTTTATGTGAGTTTTAATTTTGATTTACTCACAATCTGACCATCTTCGCTTTAGTATCGTCTCATTATGCCTAAATATTGGCATGCACGTCTAGGCATGACCTTACGCCTTTAAAGAGCGCTGAACACCGTTTTGCACATCTTAGGAATTAGACAGGGGTTTTCGGCCTTGCCTTATGCGTAGGCAAGTGCCTAATATCGCATTCCCAAAGAAGAGTAAAATATATCGAAAGTTCGAGTTTCATTGTCATCCCCACATTCACGGTATATCATTGCACTCATTTTATTTTTGTACAAATTGATAAAAAGTTCATAAAATCGTACCTAGCTTTTATTCTTTAAAAGAGCGATATTTTGTTATCATAACATAATGTAACGAAATACCCTCGATGCTTTTGAAATTATATATAAATTCACACCATTGATACAATGATACTTTACTGTTAAAAGTTAAAACCACATCTCCAAAATTGTACTAAAACCATATGACATGTGACGCTCTGTTATATAAACCAATGTGAGATGAGGCTTGTCAGCACGGTACGGTTTAACTTTTAACCACGTAATTCTAATAGCTCCAAAACAATACGACACCGTTTGTACTGTGGCCTGACCTCACCTGGACCCAACCCCACCCATGGAGATTCGAACCCACTGTAGAGAATTCTTCCTCAAGGCCTTTGCTTCCCATTTACGGCCCGAGTCAACCAGGGTAAAAAACCAGTTGGAGTTCGTTAAATACTTATACTACTAATTTATTATTAATTATGTTATCCTCTGTTTTTTTGGGCGTGTAATTGAGTGTTTTGCTTGCCAAAAAATATATTATTCATACCTTTTTAGTTCAACAACCGTAAACCCTAGTAATTTAAATACATTCTTCTCCGCTAGCTGTTTCTGTCCGCCTCCATCTCTCTCACTGTCGCCAGCCTTTGCTTTGCTCCCGCCTCCGTCGCCACCTCCAGCTAGGGTTTAGGATTGGGGATCAGCTGCTGGAATTCCGATTGCTCCAGCGTCGGAATTCAGTTCCCTCCTCCGGCCATGGATCTCCCGACACTCGCCGCCGTCCTCCAAGCTGCTCTCAGTCCCAACCAGGAACAGCGGAAGGCTGCTGAGCAGAGTCTTGATCAGGTTACCCTCCTCTCATCAGTTTCCTTTTTGTTCATTTAGCGCTGCTGGTTTGTTCGTGGAGTTTCACTGCTAGCTTAGCTACTGGTGTGGTTGTGACGAGTAGGCGACTGTTGCATTCAATTCAAGCTGGATTGGCAAATTCTCGTGTTGTCGGTGCAACTGCTTGGTTGATTGAATTTGTTTGTGCTAGGATGGTTGAATTTGTGAACGATGAGTATTTTGTTTGTTGACGTATGAGTTGGTGAGCGAGTGATTGTTTGCTTACGGTTGTACGAATGCCAATTTGTTGTTGCAGATACAGTTCACTCCTCAGCACCTGGTGAGGGTGTTGCAGATCATCGTGGATAATAATTGTGACACGGCGGTGCGGCAGTTCGCGAGTATCCATTTTAAGAACTTCATTGCGAAGAACTGGTCTCCTCATGACACTGGTACTGATCTTCATTCCGTGGTATTCTGCTTGTCTGTGAGAGTGGGAGTATCTGGTGTCATATGCTTATGATGTTTTGTTGTCTTATTGTTTGATGTAGATGAGCCTTCAAAGATTGCGCCTAGTGATAAAGATGTAGTCAGGGATCACATCCTCGTTTTTATTGCGCAAGTCCCCCCAATTTTGAGGTATAGTAACTTGTAGATCAATGGATCTACTGATTTTTCCATTGCTACTTAGTAGTATCTGCTCCTTTTTGGGACCGTTCGTCATTTTTTATCTGTTCCTGAAGTTGGTGGATTATCTTTACCAACTGTTATTTTTTATGAGCAATAAACTAATTGCTAATATTATTGTTGTCTAATATAAGATGCTTATAATTTGCAGAGTACAGTTAGGTGAATGCCTGAAGACAATCATCCATGCTGATTATCCGGAGCAGTGGCCACGCTTGCTGGAATGGATAAAGCATAATCTGCAGGATCAGCAAGTATATGGGGCTTTGTTTGTTTTAAGGATTCTATCGAGAAAATATGAGTAAGTGATTGTTGGTGGTTATTTTATAGACTAAGTGAGATTGCATGGAGATTCACTTTTTTCCTGCTGATATTTCTGTGCTATAGGCTTCTTAAGATTCTGAATATGGCAATGAGCTCTTGGTCTGACTATGGCTATCTTGTTTCGACTATTGATGAACATGTATACGGTGTTCATTTCAGTGTCCTTAAAGAAACGGGGTTAGGATTTATTCTTGTATACAATCCAAAGAGATCAGGTCTAAATAAATATTATACTTTCGCTATCAAATTTCTGTTCTGTTTTCGTATGAGGAGGATTTCGGTTAAGCTACTTACGTGCAGCTGTCAGTTATTGATGGCATTTCGCAATTTATTGGGTAATGTAGTTCTGCATATTTTGGGAAGTTTGCCCTTTCTGGTTGACGAACCGTGCTGTAACTTAGGTCCGGTGGCTCTCTGTTGCTTTTGTTAACTTGTAATTGTTTTTCCATTCAAATGCTTTCAAGAATGTGCTAGTCTTGAGTGGCAAGTTATTTTTCTTGGCATAGTTAGCTGATTCTAATTCCTCCTGGTTACACTTACCCTGATCTCTTTCTGCTTAGGTTCAAGTCCGACGAGGAAAGGATTCCTGTTAATCGAATAGTTGACGAGACATTTCAACACCTTCTCAACATTTTTACTAGGCTTGTGCAGATTGCAAATCCATCCCTAGAAGTGGCGGAGCTAATCAAGCTTATCTGTAAAATATTCTGGTCATCCATATATGTGAGTTTTTTCTTGAAATACTGGCAGGCGTGTTTATGTCCATTGTTGTTTGAGGAGGTGCTTTGACACAACTGTTTTTATACAGTTTGATACTTTCATATACATTGGATAGAGTTTAGTAGGTTTCTCTGTGATCCTGAGGTCTCTTATGTCATCCTAAGATCCTTTTCAAGTAGCTATGACTGTCTCGGAATCATGCACTAATATGAAATTTCATTTTGTTTTTGATAAATAAGGTGATAAATGCTTGGTTCTGTTGGAATAAGGTTGCAAAGAAAAATTTGATGGGATAACCCAACATATTTTTAGAGTAGATTAGTCCTTTTTCTTCATATTGAAAAGTGCTGTCAATGTCTAATTTTTGTTCTCACTGGTTTTCGAACTCTTGATATCAACAATATATTGCTTATTGTACCTGTCTGTCCTTCATCGTTCCTCTTCTTCCCAGTTGGAGATCCCAAAACAGTTCTTTGATCCGAATGTCTTCAATGCGTGGATGCTTCTCTTCTTAAACGTTTTGGAGAGGCCTGTTCCAGTTGAGGGGCAGCCAATGGATCCAGAGCTTAGGAAGTCATGGGGATGGTGGAAAGTTAAAAAGTGGACAGTCCATATCCTAAACCGGTTGTATACGAGGTCTGTAGTTAACGCTTTCTCGGTTCTACTTAGGTGGGACTGGCCCCTTTTCCCTGAATGATTGTGCGTATTGACAATTCAACAGGTTTGGAGACCTCAAAATACAGAACCCAGAAACAAAAGGTTTTGCCCAAATGTTTCAGAAGAATTATGCAGGGAAGATTTTGGAGTGCCATTTGAATTTGTTGAATGTGATCCGTGTTGGTGGGTATCTACCCGACAGAGTTACCAATCTGATTCTTCAGTATCTGAGCAACAGGTCATTGATCTTACCTCATACTTCTTTTACATATCAATGAGTTCATGTTATCTGCAGTTGTATAGGCCTTCCGTCTTTTGTTTTTCGATAGATGTCTAGGGTTTATCCAAATAGCTTATGTTTGTACTCTTTAAGCAATATATTTACCAACTGCACTGCATGACTTTAATGTTGCTCTGTTTTCGTGAACGAAAATAGCCAAGGACCACAAGATTTTTGCTTTTGCTTATCAGATCATGTTCAAAGGAATATTATCACTTGCATGATTCGGGTTGGTTAGTAGGATCGGCATTACTTTAAAGCCTTAGTGCTCTACTATGGATTTTCAGGTTCTTTTTCCTGATAATTACCAATAAACACTGTTGTTGTGGATTTACTGAAGCATCAATGTTTTATGGCTTTTAAGCAATGAGTAGTGTCCATTAGCCTGTGTTTCTCTCTTTTGCTGTTGTTTATTTTAAAATGATCTCAAGCTTTTTACCGAATGGAGAAAATACGGTACTGTGCTAATACTGAATCTTATTCACTGCAGCATCACAAAGAATTCCATGTATAGTTTGCTACAACCTAGACTTGATGTTCTTCTCTTTGAGATAGTTTTCCCACTCATGTGCTTCAACGACAATGATCAAAAGCTATGGGAGGAAGACCCACATGAATATGTGAGGAAGGGTTATGGTTAGTTTGAAAGGCCGATCTCCTGCTTGAAAGACCGAGACTACGTGAAGTGATTAATGTGTTATATTTTTTATGATCAGATATCATTGAAGATTTGTATAGTCCAAGGACTGCATCTATGGATTTTGTTAGTGAGCTGGTTAGAAAAAGGGGAAAGGAGAACCTCCAAAAGTTTGTTCAGTTCATTGTTGAAGTTTTTAGAAGGTAGCTTGGTAGCTTTTGGCTTAAGGCGCTTGTTAAAGGTTAGTGGTCTTGTTAGGTTGTTCTGATAAATTATTTCAATTTATTTTTTTGTGTAGATATGATGAATCCCCCATGGAACACAAGCCTTATCGTCAAAAGGATGGTGCACTGCTTGCCATTGGAGCCCTTTGTGATAAACTGAAACAAACCGAGCCTTACAGATATGAACTAGAGCGTATGCTAGTGCAACATGTTTTCCCCGAATTCAGCAGCCCTGTTGGTCATCTTAGAGCAAAGGTGGGTCAATTTGTCTGAGGATGCAAACTTTCCCTTGTGAATTTGTTCGTCTTTGTGTATGGATCATCCTTCGTACTAAATCATTTCTAAGTCTGAAACTTTTGTGGCTCTCGCTCTTTGATTCTTTTGAAGGTCGATTGGCCATTTACTGTTTCCCCATTTTTTATTTTATTTCTTGGATATCAGGCGGCTTGGGTTGCAGGGCAATATGCACACATCAACTTTGCCGATCAGAATAACTTCCGGAAAGCTTTGAGTAGTGTTGTATCAGGCCTGCGTGATCTGGAGCTTCCTGTTCGTGTGGATTCAGTTTTTGCATTGAGGAGTTTTGTTGAAGCCTGCAAAGGTATGTAGCTTGTAACTGTATGTTCTCTCTCTGTAACTAGCTATGCATTTTTTCTGAAAACTAACTAACTTTGTATTTATGAATGCAGATCTGAACGAAATCCGACCTATCCTCCCTCTTCTTCTAGATGGTATTTAATTCTGATTTCACTATTGATCATTTGTTTTTTTTTTTTTGAATAAGCTCTTTCTGATACTCCATTTGGATATTTGTTCATTAGTCATTTTATTTATCCAACTTGCCGGGGGAAAAAAATCTTCTTCTTTTCCAATGCAGAGTTTTTTAAGCTCATGAATGAGGTAGAGAATGAAGACTTAGTATTTACCTTGGAGACTATTGTGGATAAATTTGGAGAGGAGATGGCTCCCTATGCTCTGGGTTTGTGCACAAATCTGGTAATAGTTTCTCCAAGTCATTGATACCTGGTTAAACCAACTTGAGTTACAAGACTATATATGCATCTTAATTTGCAGGCAGCTGCGTTTTGGAGGTGTATGAACACTGCCGAAGCTGAGGATGAAGCTGATGATCCTGGTGCCTTGGCAGCAGTTGGTTGTTTGCGAGCTATAAGCACTATTCTAGAGTCTGTGAGCCGGCTTCCTCACCTTTTTGTTGAAGTCGAACCGACTCTGCTTCCCATAATGCAGAGAATGTTGACAACTGATGGCCAAGGTATACATACATTATTTCCATATCTTTCTTTGCTCCTAGTTTGATCTATGATCAATTGCAACTCCAGTTTTTATTCTGTTTGCTGAGGAATCAGATTCATATTAATTATATGTTTTGTTTGTGATAGTAAGGTACTCAATTTTGATATGTCTTGTACATACAAACTAGAACATGGTTAATATCTCCGTTGATGTTTTACATAGTTGAAGATCCATGCACTTCTCAACCCTGCTACAAGCTGACTATACTACTTTTGTATTTTAGCTATGTTTGATTAAACTCCTATCATTAAAGGATTGCTTCTTATATTTCTGCAGAGGTGTTTGAAGAAGTATTGGAAATTGTTTCTTATATGACATTTTTCGCGCCCACAATATCTTTGGAGATGTGGACACTTTGGCCATTGATGATTGAAGCACTTGCTGATTGGGCTATTGATTTCTTTCCAAGTATGTATTTCTACTGAGTACTAGGATCTTATATCTTAATTTGCTGCAATTCTTGAGGGGAATTGTATCATCCCAATCTTGGTTGATTTTCGGGTATTACGTTATGTCTATCGTGATACTGTAGTTTTTAACCTAAGAATGAGAGCTAAGTTTTTCGGAAGAGAACTTGGTTGCAGAATATATATGATGACTAATTTGATGTTTTTATATACAACATGTTCCAAAGGCGGCTCCTTTATTTCCCTTACTGTTTCTTTTGTCATTCAGATATTCTTGTTCCCTTGGACAACTACGTTTCCCGGGGGAATGCACATTTTCTAACGTGCAAAGAACCAGATTACCAGCAAAGCTTATTTAAAATGCTTTCATCAGTGAGTGAATATGTGTTACCCTGAGCTTATTTTTTTTTGCTGTTGGTTGGTTCTATTCTTCTTCCGCCTGATAGTGTCATGATATGTCCCTCATTCATTGTTATGTTTCAGATCATGGCTGATCCGAATTTGGAGGACAGTGATATAGAACCTGCTCCAAAGCTTATTGAAGTAGTCTTCCAGAATTGCAGAGGACAAGTGGATCATTGGTTAGAGCCATATCTAAGAATCACTGTGGAAAGATTGCGTCGATCTGAGAGGCCGTACTTAAAGTGCCTCCTTGTTCAAGTGGTGAGTTTTCTAAAGCTACTTACAATATGGTTGGATCGAGACATTTTGATTTTCAGTGATCTGGCTAGATGAATTGTCTTGTATGGTTTCGTTTCCGTATAAGTATATTGTGTATTTTGGCAAACTTGAGCATTTGGTACTTTCTAAGAAGAATTTTCAGAGGGACTTAGGGTCTGAATCTGTAGCTCCACAATACTGGATTCTGAGATATTTCTTTCTATTTAGTAACATTCTCCGCATGTTTATAATCCCAGTTGGATTAGAAGTGTTTCTGATGTTCATATTATTCAAGTTTGAATTCATATGGAATAATTGTTTGTGATATTGGTGCAGATTGCAGATGCACTTTACTACAACGCACCTTTGACGTTGAGTATCTTGACTAGACTTGGTGTTGCTACAGAGGTTTTTGGCCTTTGGTTTCAGATGTTGCAGCAAAAGAAAAAGAGTGGCCAAATGACCAATTTCAAGAGGTATCATCAACTGTACTAAATGGATGCTTGGGACTTGGAATACAAAGATGATCCCAATCCTCTTATGTCTTCAAAACCTTTGTTTGCCATCTATATTTGTCCTCTGATTTATGTTATCTGTGGAGCAGGGAACACGATAAGAAAGTATGTTGCCTAGGATTGACATCATTGCTGGCCCTTCCTGCGGATCAATTACCTGCAGATGCTTTGCAGCGTATTTTTACTGCCACACTTGGCCTCCTAGTTGCATACAAGGAACAGGTTGCAGGTAATTGGTCGGTCCTCTGCTTTGGTAATTGGTGCCTCATCTTTACATTTTCTGGTTTAGCATTTGATGGTGATGTGTGAATGGTGATAGAAGCTGCAAAGGAAGAAGAAGCTGAAGATGACGATGATATGGATGGTTTCCAGACCGATGACGACGATGATGAAGATGCTGATGGTTCTGATAAGGAAATGGGAGTTGATGCTGAGGATGGTGATGAAGCTGACAGCATCAAGCTGCAGAAGTTGGCTGCACAGGTGGGTTTGTTAGGGACAATTTTTCCTAAGATGCCATAGTTATTTACCTGCAATTTGCATATTTTACCACTTGTCTTGATTCTCGTCTGCAATCTATATATTGCAGGCGAAGGCCTTCCGCCCTCATGATGAGGACGACGATGACTCTGATGATGACTTCAGTGATGATGAAGAGTTGCAATCACCAATTGACGAGGTGGACCCCTTTGTTTTCTTCATGGATGCAGTCCAAGGTAATAATTAATTTTCCACAATTCTTATTAGCTCCACAATGACAGTTTCTGCTGTGGAAGCTTATGAATTTCTTCCAATTTTATCTTTTTGTGATCACGAAAGCCATGCAAGCATCTGATCCAGCAAGGTTCCATAGCCTCAAGCAGACTCTCGACTTCCATCATCAAGCTCTAGCAAACGGTGTTGCCCAGCATGCTGATCAGAGGAGAGTGGAGATTGAGAAGGAAAAACTGGAGAAGGCATCGGCTGCCTCAGCTGCATCGTAAAGACAATTCCTCCGATTTCATGTTAGTCTTGCATTGCTATTCCCCCTCCCACAGTTTGTCGCTTAGGTGCATTGCATTGCATTGGGTCCATGTCCAGTAAAAGCACAGGAGTCGGGTCAGTCTGATTGAACCATTTGTGTGGTTCAGCCGGTCGAGAAAAAGCCCTTGTGGGGTCGTCGCTAGGGTTTGAGTTCCCCCAGCAGTTGAGCGACTTTGCTGATATCAAGGGTGGGGAGCTCCCGACTCAGTCGTGTGCAGGTCGAGTCATTTTGGGTCCTGGCAAATGTGGGGTGCTTCTACGTCTGAAGGCCTCTTTTGCCAGCTTGTTTTGTTCTGTTTTCTGGAGAGTGAGCACAAGAATTCTTGCAGCGTCTTGCCGTTTCTAGGGAACAGAGATGGATGTGAGTTTGGTGAGGAAAAAGGGTGGTGAAAGTGTTCGTTGTCAGATGTTTGAGGTGCGGCATGGCCATACACATCTCGACGATTCCAGTTGCAGATTGGCCAGTGCTTGTCCCGATAATTTTGGTATTTAGGGTTTAGTCCATATTCTTTTCCGGTTGTTGTGATCGTTGGTTGATTTTGTATTGAAGTATAGCCATATTTAAAGAAGAAAAGCCGCGAGGGCAATATGAAGGAAGAATGTGCAAAAGGCCTTTCGGCATTTGGATGTTGGGGGTTCTCGGCTGCCTTTCCGGTTCAGCTGCTGCTGCTAATTTGCAAAACTGTACGATTTGAGATGAGAGTGGGAACTGTGAATGCAGAAACAGTTCTTCTGTATAGGGGTTGGCATGTATTTTTTACATTGATGATTCTTTTTGGTGAAGAGCCGGGTTTTCTTCGACGAGGATCGTTTACTCAGAAAATTATGTGGGCCTTTTTGCTATAATGGTTTCCGTCAAAGCGGTTGGGCCCTGTAATTTACTATGAAGTTCTTTGTGGGCCTTCCAAGCCCGGTCTCTATGAAATTGAATCCAGAGATATGGAGCTTGGTACAGGTCTGATCCGAAAGTCTGCTCGTGCAAGAAGCTCATTGGTATTAAACCGTAATGATAAACCCCAATTGAATTTTGTGTTAAATACACTATGGTATAAAGTTATTTTCTTCTAATCGTGTTGTATTCTTTACGCCATAAATTTGTCTTTGTGTTGAGCAAATTTCAGAAATGCGAAAAGATAGAATCGTTAATGTTTTCTCCCCCCGGAGAATCATATGATTTTCTTGTTAATTATAAACGTTTTGCGACTGAGATAATTTTGAAATGATAAGAATTGTAAACCCCCTATCAACAACATCCCTTCATTTTGTTTTAACCTTCAAAACCGATCAACCATAGTCATAGTGACCGAAGTTTGTTATAATTCTGTAACGCGATACCTTGTCGAAATAATAATAATTTCACAAATAGATGGCAAAGAAAAGAAAAGTACGAAACCTATGTGAGTAGCAGTCCACCAATATATAAATGAGTTATAACTACCCATTAATTAGGAGGACTCTATATGGATTATGAAAGGTAATGACATCTTGACACCATTCTACCCATATGATCACAGACTTCCTCATCGTTATTATCCTTCACGAATCTATTATTATTTATTAGCATTATTATTATTTTGAAAAGTCACTTCTCTGCCTAACAACATCAATTATAATGTACATTTATCATTCTACAAACCTATCATCACATCACTTTTTACCCTCTTTCCCCCTCCCGTTATGTTTGAATAATGCATAGTTTCGTTTTCTGGTTCTTAATGTCTTGATCATATAGAACCATCATTTTAATTTGGGACCGTAAGTATTTGACTTCCTAGGCACCCTTCTGGACTTAACCTTCGTACTTTATGGGTGATTGATTGGTTGGTTGGTTGGGTGCATGGATGTTAGTTAACGTAACTATGTATCTTCGAGGCGATTCATTTGTGGAGTTGATAGGGGAGAATCCTCTGGACATTTGGTCGCTTTTTTTTTTTTTTTCATAGATAGATCGTAATAGATAGGGTGTTACAATGCGGTGAAAAGGAAAGAGCGGTAGTCAACCAAATGGGTTGCCACCGATGCAAGGGCCGTTTGTGCCACGCAATGGGCAGCCCTGTTAGTATGCCTAGAAACATAAAAAAAACGAATAAACGCAAAAAAAAAATCTCCTTTCGGCGAACTTCTTAAAGAGGACAATTTCTTTTCACTAAATAGAGGCTGCATATAATATATAGGGACCATATAGTCCCGTCATATGAAAGAAATAGACAATATACATATATAACTTGTGAATATTAAATTTTATCAATGCCCTTAGTATTGGAGAAGACCTTGACTTTGGTGTTCCACAACAAGAATAGAAAATGAATGACATAAGGTTTGTCGTTCCCGCGAGCTATTATTCTTAATTATTTTTTAGGGGTATATTGAGGGTTTTTCCGAATCTCTCTTTTTATTTTTTACACAATATCTTATTTCCTAATACTTAGTTAAGTTCGAAACTTGTACTAATTTCCCCCCAGGGTGCAACTGCAATTGTTGGAAAGAACATACATATTCGATTTCGAACTTCACCAAGAACAAGGTTTATGTGCTTTTATATATATATATATATATTAGTTTTATATTCGATACAATAACAGGCCAACCACGTTTAATTTTCTTACTCGACCACTATCAATACGACATAATCTAATATAGTATTTGTTGATACACCATAGTATATTATCTCTGCTAAATCAATATGAGCGATGATGTGATCATTGTGATGTATATTTTGACCTCTTTGTACGTAAAATGACTAATGAAAAGCCATCCATCCAGTAATTTGTTGGCAATCCTTGATACACGTCATCATAAAAGGTTAATTGGTGGGACCCGACCCTGCCTAGTTGTCACAGCTTGAGTGCACCTCTAACCTTTTGATGATGTGTCCTAATGACCCCTCTAAAAACAACGTTAAACATCGAGAATTCGAGATGATAATATTTTAAATAATTGAGCGATGCTGATCTAGGGCACAAGTGGCAATTAAAAACGTGACACGTGGATTCCAGATGACCCCGCAAAACTAAACTGTGGAAAGTTTCTCGTCAATCTACTTCATTAGCTTCTCCTCCATAGTCATTAGTAATGGTTCTGTTGGGATTTCCAATCAATTATGTTGCCAATTGCCATCTTCTAATCGTTTGTAAATGATAAGCACGAAATATAGAATATAAGTATAGTTACATATGAACATATATATATTCAATGTTCAAATAATCCCTTTAGACAAGGAAGTAAAAATACAGGGTTAGAAATGTAAAAAAAAAACCCCCCACCCATGAAAGAAAATACCCTAAAGTATGGGTCCAACCATTTTGCTTAACCAATCAAACCGGAGTCGAACGAGACTCCGGTCGATGGCAGCCAGGAATTCCCTGCAATGAACTGCCCGACGGTGAACTTCCCCGCATCTGTAGGTGCCAGGGCAGAGTGGTACCCGGGCCACCCGACCCGACCGGAAGTTCCCGCCCCTGGTCCGGAGTTCAGGTACTCCGCGTAGTAAAGGGTCTTGAGCGCGAACCCGCCCGACCAGGCGGACCACCCGGCCGGGTTGATGTGGCCCCCCAGCTGGGACTGCATGACCACGGTCCTCGAGTACTCCTTCCAGGGCCGGCCCAGGTACGTGGACCCGGACCCCGCGGGGAGGTCCGGGGCGGCCTCGACCCTACAGTTGTGGATCGAGAACCCCGTGTTCTGGTACTCGCTGGACCGGCCCTGGGCGGTCACGAAGTTGTTCGGGTACGACCCGCCCTTGCGGGCGAACAGGCTGCAGCTCTGGAACACGGCCGCGGCGTTGCCGAAGATGAAGTCGATGGTGCCGTAGACGTCGGTCTCGCGGTAGAACTGGCGCTTGGACAGCGCGTAGAGTGTGTCCTGGTAGCCCTGGATGGAGCACCGGAAGATCACGGACCGGTCCGACCCGACCCGGAGGGCCACGGCCTGGTGCTTGGTTGGACCGGCGTCGTTTATGATCGTGATGTCACGGGCCATGAACCCATCTCCCATCGCAGCTGGAAGGTGGAAAAAAAAAAAGTAATTGAAAAGATGCTTCAAAAAGGTGAAAACGACGAGAAGAAAGATGGACAAAGTGAAGGAAAAAGTAAAGCGGTCTTTTTGTAACATGTCATTTTCTAAGTAATGGTCTTGCTAATAAGAACAAAATATAAGTCATTTTCTAGGTCATGTACGTATATAAATTTCTTGGATTTACTAGGTTTGGAACCAGAATACACTCTCTAGTGGCAATTATTTTTTCATTCTATAGTTAAATCATATTTTATTTTTCCCGTCTGAATATTGATAATATCACATGCACTAATTTTGCCCCAAGTATTGAACGTATTTTTCAATCAACATGCAACTCTAAATTCTTTACAACTTACATGCATATACACGTATTGTAATTCGTACATACACGTAGTTTCTTTTTTATTTTAAGAGAATTTACATCCACATAAGAATGAACGAGAGAAGTAACCAGTAAAAAAATCAAGTATATATACGATTTGAATCTAGTACTTACGAATTACAATGATTTGTTATGTTCTACGTAATTTGAAATTAACGACTATTTCTATCTAGGAAGTCACACATATATAGATGGACCCATGCATATACATCATTAACTAGCTAGCTAGTCTCTTCATTATGGCTGGATTATTGATGTTATTAATTAAGAAAAATACGTTCGGATTCAATATCAGTCTAATCTCAATTCTGCATCGCATAGTTTGTAGATAATGATGAATCAAATTAATTAAACGTTGACAATAAAGAAGAAAAAATAACGTGAATATCGAAATTAAAATTATATATTGTCTCTCTTACCAACGGTGGCGGTTTGATAAGTGGTCGACCCATCGTCGGCGTTCTTGCTCCCCACAATGACGGTCTTGCCCTTCCCGTCCCCCATCAACACCACGTTCTTCTGCTTCGTCGGAATGTTCAACGTCTCCTTATAAGTACCGGCTTTGATGTAAATCACCGAGCTACCCCCGCCGGACGCCACGGTGGCGCCGCCACTCATCATCACCGCCCTAAGCGCCGCCGCCACGGTGGTGTGGGTCCCACTGCCGTCCTTCGCCACCACAGCATGGACCTCCAGCTCGTCCACGGAAGCTTCTAGAAGCTTCCTCTTGGCGGCGGGCAGCCACCCGGGGAAGGACGATGAGGCCGACAACAGCTTCCGGCCGCCGGGGATGTTATTAGAAGGGTATTTACGGTATTTAGGGCTCATGACGTGGCGTGGACTGTTGTTAGTATTGATGTGGTTCACGTATAGTGCTAGCGAAGCTTCCACGGTGGCGGTCATGTTTCGAGCCAACGACTGGAGGAGCATGGCTTTCATCGCCGGTTCGTGGTGGCGGTGGGGATTTTTCAACGGCGGGGTTTGGAGGCTCTCTTTGCACGTCTCTTGGTTGGTGAGGGCGGCGCTGAGCCACGTCTGGACGTCGTCGTGGGTGTGGGCCGGGTTGTGACGACGGTGGGCCACGTTGGACAGCTGGTCCAGCGTGTCGTCTAGCAGGTCCATGCAGTCCCCCACGGGTCCCGTGGTGGTCGAGGTGATTTCAGGATCCTCAGTGAAACCCTGAGATGACGTGGAGGTGGTGACCAGGGAGGCCATGGTGCTGGTGGACTGAGCCAGCTGAGTCAGGATGGACTGGATCGTGTCGTCGAACAGTTTCTCAGGGTTCGAGACTGATGGCGATGACCGGGATGGTGATGATGATGAGGATCTAGATGACTTGGAGAAGTGGAGTGGGGAGGAGGTTGGGTTTGTTGATGATGTGGTTGTGGCTAGGATGAGGAGTATGGTGAGAATAGTGGTGGTTGCATGGGAGTAAAAGGTCGACATACTTTTCTCCATTGGTTGAATGTTGAAAGAAAGCTTAAGGAGAGGAAATAGATCGTTTTGAGTGTGCATGAAACGGTAGTGGGCTTGGTGGCTATTTATAGAAGTGCCATGCACTTGGGTTTTTGAATTGGAATATACTCCACGGCATGGATGACGTATTGACGTGTACATATTATGAGTACGTATCACGGTCTAGCTATCATCTCTATTAAAGAACACGCTAGTGTTTGCTTAATATCTCACTAGTTGTTAAAAGAACTCGAAGAAGTACATATATCGGTCTTATATATGAAATTTTCTCAAGTTGTAAATTAAGAAATTTTTTTTTAGTGAAGATCGATCTTTCAGTACTCAAAAGTTCGAAGTATCTAGATTCTGGATGTGTATTAGGAAGATAAAAGAGCTAATAGTCGGCATATATATAAAATATTTACGCAACTTTATAGGTTTCAGTAACGTCTTATGAGATGATAGCCATGTTCTTTTAATTGTTGTGTTTTTTTGTTTTGTGTTGCATATAGTATAAATAAAATAGACTATGATCATCTACTATATCGATTAGTAGACTTAAACCTAATAAAAAGAATAGAACGTGCAAACACATAATTTCATTAATATATATGCGCCAACACGAACTATATGCTCTGCATATTCCGTTACTAAAATCACTCGTGTCATATTCAAAAGTCTACGCCTAAAGTAGTGTGTCTCACGTAAGAATCGATTCTTCTGTATCAAAATTTCGAAAAAGCACCTCTAGATTAATAGGGGTTTTGGTTTGCAAATTGCTATTAAGTATCATTTTGTGTGTGTTTTCATGTCCCAATCACCATTAATTAGCTTGCTAGCTAGCTAGCTTCAAAACCATACTTAATTATGTGAGGATGATGATCTCCTAAGCTACTAACTATAAACAACAGCCACGAGATAAGCTCTAGCTTAGTTAGCTAGTGGCCGACGACCCTTCATCGATCATCCGTCGCCCTATTAGTTTAGTAGCCCCTAAGATGTTATGGAAAATTAAGTGAATGAGAAATGGCGATCATTATCATCAACTAGTGATCATTATCATCGTATTTTTTTTTTGTGAAGTGTATTTATGGCATAAAAAAGTTAGTTAAATACCATGATAATCAGCTGCTGGATACACATCATGATTCATTAATAAACTCCATAGAAATTTTTGGTCACGTAATCAATTATTAGTTGGGAGGATATACATGTAAATTGCATGCATGCGGTTGATTAGTACAAGTGATTAGAAGTACTAACCGACTAATGTCGAGCCACACAAATTAAGAGGCTGCCCTATATCATCCATTTACTGTACTCTTGGAAGGGGTGGAAATCGGTACGGTATCGGTATCCCAATACCAAATACCGAAATCCCGAATACCGAATTACACCCTAAAATCAATCCCAATCCCAATCCCTAAATAATTTCGGTATCCCAATCCCAATCCCTAAATAATTTCGGTATCCCAATCGGTACCTCGGTATCCCAATCGGTATTATCGAATGCATAATTAATTACCTTTGCAATTAATAATTAAATATATAAATTAGATTTTATTGTTTAATTTTGAGCGAAGAGACTAAGCAAATAGTCTTGAGTTGCCTAGAGCTAACATCTCAAGTTCTTGTAATTGGTAATCTTTAATTTGATGAATTTGAGGTTGAGAGACGACTAATAATAGTGTGAAATAGTGATGTAATGATCTATGTATAATTAAATGATACTTTTGGTGGTTGATGGTCGCGTAGTAGAGAATGAGAGAGTTTAGTTGAGAGGATAAAATACACAATAGCTTATATTTCGGTATTGATCGGTATTTCGGTATATACCGATCCCAATCCCGTAATCCCTAATACCGAATAACAATTGAAATTCAATCCCAATCCCACAAAATAATACGTGTATTCGGTAATACCAAATATAGACAAATTCGGTACGATATTCGGTATATCCCAAATACCGGTACCAAACTTCCAGCCCTTGGAAGAAGGAGAATTGTGTGTATCGAAGTCAAGTTTCTGTGGGCCGGGCTTTCCATTATCCATCAAACTTATATTGATGATGGGTCTTATAATTGTGGGGCTTTTGTCTACTGCCAAGTTTTTGTGGTCAGCAATTAGTCGTCCCTCGTCGTCTTCCTTTATGGTACATGTCGTTTTTGGATCCTAGCCAAGTGTGTCACCTCTTCCATGGCTCTCTAGTTTGTTCACTAATTAAAGTGTGGGAAAGGCAGGGAAATGCATTACCTTATCGAAACTTTCGCCATGACGAGATCGCATGGTTTACGATCATGGTGACATATGATTTAAGTCGTACGTACGTGGGGAGATCGATGCTTCATATAACGGTTTACACAAAACCCCGTGAAAGAAAATGGAACAATTAGGTGCATACCAAAAACATATTTGTAAGCCTTTAACATCATGACAAAGTTTACATAAAAAAGCAAATATCACGACTGAGGAACTAGACGAGATATGGGTAATATACGGATCATTAGGAATGGCAATGGATAGGTCGGAGTGGGTATCTCGATATTCATTCGAACTATGGAATGTTCAGTTCGGATAGGGTAATTTATCATGGATGCGGGAAAGAATGTTGACAGTTTATCGAATATCAAAGGAAGAGAAAAGATCTACGCCTAGTCCTCACTTATCAAAGGCAAGATTTCAAGCCAATGGCATCTTTGAAGGTTGAGTTAATCTGCAGACACAGACTTCAAAATGCAAGAGCAAGTCCTTTGCAGCATATCCGAGCTCTTATTCATTCACATCCATGAACAAACCAGAAATATAACCATGGATCAAAGCCAAACTCCAACCCCCCTCAGACAATTGTTCTCCTCTTCATTTCACAACATGCTTACATTTTGGAATAACTCGTACCAAGAGAATGCTTTCCCATTGATGTAGCCACTCAAGCTTAAAAAAGAACAAAAACTTGAAAGCCCGACAAAAGCAAACCAAGAGCACAACCAAATGTAATGTTAAACAAACCCAACTGCCGACAATTCAAAGATTTCCATAATCCAACCACCAACAAACACAAATGTCATCTCCACCATCCTGATTAGAGGAGCAAACATAACCACCAAATCCAGAAAGTGCGACAAAACAAAAAAAACGACTATATATTTTTGCCTCCACTTCAGCAAGCCAGCATCCCATAAGTAGCGGTTGCATCACCGTCGCCTGGTGAAACAATAACAGCAGCAGCAACAACAACAAAGAACGGATCAGGAAACTCGTCGAAGAGGGATCAATCTTATATAGGTAGTTACAGTCGATTAAATCCACATAACTTACAGCAGTTAACACATAAACATTATTTCTCGAATGTAAATTATGTACTTCATATGTAAATCACAAATAGAGGTATATATCCAGATTATATGTTATGATTGAACCACATAATGGCCCTTAGAAGGGTAAGCATGATGATCAGTAGAAGTGTACACAACACAATCGAATCCTTCGGCGCGAGCGTGAGGGGAGTAGATAGACCTCTTTACTTCATTAAGGTTTGTGCAAAGTGTGCAAAACATGGTGTCTATGGCGGGAGCAGACTTTCCTCATTCAAGCATTCAACGCATTAAAAACAAAGCTGACAACTTTCAGAAACTCAGCAAGTTGTACAGTGCTGCAGCAACTTGTTTCCCTTCATTCTACCGGTTGGCTAAAAAAATGCATGGTATCAAAGCCTTCAGCCGCGAGAGGTTATGTTCAACAACAATCCAACTAAGGTTCAATAAAATTCAACATACTCGATCGAAATCATCACTCATCACATCACATCACATGTTATTGGGAAATGGGAAGTGGCTAAGTAGTACTTACAGATAATCATTGGATCAAACGGTGTGCTGATCAGAAGAGCAAGTCAAGAGGGATCTCTTTGGAAGGCAGGTCGAGCATTTCCTTCAACGGCTCCATATACTCTGCCACGGACATAGACCTTTCGGCTTGTGACAACTCCCGCTGGGGCTCGATCTCTTTGATCAAGGCATCGCTCAGTTTAAGCATTGTCTGGACGATCCTGACCTTTCCGGCTTCAAAGGCAAACAATTCCCCTTTGTACGACTCCTCCAAGCCTTTCTGTGAGCTGGTCTCCCCGCCTGCTGCAGCGTTTTCCTTGATGGACATCAGTATACTGTTCATGTTCTTCAAGTGGGTGATCAAAGAGGCCGTGTCCTTGACAAGCCGGTCCTCTGGCTCCGCCTCTGCCTCCTCTGCCTCCAGCTTCGTCATCTCTTCAATTCCTCTTCTCGCAAGGTCGGTCAACACGGGGAGCCGGTCATCTGCATTCACAATTACGCCAAAATCAGGCTCCTGAGGGGAAACAAGTGGCAGGGTTTAGGATTTAGGATTTAGGGTATCGTATTACCGGTCCCCAGGAGGAATTCGCACGAGGCCATCGGTAGGTCTAGCTCCAGATCATCGGGCATCAATTCAAACATACTCCTCGCAAAGCTGGTGCAGTTGATTAACCCTTTGAAGATAAACCTTTTGTAGCCTTCGAAGGATTCTATGTCGACATTGATGCCCCTTGCAGCCATACAGATACACATCTGCAACTCGGGCAACTTCGATGCGGAGGCGATGCCTGCTTCCAGATTCATGACGCTAGTACGGTAAGTAGAAAGCGAGTTCACCCTGGTGGAAATCCTCTTCCTCGCACCGATCAGACCTTCCATGGCAGTCTGTAGAACCTCAGCCATTGTTGTAGCGACGGGGTTGGGGGAAATAGGGTTTGTGGTGGGAGGGAGGAATGGGAGGAGAATTAGAAGCGAACGAAAGATTGATAGGGTTTCTGCATGGATCTATTTACATGAGTAGCGCGTCGAGCCGTTCTAATGACTCACGAATTTATGCGAACACAAGTTAGGAATCTAATCTGAAATTATTCTTCCCTATTCGAATTATGAGAAATACTACGAATTCATATGTGAGTGAGAACTGAGACGTCTTAAGATATCTACTTCGTTTTAAGTTGTAACTTAAATTATTTTGCACAAATAAATTGTGCTCTTCGAAATGATATTCACTTTGATATTTTTTTTTTTTTAAAATTAAGTACTGATATATACCATAGTGGTATTGTTTGGTAGTACATAAGATCATAGTATATGAATAGGGGTGAAAGCTTGTCCCTGAAGACCCACTGACCCGTCCCGACCCGTCCCGTCCCTAAGGGTCGGGACGGGTCAGTTTGTCTACAGGGACAGATTAGGGACGGGTCATTTGTTGACCCTGTAAGGGCCGGGACGGGTCGGGACAACTTAGGGACGGGTCACATTTTGACCCCGTGACCCTTAGCAACAACAAATATCTCATACTTCATTGGACCTTTTTGTAAAGTTTTAAAAGTTTAGGTACTAATTTGTAAAAATTAAAAAATATGGGTACCAAAACGTAATTTCACCATCAAAATTTATGGACTTATTTGTAAAAAAATAAATTTTAGGTACTAAATTGTAAGAAAAAATAATTTTGGGTACCAAAACGTAATTTGTAAAAAAGTAGTGTGTTGATTAGGGTCGACCCACTGACCCGTCCCGTCCCGTCCCAATCCTTGAGGGTCAGACAGGGTCAAGAAGGAGACAGGGACGGGACAATTATACATCTTGACCCTTCAGGGACGGGTCAGACAGGGACGGGGACGGGACAGGCAAATTTTCAGCCCTATATATGATAGTTGAAATACATGATAATATGAATATGCGAACTGTTATTATCACATTTATCATTATGTACCACTAGTTAACAATCCATCCTTATACCAAGGTGGTACAGAGTGATTCATTTTAGTCCACTTTAATTTAAGGGTGGAAATTTAATTATGAAAGGGTGCATAATCTTAGATTATTCAAGTTGTTCAAGTTTTCCATTCGATTAGCCACATCATCTTACCAAGCCACCCAAATTAATTTAAAAAAATTGCACACTCTAACATGATAAAGGCTAACCAAACACCGATGGAGCATAAAAACACGGTCGTCATGAAAGAGGTGAGAAGCAGCTGTTTTTCATGTTTAATATTTTGTTTGGTTTCTATTGTATAACCCAATATCCTTAATAATTCAAATTTGTTGAGGCTTAAAGAAATAAATGAAGAAAATTAATCAAAGATAACACAATTTCGTAAAAATTTTTATTTTTGTAGGCTAAATATAAAATATATTGAGAAAAATCATGATCATTTGTTAAACAAAATATATATGCATGTATATAATCGTACATGCGGGTTCGGATTGGAATAGTGAGAAAACCATGCTCACCCATTACTCACAATATTCGGAGTAGGGTTAATCTAGGGTATCTTACCAGTCTCGAGACGGAGTTGGGATGAGGCCATCAGCAGGTCTACCTCCAGATCATCGGGCATCGCTTCAATCCTTGTCCTCGCGTAGTCGGCGCAGATGAGTAACCCTTTACAGATCTGCCTTTTGAGGCCTTCGAAGCATAGTATGTCGTGATTGATGCTCCTTGCCAACATACGGATTTTCATCTGCAACTTGCGCAACTTCCTTGCGGAGCCGCCGATGCCTGCTTCCAGATTCATGCTAGTAATGTAAGTAGAAAGCGAGTTCACGTCGGTGGAAATCCTCTGCCTTACATCAATCAGATCTTCCGCGGCACGCTGTAGAAGTTCAGTCATCGTGGTGGGAGGGAGGAATGGGAGAAGAAGGGGCGAACAAAGATTGATGATTAGGGTTTGTGGACGGGGACAGATAAGTTTAAAAAGTTTATTAAGTTTGGGATGGTCTCCGTACGAAATTTAGTAAACACTCCGTTTTCATATTTTATTCTTTTAAAATTTTAGTATCTGTATTATTGTTAAGATATTTGTTTCCTTTTCATTTGATAACTTCCGTACTAGACACGTATAATACGTTTAACTTAATGGGTAATTGATCAAAATGTTCACACAAGTTTGATCAAGTAACAAAACGATCACAAACGTTTAAAAACGTAACAAAAAGGTCACGCAAGCATCATATTATAACGTAACAAAAAGTACCGTAAGCAGAAAATTTTAGCACACTAATTCGTGATGGGACAGTTGTTTGAAGTGGTTAAGGGGTTGGCGGGGAAGGTGGTGTTGATCAAGTTGCCAGGTGTTCAAAATGTTAATGGCGAGGGTGAGGGAGGTGATGATGATCTTCCCCAAATGATGAATCTGAAGAACAAGAGGTTCAAAATTCAAACCACATTATTCCAGCGGGCAGGGGAGGTGGCAGTGATGATGACCCTCAAAATCCAGTTCAGATGAATATCTACCAACCTGAGCACAACTTACTTCACCAAGTTGAGCACTACTTACTTGATGATGACAACTAGTAATAATCTACCAACTTTCTTATATAATATAAAAGGGTTTCTCAGTGAAACCTGTATCAAAACTATCTGAGATATTTTACTTTATGTTTTTTATTCTTTTTCCCAAGGCAGTTTCTTTCTCCATTTTTCAATAACTTTGTCCACTCATGTTAACATTTATCTTTAGACTACAAAAATGTTTCTCTTTAGGATACTTGTCTTACACTCGGTCTTTGAATAATGTCACTTTGAAATTCTTTTTTTACTATTTGTTGTTGATGCTTAAATATGTATACTTTTTGTATATTCTTTTTGAGGAGTATGCTTAAATATATTAGCAAAAAGTTCTCTTTTATATACTTTATATTTCGAGTATCTTTAATAATATTAAAGATTTTTAGGATACTATTTGAGTTCATCAGCCCTACTGCTACTTGTGTATGACGAGACCTCACACAAGTCAATTCAATTGCAACTATTGCAAACAAGACCACGTAAATAAGAGTATGTACTTAGAAGATTGAAATAGTATAAATACAAACTAACTAATCTTAACTAGATATATTGTTAGTTACAACCAAAATTGACCACTTTAAGTGAAACAAAGTTAGACAACACCTTTACATCCGGCTTTTCTACACCTTTCACTTGATTGAAATAAACTAAAACTTGGAGGATTAAAAATGAAAGAACTAAAAAAAAGCTTTGGCGCCAACTTAAGGAGGATAAATCCAAACTAACCAATCATAACTGATATATTGTTAGTTACGACCATAATCAACCACTATATGTGAAACTACGTTAGATAACGCCTTTATTTCCTACTTTCCTACACATTTTACTTGACTTGTACAAACTAAAACTTGAAAGATAAAAAGTAAAAGAGCTAAAAAAAAAGCTTTGGCGCCAACTCAAATGACCACCATTTCAAATGTGTGCACTCGACAATTAATATTAGTTGGGAGAGACAGATAATCTACATTTATCCAACAATGTACACTATATTATCACCACTACCACCTCTTCCTACCAGACACCCACTCTTCTTAAGTTTAGTGTCAACCACAATTTATCAATCCGAAACACCACACTCCTTCAAATAGTTTACCGCCCTTAACATGTAAAGGTTAAACCATACAATTCACTAGCGTACTAGCTACCACTGGTTACCCTTATTAAAAAAAAAGCTAACTACCATTAGTTGTAGGAATCACTTAATTCGTAAGATTTAACCCCTTGTTCTTCGATTCAAATCTCCATTTAAACTTTCTCCTATCAAAGTTATGCATTTTTTACAATTGACATTTTCAAACCAATTTTTTTTTGGCAATATGTTTTCTATCTTATTTTTGTCCGTAATGAAATAAGACTTGTGGTGGGAGGGAGGAACAGCCGAACAGGGGAATGAAACAAGAAGCTCAGAGCTAGTTGGTTAACTGATAAATTTTAACTAACGAGATTGAACTTGAATGCCAGAGTTTGAACATGGTGCCTGTAGCGGGAACATATCATCACTTTCTTCAATCAACCCATTAAGAAAAGCTTACAACTTTCTGAAAATGGTCGCCACGAAATCATCCATAGCTCTGACAGAAGAACCCTTCTCCTCCTCCTTCTCACCATCATCTCTAATCGCCGCCCGCATGTGTTCAGAAAGATCAACAACTTTCCTCTTCCTTTCCTCTGCTTTCTCATTCTTCCCCATCACCATCTCAACAACTTCCTTCACTCTCTCCCTCCCCAATTCTCCCCCAGCTCCTCTCGTCAGCTCGACCGCGACGCCCATTTCCTCCACCAGCAGCTTCGAATTGAACGCCTGTTCCGCCGCCAGCGGCCATCCGATGATCGGAACCCCCTGGCTTAAGCTCTCGAGAACAGAGTTCCACCCGCAGTGGCTCAGAAACCCGCCGATCGAATCGTGGGAAAGAATCTCCAGCTGCGGCGCCCAGTTCCGTACAAGCAGACCCCTCTTGGTTTCCTCCATCCGCCGCTCGAACCCATCGGGCAGCCACTCGGATCGGAACTCGGATCTCCGGTCGAACCCGATCGGCGGCCGGATCACCCATAGGAAAGACACCACGCTCTGTTCTTCTAGCCCCGCCGCGAGCTCCATCATCTGCTGTGGGTTGATGCTGTTCTGGGATCCGAACGAGATGTACAGAACCGAACCAGGTTCGTGGGATTCGAGCCATTCGATACACTTCTCCGCAGAAACCCCCGGCGTCTTCCCCGATTGCCGCCGGACTTTGGTAGTAGTACCCGATTTCCGAAGAATTTCTGGGGGTAACAGAGGGCCGATCCCCCAGATCTGACGATTTGAATACTTCCCGAGGAGTTCGAATCCTAGGGGTTCGATTTCTTCCACGGAATTGCAGAGCCATCCGTACGATTTTTCTAGGGATTTGGAAATTTGGGGCTGGAAGAATTTCGACCACGGATCTTCCCCATCGGCCTTCCTCAGAAATTGATGCAGCTGGGTGATGTGGAATCGGCGATTATCGGGGAATCCGGGCACGGAAAATTCCTCCGAGTCGGTGAGATTCCGGTGAGGCAGATTCGTCCAGATGGAGACGTAGGCCAGGGTGCCGTAAGCTCCGCCGGTGGAGAAAGTGAAATTCCTGGTCCCGGTTGCCTCCGCGACGTCGTTCGCCCATCCGAAGAAGACGTCGGAGACTATGCAGAGCGGCGGCCGGCCGCCCTGTTCCGCCGTGATTTTCGACACGAGGTCGTGGGTTGGGGTTTGGAGGGCGGTTGAGGCGTGGAAGAGGTTGACGATCAAGTCCAAGGGGAGATTCTCGGAGTTCTCGGCTCCAGGGGGGAGGCCGTGGTCGGCACCGGAGAAAGGGAGCTCGACGAGGCGGATGGTGTCGTTGTCGGAGTCGGAGGAGGCGAGGCTTGATCGGAGGTATTGGGCGTTGAGCCCGGTGGTGGCGATGGTGACGATGAACCCAGTTCGGGCGCGGATCTGTTTCGCCAGAGCGAGGAAGGGAATCAGGTGGCCGTGCGCCATGAAAGGGAGCATCACTATGTGGTCTTCGCTGCCCATTTTTTGGAGGTCGCCGGCGGAGAGGAATCGATTTTGATTTTTGACTTTGGAAATTGGATGTCATATATTTGGTACGGCCGGCGGGTAGTTCTGTTTTTTTGTGGAGGGAAAATATAGATCCGGCGGCAACAGTGATACGACGCCGTTTACGAGTGGTGGTTGAAACGTGGCGGATGGCTATCCACTCCACGGGCTCATCATACCGACCTTTCAAATTTTAACTAATTTGTTTGCTCCAACTTTGGAATTGGTGAATTGCTTAAATGATCATCGTTTTTTAGAGTTATTCGCCAACCCGTCTCCGAATTGGTGAGTCTGCTTATTTCTATTAAAGTACTTCGTTAAAATTGTCCAGACGCAGATTAATAGCGTCGCAGTTTACTAGACTCGATGAAAAGGTTGCATTCACGTCTATGAGTTGAGTGACTTCATTTGGTTTGGATCAAATATGAAGTTGGAGTATGACATTGTACAAATCGTGGTGCTAATTATATCACTTCATCATTCATTGTCTCAAATTCACCATCCTATTTGCTTTGTTTGATACTACATATATACACATACAAAAAGAAAAGAACACAAAAATTTGTCTACTCAAAAGAATGTCACCACTATAGACTTACAAGAAGGTTATCAAAACACCCTATAAGATTTGCTTAAGTGGCTAATCTTACATTAGGATTCACATTAGGTCAAAAAACCGATTTAAGTTTAATTACACCTTCATTAATCATGCACCTCCAAGAGATGCCGTTGGGGTAGAGGTAGACCCATGATTCCACAAGTCTTTCAACTCACCTCTGATAAGCCCCAACACCACGCAAACCCCTATAGCGAAAACAACACGTAAATTGTCAAAATTAGTTGGTTCCAATAATCGTAGTTGTTTAAAGAAGTTTAATTATGAATCTTATACTATTTACTAACAGTCACACAATCACTTGTTTTTATATCATGTTGTTTCAATAATCAATCTTGTTGAGAGAGATTTAATTATGGATCTTATGTCATTTACACAACATAAATGTCTTAATCACTATACAAAATGTGGAAATATGTGTATAAATTAGGGAAAAGTATATTGGTGTTACCTAATGTACAAGGAACCAAGTATAGTAGTGCAGGTTGGCCATGGCCATGCATTAGATACAGGCCGAGGTACGTGAAAAAGAGGCCTAAAACGGAACGAAAAATAGGATAGGATAAGTATTAAGAATTTAAAGATTATAGGAAAATGATTTTATAAAATTAAAGTATAGTAAATTAGTGTTGTGAAAATGTTGTATTACCAAATGCATAGCCAACCATTAACCACATGAAATATCCACTTGCTCCGCTCTTCTTGTTTTCTTTGTCAAATCTGAGCGATATATAATTTCATCGGGATTTGATAAGACAAACATAATGTGAAATATGAGATAAGCAAGTTAACAAAACTCTTTCTCGTTTGAGAAAAATATTACGATATGGTACCTAACAGCTTCGAATAAATCATATATTAACTCTCTTTCTCTAAAAATATAGAAAAAGGGATTAACACAAGAAATAACCCATGATTTTAAAGAAAATTACCTTAGAGAAAAACCCACAAGCAATCCTGGGAAAAGTATGTCCCCAAATCCGATCATGTCGTAGCCACCCCACGGATCAGTTAATCGAGGAAATCTCAGGAGCATGGGAATCGATTCTCCGCCACTATTGTTTCCTTTAGCAACCTATATGTCAGTAATAATAAGTATGAGTAATTTTTTATTTATTTCTAGGATACTTATATATAAAAAATATATATGAAAATATATATCATTATCCGCTGAAGAATCGATAGTACTTACCGCGATCATGACGCTTTGGTGGAATATGATTGGTGATAGAAACACCCAAAAGATGTCATAAACAAATGCACAACAGAGAAGCACAGTAGCAACCTGGATTAATAATATTAAATAATATTGAGAACTATATAACAAAATTTTAACATATTGTTGATTGCGAGACAATTATAACTATACATGAAAATCTCTTGCTACCTTAATATTAGGCAATCTTGCCACTTGTAGAATTGATATCATCAAGCAAATGCCCTAATAACAAAGCAAATATCAGAACTAACTTATGGTTATATGTGACAAATAATACCTTTTTTTTATGTTCTTGACTTATTGTTATAATTAAGCCCAATAGGACTTACAAGAACATCTTGGCCGATCCATGAAAATGAGGCCTTTCGAGTGATAGCCCAAGCAATGGCAAATGCTAAACAAAAGATCAACACAATTAGGGAAACAATGGTTGTTTCCCCAAAATAGGGTAAGCTCACTTTCTTTTGATCTGTGCAGCCCCTGCTCAATACATATCACCAGTAACCAAAACACCAATTAAGTGCAAAAGATAAGAAATAAATAAAGATAATCTTGTTAATGTATTTGAAAGAATCAACGATATTTGTTTTTTTAGAATGTATATATGCTATGAATCTTAACAAATATGTCATGCATTATGTTATTTATCTATTGTTAGTCACTCTTCTAAATGTTGTCCAAATTGGATCAGTTTACGTGTTTAATTTAATATTTTGTATTTTGATATCAATGGGGAGTTTTTGTGAGGGCGACATATTTTTGTGTAGAAAAAGAAAATACGGAAATTATGAGAATACGCCCGCTTTGAAATCCCAAATCTAATATGTGCATTTGAAAAGGAATTAGCATGCAAGATGAATTTTACTATACCTTGAGATGAGAGTTACAATGAGAGTATGCATACCCTACAAGAATTAGCACAAAGAAAAAAAAATATAAAAACATAGTAATTGAATACAAAATATAGTGGTTAGAAATAAAGACTAATTCCAACTCATTTATTGATGGTAAAAAATGAGTTTTTACCTCAACTCCACCAATGCAGAAGAGTACAATTAAGAGCCACACAAACCAGCTTGACATGAAGAAGAAGAGCAGAACCAAAAATGTGGATGCACTTATCACAAAGATGATTGCACTCTTCACATCGATGTTAATGATCTCCTCAGTGCTCTCTTTACCCTCTGCGCCATTGGAAGTACTCTAATGGCAAGACAATGTAAGATCAAGAGAGATAGTCAAATAATCGTGATGAGCAACTTTTGGGAGATGATTTGATCATCGAAGAATGTTCATGGTCATTATATGCTATAAAATCCTCGACATGAGTTTGCTCATTATTTACTCTCTGTGGCTCCTCTCTAGAAAACCCTCGACTTGATTTGATCATCGAAGAATGTTCATGGTCATCATATACTATAAATTTTTATTTTACCATTTAATTTAACCCAACTTATCAATATTGGATGATTCAATAGGTTATGTATAACATGTACATCATAAAAAAAAAATGAGGAGGAGATCTAGAAAATCTGCACTGTCAATTTGGGGTTGTAACATGTGAGCAGTCCAAAAGTGTACTTACTAATTAAGCATGGGTTGGTCCTAACTCTAACCAATCTGAATACATTTTTAATTGAGTAACCATACCTTTGGAGAAAAATCGTCATAACGCGGCTCTGTATCTTTTGTTTTAGCTATTTCTGACCAAAGTGAAGCAGTAGCAACTGTCGATACGGCCATCAACCATAAGAATGCAACTGAGAGAGACACGACTGGACGATCGGGTGCCCACAATCCAATTTCCACTACCAAGTAAACATGAAAATTCAATGAGATAAAACTACATAATAATAATCAAACTTGCCATAAATTTTGGAAGGGAAAACACATGACAAAAATCCGTAATTACCTTTTTGTCCCTCCTGCAATGCCTTCCTGAAACTTTCACCGGTTGACTTTGGAACCATCACAATAGGAATGGTAATATTTGTAGCAGGGGTATCATCGTCACAACCCATCTCGATAGTCCCTGGAATTGTAACGGGATTAATACGTAACAAGCCCCCCCCAAACTAAGTTAATTATTGTAAATATGATTTTTCAATCTTTTATGTAACATATTTCAAGAACATTAATTATGAAAATTCCAACCTTCATCGTCATTTATCACTAATAAAGCTTTTGCACCATTTGACTGTGCAATATTTGCTTTTGCGTTGAAGGAACAATCTCCACGGGCAACTAGGGCAACTGAGTTAGATAACTACAGTGAAAATGATTGTGTGATCACTTATACATTCGAGAACAATTGGCAAAGAAATAACATCGAGAAAAGTGTTATGTTGTACGATCAAATCTTATGTAAGTTTGAGTGTGAAGCTCGATAATAAGCATATTCTAATGACAATTTAGTATGCATGATAATTTGTCAAACCTTGGTAGAAGGTGCAGAGCAGCATGTCAATGGGTTTGCCACAACTGCAGGCAATTTGACACTTTTATCCACCTCAAGGGGTAGTATTGCACCGAATCTTGCAGTAACACCCGTGTAAGTTTCACCCTTGACACCATTAACCCAATTATCAACCTTTACCTGAAAATTTTAATACAAAATATTTATATTAGAGCAAAAATACATTCAAAGAGTATATCATAGAAAATTGTTATGAGACATGATGCTTCCATATGTCACTTTGATCATGCATGTTATCATAACAAATTGTTAATATATTACAAACATTATTTTTTCTTTGAGACCATGATCCTCCTGATGTTTTTAGTCTTTTTCATAACATAAGAAAGTAAAAATCTTAAACTATGAGAAATTCATGCATCATTGAATCCATTTGATTAACTCAATCCATTGTGGGTTTAAGTTAACACCCTCGTATATGAACAAAGTTCGTTAATATTACAAATCAATCTATGTAATGAGCATAACTATCATCAACCATTCAACCCTAACCATATAATTTCTCCTGGAGATAAAGCCAAATAATAAGAGTGATTGACACATTAGGTTGCAACTTCACCTCATTCCTCCATAATTCACAAACTTTAACCTAAGAATGAGGTCAGAAAGATTAGAAATTGGGGGATAAGATAGATGCAAAGCTTGAAAAGATCAAGTACCAATTTGTATGGATTGTCACAACCAGGTGCACTCTTGGAAGGATCCTTATTAGCACCATCAGCAAGGCAACCCAGCAAAAGGGATAACCAGAAGAAAATGCAGAAAATTACACTACTTGGAAACGAGGAAGCCATGGATAATTATGAAAAGGCCACCCTATTAACTCCAAGATACAAACACCTCCTCCCTCTCTATGGAAAAGAAAATTTTGAGAGGGATGGTAAGATTCCAAATAAAACAAAACCAATGAATAAAATTCCGAGTGAAATCAAAATGTGTTCGTTTAATTTTCTTTGTTCTTCTTTCTCTTCTTCCTGGTAAAGGAAAAAGAGAGAAAGCAACGAAAATGAATTTTTTTAGGGAAATATCAAAGAAATTTTGTTAAAGAAGAAAATTAATGTTTATTTATGTTAACCTTTTAGATTTCTCCTCGTAATAGATGGATGGATGTATTTACGTCAGATCTAAGAAATAAAATTGGAATAGAGGGGAAAAGGTTAACCTTTCCCTTCGAAGGGAGAGCCTAATATTGTCAACTCAGCAACATTGAAATGAAAAGTGACACAAATAAGTTCAATAGTTTTGAATACTCTCATGATCACAGTGAAAGAGAAGAATGAAGTTAAAAAATCACTAATGTATAAACCAAAGTAGAAGCCGAGAACGTGTAAAATTTAAGAGATCACTCAAATTTCCTCGCAACATCGATCACCCTCTTTATCTCTTCCCCATCTAAATTCATTCCTTCAATCTCATAAACACTAAAGTTGCACTCCAATGAATTGACATTATGAGTTAAGACAAAAGATTAGTAGTGAGAAATACTGAGAGCAAATACGATGCAATTCTTTTCGATGATACTAATCATACACGATTTGGTTAAATGGGTATACAAATATTGATTGTAGATATTTGTCAAATCACGAGCAATAAGAAAATAAAAGGATTATTTTATGAAAATGCAATAGTTTGAGTATTGAATGCATCCAAAAAAGTGAATGCATCGAAGTAACCACCTATGTATATGTTGGACTAACAAGTGCAAGTAGACAATCTCATTGTCCCTTGTGGGGATGAGGAAACCTAATAATAAATCTAAACTTAATTAACAATCCAAATAAGAAACATGTATAAACAAAATATAATAATAATAATACAATACTTGTATCTAACATAGTAGCTCCAAAGGCAGAGTAGCCTAAAGTCCTAAACACATAACAAGAGAAGCAAATTAGCAAGAGCACGTAGGAAGAAAATGTTAAAAAAAAACCCAAACACAAGAACGAATGTCATCATCCTCGCATCTAGACATCTAGATTAGATTAAGAGAGCAGAAGTCTGACAAAGATAAACGATGATAAGAGGTTTCAGGCTCCAAGACCACATCCATCAAGCATCACTAGGACCTAGTGAAACAATAACTAAGATTAGTGTTACGATTAGTAAAAGTAGATATAGTATTAGTTTATTTAGTATGTTGTTGAGAGATCAATAAACAAACATACAAGGTAAGTATTGTTGAGATTATTCCTCTCTGTCTTATTCTCTTAATCCTCTAAATGGGTCTCTCGTATCCTCATTCTATTGTGCATAATTTCCTTTTCTAATTTGCTAAACCCAAATTCTTATTTTTCTTCAATTATCTTCTCAATGCCCATTTCTCAAATCTCCAAATTCATGCTCACATCTCAATTCCACAATAAACTAACTCACAGAGAGGACTCAATCAAAGTTGGGGGACTATCAAGAGAGCGTGGCCAATTGGATGAATGGACTTGGAGCTGCAATCCTCACAAAAGTGGTAGTGTTGAGCAGGAAGAGCCCCAATCCCTCACCTCCAGCAAGGGAAACCTCAAGCGAACAGGAGCACGTTCCTCAAAATCCTGCCGCACTCTCGAAGTCGTGAGAGACACAGTTTTTTAGCTATTCTAAAATTTCCACTGCCTGATTGCAAGCAACAAACCAATTGTCGATTCTCTGCCGAATGGCGGTCGAAATATTCAGATGAAAACCTCTTTCTACAATGGCTTATGCAGCCATATGAGGCTAGCAGACAACTTATTCCTAGTAATGTTGAGCATTGGCATCTGCAATAGCTTTGATGCCTATGTTGTGATGCACTCCTCTTAAATAGCTTATCAAGTTTTTCACTAAGATGCTCAGATGAAAATTCACCACGATGAGCATGATGGTGCTAATCAAGTTAATGTTGATGGCGGAGGACTGATTGAACAAGAGAATCTTGGCGGTGCCCTCAAAACCCACTTCAGATGCAGATCCAACAAGTTGAGTGCCATTTACTAGATGATGTTGATGATTCTATTAGAGAAGCAAATATGTATCAATCTGAAAAAAAAAAAAAAAATCAAAATGAGCTAAGAACAAGCAACAACTAGAAAGAAAGTGGATCGAGTAGAATCTCAATCCTTAGCAGTGTTGATGAAGAGAAGCTCAGGTGAGGGCCTGTTTACCCTTAGAGCCTCCGACACCACATTGACATGTATCACGTAATCGATAAAGGCTATTAGAGAAGCAAAGATGTTATTTCTTTGGACTCGAATGCATTTCTAAAGTGATTTATTGCTTGCACACCAACAATTATGTTCTTTTCCGACTCTAAACCATCTAGTCACAAACCAAGCAAGTTCCTCTGGTTATAAGAGAGAAGAGAGAATTTGCTTTGTCTCTTACACTATTTCCTGCTGAAATAACATTAATTTTTTTGTTGTCCTCTCTCTGTTATTACAACTGTCGTACTTCTCAAGAACACCTTACCATGGTAACTTAAAATCGGTTAACTCTTAAGGTTACCAATGGTAGTTAATAATGAAAAATAATTTGAAAATTGGCATTGTGGATTGGGATCTCGGGGGTGTCTGTCCACTTAGGTGGTAACGTTAATGTATATATTTTTTATTTTTAATTTATAGATTTATAAATGTTGATAAGTGCTCATTTGAGTTGGCGCCAAAACTATTATCGTTTTTGCTTCTTCCTTATTTCCTTTTTTTTTTGCTCGTTCTTTCTTAAAATCTTTCTTCACGAAAAACTATTTTCTTCTTTCCCCCCTTTTTTTTCTTTCTTTATTTTTTTCAAAGAACAAACTATTTTCTTTCATTTTAGTCTTTCAAAATTTTAGTTTGGGTCACTCAAGTCCATTTCTATGACAATGCACATATCTTATCAATGTAATTATGTACTTATTAGGTCATTTTAAATAACACCAGAGTAGTTCATTTACAAAGGATGGGTCAATGACAATCTAGCGAGATTACCATGATTGATATAAGACGTTTGAGGCCTATTATAGGTGAAGAGACCACATAATTCCACTCTTGCATATCTATCTCCGAGAATGATGATACTTGTTTCGGGTCCTCTTTTACCATGGGTTTCATCACCGAAGACACAATGACACCTAAAAATCTAACAAAAGAAATGGTTAGAAACTCGCACCCACAAAGACACAATGAACCAAAATACGGGTTTCTCGCTTTGACTGAGTTGCTATAAATTATCTATATTATTAATACGGCTAAATTTAAAACAATATAATTTTGATTTTCAATGCTGGCCAAGTGGAAGCGTTTTGACTTTTGACAAAACCCAAACCTGCCTAGCCCATCCATTTTTAAAAAGCGGGTAAAACTTGTACCCGACTAAAAGTTGTCAACACAATTTTTTTCCATGTTGACAGGGTCAGATTGGGTTGGGTAACCATAGAGACGTGTTCAATTGTCAAACGAATATCCCCAAGAAACGTTAGTCGCTGAACTTCCAAATCTGCTAAACCCGAATTCTTATACTTCTTCAATTCTCTACAATCTTAACTGTCTAATCCTTTCTTTCTCTAACACACAATATAGGAAAAAAGGGTTTGCTGCTGAACAACTGTAGCCCCACGTCTACCACCATGTTCCCTGCCTGTGCAGCTGCTTCAATTGGAGCGAACAACCCTCCACCACCTCCACCATGACCCCTGCCCTGTGCAATTGCTTGAATTTGAACGATCAAGCCTCCACCACCTCCACCACGGACCCTGCCCCGTGTTGCTTCAATCACCACCTGCGGATTAACGAAGCCACCACGACCTCCACCACATCTATCGCGAGCCCTGCCACGTGCAGCAAGAACAACAACCCTACCGCCAGCCCAGGAACAGGAAGCGCCCTGTCTCTAACCTCCAGCGTGGGAAACCTCAAACCTATGCTACACTCGCGAAGTTCGTGAGAGACGCCGTTCTTTTGCAATTCAAAATCCTCCACTGCTTGGTTGCAATCTGCAACCAAGTTGCCGAGGCTGTGCCCGATGATGACGGCTGGTACAGATGAAAATTTCTTTGCTCAATGGATTGTACAACCATATGAGGAGGCACGAGGAAAGATTGGTTGAGCCAATACTGAGCAATAGTGTATGTAGTAGTTTTGTAGGCTATATCTTGATGCAGTGCTTTCAAATGGTAGTCAGCCCACCTCAAGTCATGGATGACGAATGTCATTAGTTCAATGAAAGAAAACTCTACAAAAAATCAAAATAAGGTAAGGAAAGGCAACAAGTCGAAAGAAAGTATAAAACCTCAATGCTTACCTGTGTTAATGATTGACAGCTCAATAGAGGGTCTGATTACTCCTAGTGTCAATGGATGAGGTAGTCCATGGAGGCACTTGGAAAATAACATATGTTCCTCTTCCTTGATTCAAACTCGTCTCTAAACTGATTTATTTATCACACAATGTAAGTTATATTTCTTTCGAACTCGAAACCAACAAATCCATGAGAATTGACATTATTCCTCTCACTAATTAAATGTTCTAGGAATGCTGCTTTGGGTTTAATTTGGCAACCGCCAATTTCTCAAGCAGGTAAAAGCCACACCATCTGAAAATTCATAGATACGGATATTACTTGCTTTGACCGAATTGAATTAGGTTGCTAACCATAGGTTTGAGGGGCGGAGCTATGATTTGACAATTGGGAGGCCAATTTTTTTTAATGCGTTATCACAAAAGGCTAAATTATACTAGCAATAAAATATTCCAAAAATATTTTTATTTTATTAAAATTAAACAAAAATAAATTCATTAAATTTGATATAAGTCACAAAAAAACAATCTTCTGTAAAATATATTATAGGATTTCTCAAATGGACCTTTTCCATTTCAAATTCTCTACGATGTCACAAGGCCACGTCAACCTCCTTTTTGCCCAGATGATCACCTCTTTTGTAACCGCAACATAATTTTTTTTCGTTTTTAAAATTACCTTATTCATTTATGTGAAGAGAGAAGAAAGGGAGAGGAAAGAGAAAGAGATCCGTGAGGGAAAAAATCAGTTAGTACTTTTAGAGAAATTTAAAATTTAAAATGTTAATAATTCTATTTTTTTAAACTAACTTATTCGTTTATGTGAAGAGATAAGTGAGGAAAGAGATGTGTGAGGGAACTCGGGAAGAGGAAGAGGGATAGAGAGAGAAAATCTGTTAGTATTTTTTATTTTGAAATTTAAATTTAAAGTTGACTTAATGTTTAAATTTCAAAACTATCTCTAATTAATATCTACCGTTGGATATACATGAAAACTAGCAATTCTTCTTACACTTTTCTATCACTATCTTGGGCAGTCTGTAGGGCAACCCCCCTCCCCCTCCTCCCAATTCTTTTATAATACCAGCTTGCCCCTCAACCTCTTTTTCTTTTATTAAATGTTGTTAACAAATTTAAATTAAAAAAATCATCCAAACAAAATGTTCTTATTGAATGGAGTAAGTGTTAGCACCATATTAAAAAAATGTTTTAGCACTCTAACACCTCCCAACTAATGGGTGCGTGTCATGGATCCCATTTATTATTTATTCTCACCTTCTCTTCTTCTCTCTAATCCAAAAAAGGTGATCGTGTCCCAAACTAAAAAAAAATGTTAGATTTGGGACTCTATATAGAGGGTTCAATTGTGTATGGATTGTTGGTATAGTGGGCTGCTATAGTTGTTTTGTTGGTACATAGCAATTGCGGATTGCTCAGGTATGACTTCTCTTCTTTTTTATTTTTTTTTAATTTATTCTCAAACAAGTAGATAAATTAATTTATTATAGTGAAAATAGTTGAAGAAGGACTTAGAGCTGTATGTTTTAGTCAACGTACTTGCAAGTTGTTTTTGTTTGGCTTGAAATTGTTGTGATGAATAATCATAGTTAACGGCCTTTTTACTTTATTAGAGATTTGTACAAGTTTCAGTATAAGATACCTTTTTTCTTTCACACTATTATTGTTTTATTTTTATAAATTTGACTGAAAATATATTACGTGACTTTCTATACAGGTTGACATAGTCTAAGGAGATTGTAACATATCAATATAATTTCTATTTTGATTCTAATTTATTACGATGATTCTCCTATTATTTGTAATCTTAGGTAAATAACTAGTCTCGAAATGCGTTCATCACCATCACTGAGCACTAGTTAATCAAATGTGGCACATATTTAAATCCTTACTCATGACAACCAATTCCTAACTAACTATATATATACTATTTTGTGCAAATTAACTCTTTCTATTGCTTATTCCTAATAAGGTTTTTTTTTGTCATTGTCCTAATAAGGTTATTTGGTATTGAATATTGATGATTTTCATTTTTGTCGTATACTTTATTAAAATTGGTATAACCGACATAAATATTAGTTATACCACCGTTATCTCAGAGAGGTATAAGGTGTGGATAAATAGCCGGAGTAACCGCAAGAGACGGAGACGGGGCAGATTTAGCTGAGCTTCTTTAAAAGAAAAAAGAAAAGGAAAAAAAAAAAAACTGAGCTTTTCGTTTCATTCCCCCATTCCTCCTACCACAAACCCTAAAATCTTTGTTTCGAGCTTCTTCGCCCATTCCTCCCACCACAAGCCTCTTTCCCCCAATCCCTTGCTTTTAATGGAGATCAGGTATCTAAAGTGTGAAGACGCAGATGCTTTGATCGATTATAGGCTGCAGATTTCACTCCATCTGAAGACGCTTTCCATTTTCAATAGGATGGGAGAAGGCCTCCAGTATCATGGATTCATGTTGAAGTGGAAAATTTATTTCGAGGTAGAGACGATTAATGTATACATAGGTTTGTTCGAAAGCCGCAAAAAGCACATCTATCTTGGGTTATTCACGATGACGGATTATGTGAGGAGTTTGATCGAAAAATACACGCCGGAGATGGAGGTAGAGCTACCGAAGCCCTCACTCGAATACCACCCGGAGGCGACGGGTACGTAAGATTTCCCTAAAACCCTAACTCCACCCCCTCCCCCGCTTCTCCTTGGGGCATGATTTTTGCCGGCGTTGTGATTTGCAGATGACGGACTTCTCAAGAACAACATGGTCTCTATGATGTTGTCCTTCGATACCATAAACAAGAAGCTGAAATCCATTTGCGATACAACCGCGGGGGGGACGAACTCACTGAATGAATTGGCGGAGGAATACAGACAGGAATTACCTGTCTTCGAAACCATGAAGGACAGGATCGCCCAAACACTCTTTAACTGGAGCACTGCCCTGATCGATGAGATCATGGAGCAGCCGGAGCATATGCAGGAGCTGCTCAACTTGCCTTCCACAGACACTACCTGGAGCTCTGAGCACAACTGTAAGTAGCCACTTCCCAGTGACATGTGATGATGTTATGAATGATGATTTCGACGAGTAGGTTGGGTTTTCCGAACGAACATTGGTTGTGATTGTTGAGCATTTCCTTTTCTGGTATTGTGGCTTGGACAGAATGTTGTTCGAATGCTTGACAACTTCAAGCTCATGTATGTGGCTGCCCATGTCTTGTTAGGTAGCTTGGTAACCTACACCTGTTGTTGCTCTCCTATGTGCTTGTTATTCCTTCTATTCTCATACTTTAGGTTTGAGAATGCGCAATCACGAATGAGTTTGACTATGAAACACTTTCAGCTCGTCATGTCTCGTGTTTGAAATTTGAAAAAAAATATTTGTTAGTAATAATGCGACTATTATTGTTCTTTATCTTTACTTTGCTTGATCCACATCGGACTTTGGATCTTTATAATGAGTTGTTTCATGTGTCTATCAGAATTGTCGAAGGTAAAAGTGGAGAAGAAGTTGGAAATAATGTAGAGCCATGTTGAGCTATTGTATTTGCAGATAACAGAAATAAAATGATATGAGATCATCCGTTCTTCCTATATTAGTTGAATAATAAATATCATAGATGAAACCAATATGATTCTATCATGATATTGCTTTTGTTTTTTCTCATAATCTTTAAATTTTGTGGTTGAACTATCAGGCTCACCAATTCGATCTTCGATGTAATTTCGCAAAACCTTCAAACATAGGGAAATATATGACCAGATGATCGTTGAGCAGAAGATGAACATGGAGGAAATGCACAGATCAATTGGATAAAAAAGGAAGGAGAATTCTTCATCAAAAAAAAGGAAGGAGAATTATGAGCTTTGTAGGAGGAAGTGTACAACAATATTTTTTACCGAACAAAAAAAACAGCTTATGGTGTTATTTTCAAATGTCGCTTAAAGATGTCAAAATGTCGGTTTAGTTTTGCACCGACATTTATAAAAAATGACGGCTAATTGTATCGAAATGTCGTTTTTTATTTTGTCGCTTAAAGTTACTGCGACATCTACAAAAAATGTCGGTACCTACATTATCCGACATGTATTTCGACATATGAAAATGTGACTATAGAACCTTGCGACATCTACAGAAAATGTTGGCACATATATCTTCCGACATTTCATTTCCACATATGATACAAAACCATTTCAGAAGAATGTAAAATGGTGTGTCGTCCTTTTCTTCTCAACTACACTCAAAACGATAAGAAGATAAAGAAGACCAATCAGAATGCACCAGTCCTTTAACCGAAATGAAGAGTCACTTTGTTGTTCATGCTAGTCACCAAGTTGGATTAAAAGTGGTAGGGTGGTAAGAGAGTTTAAGTACCGATTTGGTGATCGAACATTGTACTGGACACTGAACTCGATATCAAGACAAATCAAAACACAGAAGCTCACACTTATATGCAATCACTTTTAGCATTTCTATATATATATAGAGGAGCACTTCTACTATGCTATATAGCATTGGTGCTTTAATGTACAACTCAAAGTTGTACCATAACATTAAATGTATAAGTTTAGGTTGTACCATAAAACAATTTGTACCATTATGTTATGGTACAACTTTACAACTTGAAGTTGTAACATCACATAAAGGTACAAGTTCAAGTTGTACCATAAAAGAATTTGTACAAAAGGTATAAGTACAATATGAAGTTGTACCATAACTTAAATGTACAATTTTTAGTTGTACCATAAAGGCAAAAACCTATAGCACCAATACTATATAGCATTGTAAAATTTCTCTATATATAGTGGCTACTTTGGTGCACTCACTTTTTTTTGTGCACTCAATGCACCCAACTCTAAAAGTGCTCATAATACATCAAATTTTGAACTTTCGTGGGTAGCATTAGTATAATATGATGATGTAACACAAAATCACAACTAATCAATAGGGATGGCAAAAATATCCGTAACCGTGGATATCCGCCCGAATCCGGCCTAATCGGGTAGGGTAAAACCCGAACCCGAAGGACATTTAGTGGGTACGGGTAAAACCCGAACCCGAATATTACGGGTAATGGGTGGGCATGGGTTTCTCACTATCCAACCCGAACCCGCCCGATTATATAAATGCATATGTATTTTGTCTAGAAATAATCATTATTTTTCTCTAAAATATTTTATATTTAGCATATAAATATAATATTTTCATGAAATTGTGTTGTTTTAATTAATTTTGTTCATTCTAGTGAACTATTGTCGTACTTTCCTCTTAAGTAATGTGAGAATACGTGTGAATGTTAACATATTTGTTGGAGTTATGAAGAGAAATTATTACCCATAGATAACCGTGGGTACCCGAAACCCGAACGGGTATGGGCATGGTTTTAATTTTCTACCCGTTTCACATGTGGGTATGGGTATGGGTAAAACCCGAACTACTTTGAGTAGGGTAACGGATATGCACTATCCGTCCCCGACTCGACCCATTGACATCCCTACTAATTCCATTACCCTAACCTATTAACCTTCAATTTTGAATCCCAACCCAAAATCCGAAATTGTAAACCCTAACCCTAAATTCCTAAACCCTAAATCATTCAAATTAAAGTGAAACTTGAGTGGTTTTTGTACAAACTCATGTGGTTCTTGTTCATCGGCTCCGGATAGTATAACAACAAGGGTATAAGAGTAAAATACCAATAAATAAATAAACAAAATTTAAATACCTAAACGTGTTTTATATCCCTGTCTCTCCAGCAACAGCGGCGGCCGAATCTGTACCTCCGAGCACCAATTTTCTCCGGTGCCAATTCTATGCCATCGCCGTGCCAATCCGCATCTCTCCCGTCGCCTGCGCCATCAGGAGCAAAACGCTCCGACGCGGCCTCCCTGGGCGGCGGCGCCGTCCGCTCAGTTGAAAATCTCCTTCGCGGTCACGTCTCTCCGCCTCGTTCTTCTTCATCGACAGCAAATCGTGGCTGAGATGGCAGTAGTCTCCGAACAAGCTCTCTCTTCTTCCAATCCCATCCATCGAGGTCGATTCGGAAAAAATCGTCCTCCGATTGAGGAGCGTCGCGACGGTGGAGCGAAGGCGGAGGGGGAGGAAGATGGCTACCTTTATGATCGTAGGGGTAATCACGATCTCCCCGTGGTTGAGTTGAGAATGGGGGGATATGGAATCGAGAAGACGGGGATTACAACTCTGCAATTTTTCAGTCCAGGGTTTTGTGGCAGTTGAGAACGATTGGTGGAATCGAAGGAGAGGGTCTTGTAGTGTTGGGCTCTGTTGTTGTTTAATGAAATGAAGATTAAGGGGTTTGAGTTTGATTCAGATTGTCATCGCTATCTAGTAAGCTACTTAGTATCTACCGTTTCACAACGGATCGAGTGTCAACGGTGACAATCACAAACCAAAATAATAACAAACTAGATATAACTTACAGCAGGCCCATTCCAATCTTGCTTACGGGCTAATTGGGCCGACTAGAAGCAACCCACCAAGGGGATTGAGTTGGATAGAGTTTTGTACAACACATTGCTCTCGATTTATGCTAACCTTGGTAAGCTTGAGGAGGATCTGGACGTCTACAAGGAGATGCAAACATTTGGATTTGGACGAGATGTTGTTACTTATAATGCACTCATAAACCTGCCATTCACAAACACGGTAAAACAATCCATAAAAAGCGTACCAGAAACCTCCCAATCCATATAATAAATTCCCTAAAACAGACCAAAAACTCCACAAAGCATACCACAAATATTCCGAAAGCACACCAGAAACCTCATAATTCAAACCACAAACACGGTAAAGCAAACCACAAACCTCCTAATGCAGACCAAAAATATATTAAAACAAACCAGAAACCCCACAAATCAAACCATAAAATTTTCGAAAGCACACCAGAAACTTATTAATGCAAACCAGAAACTCAATAAAGCAAACCAGAAACCTTCCAATGCATACCACAAATCCCGTAAAACAAACCACAAACCTCACAAAGCAAACCACAATATTTGCGAAAGCACACCAGAAATCTCCTAATGCAAACTACAAACACAGTAAATCAAACCACGAAAAAACAAACCATTAACGTCCTAATGCAGACCACAAATATATTAAAACAAACCAGAAACCCCTCAATGCAAAACACAAAGTTTTTTAAAGCAAACCAGAAACTTCTCAATGCAAACCACAAACACGATAAAGCAAACCAAAAACTTCTCAATGCAAATCACAAACGCGATAAAGCAAACCACAAAAGATATACAAAAATGTGAGAAACCAAACCATAAATCTCACAATTCAGACCATAACATCCGGTGGTCGTTGGCCGTTGACCGGTCAACAAAGACCGTTGACCGGTCAACGAAAATCGTTGACCAAACGCCGATGACCGTCAGTGAGTAGATTCCGGCGCCGATAGGCATATTCCGGCCCCGATGACTAGATTCCGACGCCGGTAAGCATATTCCGATCACGGTGAGCATATTCCGACGACGGTGGCATATTCCGATGAGAAAATAGCATATTCCGGCGACGAAAAGCATATTCCGGTGATCGTCGACCATTTTCCGGCGACCGGTGACAGAATTCCGGCGACCAAAATTTTGGGCCGAAAAAATATAAAAAATATTTTTTACTTTTTATTTTTTTTATTTTTTATTATTATTTAAACATATTTTTCATAATGACAATTATACCCCTGCTTTGATTTTACACTAGGTCAACTCATCTAATAAAAAGTCATCACAACCCTAACTTCCTATTGGTTGGAGACTAGTGTTGTTATAATAACAACACAAGGAGTGTTGTCATAGTATCTAGTCCCTTGTTCATCATACCACAAGTGATGATTGACACGTTTTCACATGAATCACCTGCTCAGAATGACGATTATGAGGCAGATGCATTGAATGCACCCAAAAAAGTGAGTGCACCAAAGACATATATATAGTTCAGGCTAGCATACTCTAGCTAAGTGGGGCAACAAAGAATTTTTTTTTTTTTTTTACTTGGGTTGCACTCCACTATCGAAGTCCAATCTCACATGCTTATTATAGGAACCAAGAGAATAATTGGACGTACGAATGGATCATGTATCCCGGCCCCCTTTCCAACGATCACTTCTTCGTTTTCTATCTTACCTCACTAATCCATCTTCTTCCCGTTCCTCCCTCCCTCCCTCCCACCACAACCCTTATTCCTCCCGCCAATCCGTCGCTACAATGACTGATATTCTCCTCACATGCCCAGAAAATTTGATGGAGGTAAGGCAGAGGATTACCGACTTGTTGAAGATGCTTTCTACTTACCCTAGCGAGAATCTGGAAGGCGTGAATGACGAGGGGTTGACGTGGAGCATGCTTATCGAGATTGCGGCGATTCAAATCGATAGCAAGATATCATCCTTCGAAGGCAACAAAAACGAGATCTATCGCGGGGCGCGCTTATTGACCGACGTAAGCTGGAGCTTGAGATAGAACTACCGATGCCCTCCGTCGAATTCCATCTCGAGAAGACCGGTAAGAGTCCCTACTAAACCCCAACCCCGAATCTCCTTGTATTTGGGACCTGATTTTGCCTTCTGCTGTATGATTTCAGATGACCGGCTTCCCGTATTGACCGACAGTGTGAGGAGAAGGATTGAAGAGATGCCGAAGCTGGAGGCAGAGGAGGACGGGGAGAGTGGTAGGATTCCCACCCCCGGCAGCTTTTCCTTGTGTTTGGGGGGCCTGATTTTGCGTTGTGATTGCAGATGACGGCCAGTTTCTCGAGGTCAGCATGGCCTCTATGATCTCCTGCTTCCTGAAGATACGCGAAACACTGATCTCCATCCAGGAAACTGCTACAGCCTGCGGGAAGACGAACAAACTGAAAGACTTGGCGGAGTCCTACAATGACCAAGTAGTTGCCTTCGAAACCAGCAAGGGCAGAATCGCCCAAGCGCTGCACGACATCAGCGACGCCTTGATCAAAGAGATCGAGCCCCACCGGCAGCATGTGGAGCTGGTGCACTTACAGCTCAACACCCCTTCCAAAGAGATCTCTTATGACCTCCCCCATGTTATCCGTGTAGTACGACCTCGAGCTGCCCGTTCTGTGAGCAAACGAGCCCGATCTGTGAGCAAACGGTCTGATTGAATGATGATCCTGTAAGTAGCCATGATTTCGGGTAAGCTTAGTTGGATTGTTGAACAATTTCGGGTATTGCATAGTGTTTTGGACCGAGTGTTAAAGATTGTTTAGAACTTTCAATTTCATGTATGTGGCTGGCTTGTCCATGTCTTGTAACCATTTCATAAGTAAGCCAAAGCCTGCAATCTACACCTGCTGTTGCTTTGTTCTAAGACTATTATTCGTTCAATTTGTTTTCCCATGATCTGTCGTCCTATCCATTCTCAATATATCAGCTAGCTAATCTTTGTTGTTTTCCCATGATCTGTCGTCCTATCCATTCTCAATATATCAGCTAGCTAATCTTTGTCAAGTTCAAGTGAGGCTTTGTTTGTAGGGACCCTTTTGATTACTATCTAATCAACGAGATTGTATTCGACGAGGTTCCTGATCCATTCTTTGTTGTTGTTTTCGTTGCTGCTGTTGTTGTTTTCACTAGGTGGCAGCAATGCAACTGCTACTTGATGGATGCTGGCTTACTGAAGTGGACGCAAAATAATGTTGTCGTTTTCGTTTTCTTAAAGACTCTCTGTATTTGGTGCCTATGTTCTGGAAGTGGAGATTGACATTTGTTTTTGTGGTTCGATGGTGCAACATTTAGTTGCCAACTGATTGACATCTGCATATCTTCTGAACCAATAATCGAATTTTCATCTATACGATATTCAACTTGATTTGGTTGCAAACTGAAACAAAGTGTTTTGTCTTTAAACTAAGCAACAGCAGAAACAAACTGACCAAAACATTGGACCCGAATTGAATCAACAGACCAAGGGTCGAACTAACAAGGGCAGCCTGAAGATTCTACACTTCTTGATGTCCAGAGAAGAGATCGGACGAGGAATAAGGCGGTCACCTGGAACAGCAGGATGCAAAGCCACCAGATTTCTTTGATCCGTCGTTTCCATCGTTGGATATGGTGACCCTGTTTAAGGACAATTCGGCCTTGTATGCATCTGAGTTCAGGACCTTCCTGCTCACATTGTTGTAGATCTCTCGGATCACGATCTCGAAGGCCTTTTTAACGTTGGTCGAATCGAGTGCAGATGTCTCCATGAAGAATAGGCCTTCTTCTTCTGCGAGGGTCTTGCCATCTTCAATGCTCACATCTCTAATGTTGTCCAAGTCACATTTATTGCCCACAAGCATTTTGGCCACCGTGGTATCAGAATGCACTGCACCAACATGTCGGCTGAATTTTAGCCATAATAATAAGGTAAATGATGGGATCAAAGGTTTCTAATAAAGTACAAGACATCGCATTCACAATCAGCAGTGGTCAAACGCATTGACAAACCCAATATAAAGTAAAAGATGGCAAACAAAACGATCATCTGGGTGTCCTGTATACTACGTAAACTCTCCAATTTTCAACTTGATTCTGCTACAACACTAGGAAAGACTTCCCCTGAATATATTGTACATCAATAGGTTGACTGTAGAATAGCAAATCAACCTACACAGTTCTTCTTTCTAGTTATATATCATTATTGTTCATAACAGAACCAAAGCACTCAAAACTACCTGCAGCATGATATAAGTAAGCAAGCATGTCTCTCCAATGAGAAAACATACAGAAGCTGGTAAGGATTCAGAAAGCCAGACCATTATACTTCTCAACTACGCCCAAAACGATAACAAGATAAGAAAATGACTAATCAGAACACACCAGTCCTTTAATCGAGATGAGAAGTCACTTATTTGTTCATGCTAGTCACCAAGTTGGATAAAAGTGGTAGGGTGGTAAGAGAGTTTAAGTACCGATTTGGTGATCGAACATTATACTGGACACTGAACTCGATAGCAAGACAAATCAAAACACAGGAGCTCGCACTAATATGTAATCACTTTAGCATTTCTGTTTCCCGACCTCCTACAGTTTTTGCCATTATATTAGTGATGTGGTTGTGTACAGTGGTTTCACATCAGCATCACAATGGCAAAAACTGGCCGAGAAAATAGGAAATGCTCACGCTGCTTTATTAGCATAAAGCTTCGATGGCTGGTTCGTCTCAATCAATGTAGTCAAAATCGCGCTTTAAAACTTAAAAACTTACGATTTTACGTTTCTAGATCACTAAAACGCTTCTACACAAAATCTTAGTTTTTATAGCTTATGTAGTTAAAAACTCCGCATTAAAACTTAAAACTTACGATTTTACGCTTCTAGATCACCAAAACGTTTCTACGTAGAAATTCGTTTTTGACTACATTGGTCTCAATACCGAGTTCTGTAACCATTGGGGCAAGATGAACGAAAAAAGGCAATAACTTTTCAAAAAATATATATCGTTGCTAGTTAGGCACCAACTCAACTAACTCATGTAAGATTCCAAAAGCGAATATATGGTCATATTTCAGCTCTCCATCTTGTTTACCAAAAAGGAGCTATCTTTTTCTTCTAACTATTTTTCAAATCATGCCAAGGAACTTCCAAAGTTCCAATGGTCTCTCCTCCAAGCAAAGACACTCTGCCCCAAACTACTACCTTGAAAGTTACTAGGTGGAGTTGCATCCATAAAGCTAAAGACTTCAATCACAAATCAACAAAAGAAATCAACTTCAACTTCCTTCTTCCCCATCCCATCATGAACTAAAATTAAGATGAACAATGCAAGTTCTCTAATCATAAGCTTATTCAGAACAGCTTAAACACACCGAATCTCCCAGCATCGGAGCTACCAAAGATCGAATCTCACACGAATCAAAGGATCTACACTCAATGCCGATTCACTTTTAGCAGCAAGGTTCCATCAGGACAGTAACAGAGAGGAAAAACACAGATAGAAGCAAACACATCCAGACAAATGCTAGCTAGCTCAATGCCAAGAACTCAAATTCCCCATCTGAAGCGATATTATAAACTAAATAAAACTCCACGGAATTGAAAGATTCGATTATTGCTCAATTTCAGCTCAAAGCTTCAGATCTACTTCCAAGCTCCCAATTCAATCAATGAATGCGGAAGAAGAAAGAGCAGAAAATGAAATGAGCCCAGCTGGGAAATACTTACTTTTGAGCTCGTCCAGCCAGCGTCCGACGCTCTCGAAGGTGGTCTTGCGGCTGATGTCGTAGACGACGAGCGCGCCGACGGCGCCCCTGTAGTAAGCAGAGGTGACGGCGCGGAACCTCTCCTGGCCGGCGGTGTCCCAAATCTGGGCCTTGACCTCCTTGCCGTCGATTTCCATGCTCTGGGTCTGGAATTCGACGCCAATGGTGGCCTTGGAGTGGAGGTTGAACTCGTTCCGCGCGTAGCGGGACAAGAGGTTGGACTTCCCGACGGCAGAGTCGCCGATTATGACGATCTTGAACAGGTACTCCTCGCCTCCCTCCTCGTCCGACGACGACATGCCTTCTCTCGCTTCGGTGGTTGTTTTCTGGTGGACGGCGGCGGAGAGAGAATGGGTTTGAGAGTGGAAAGAGAGAAAGAGAGGAGGAAGAAGAAGAGGAAGAGGAAAGTCTGTAATGGTAAAGAGGGAGTCAAGCTGGCAGAGACATGCTGCGGTATGAATGATAGAACACCTTCCTTTTTTCCTGGTCTATTATAATATCAAAAATAATAAATTTTCTTGTACTAATAATTTGCTTTTTTTTTTCCCTTCTTCTTCCTGAATTGGAGCTGAATTTGGGGGAATTTTCTAAGGAAGACTGGCCGTCAAAATTTAAAATTTTTTGGTTGAATGATAATGTTTTCTCCGTTTTACAGTTTAAATTATAATTTTTACGAGTATTGGATTCGAGTGTCTTTGGTTTTTATTGTAACTTTTAGAGTATTTGGTTAGAGTTTTATGGACTGATTAGTTAGTTTATTTTTATTTGATTATAGTAGTAATACAAAATTTCATTACGATAGATCATAATAATCGATCTTGTAAATTTTTAATGTCAAGTTAGTGCTTGATCGAGTGATCGGTTAATTCGAACTGATTTTGATACAATATGGAGGATCGGTAATTGGTAGCTTCATGATGATGACCAATTGAATCAATGATGGTGAGTGTCTTATTAAGATTTTAGGGTTATTATGGGTTTGCATTTGCATGAAAAGCCAAAAAGAGAGCATTACTTTTGAAGATATGGAATCTAATTATTTTTAGGGACTAGTATAATAAAATCTAAAAATTGAATGAAAAGGATCCATTAGTGGGAGACAAAACTATTTCCTTGGGGGCTCATGATTATTGCTCAATTACATAACCAGTCACTGTAATTTAGTGTTACTGGTAAGTCTATCACTAAACTTTATCATTTTTCATGAACTTTTGTACCAAAATTTAGAGTGACTAACAAGAAGATGGTGTCGTCCATTATTAATTGTTCCACTCGTCTAGATCAACATAGAAATTCATATAAATTAATAACAATAAAAATATCTCATAGAGGCTTTAGTGTTTTTTTTTTTCGTTGGATTTGATTATCTTCGACGTAGTGCGCTGAAAAGAGATTGAAAATTATGTCATTTCAAGTCATAAAGATCGAATTAGAGTTGAGTAAAGAGTTTGGTTTGGATCAAATGTGAGAACAATAGTGACCAAATTATGGAATAGCTCTCACATGAATGATGAAACCAACACTAAATCACACCCATAAGTTCTATCACTCATGTCAAAAACTTAAGAATTTTACACGAAAAGAAGTGGTAAGTAGCAAGTAAGATCAGTTGAATTAAACATATTCACTTGCACTGTAACTACAAGGCTAATGAATTCTGTCATCTGTCATTTGTTGTTACAAGTCTTCTGTTTAGCTGACTGACAAATTCACATTGCATTTACTTACAAGAAAACAATCGTATAAGCTGATTTGGATATTCCCTGCAAACTATCTAATCCTGCAGAAGAAGAACCTCCCACCTACTCTATAGATTCCAACTCTGTGATGTTTCTCACCACATTCTGCACTTTCGACGATATCTGGTCGCAGTGCTCTTCGACAATCTTCATGAATGCAGATAGCTGTTCCTGATACACCGTGCATAACCTCTTCTTGTTTCGTAGTTCCATGCTCAGCTCTTGAATCCGTTTGTCCTTCTCATCCTGTGCAGCAATTTACAGAAGTTTCATCTCAGCTAGAAGCTTATATGCAAATGAAAAACATATATATACCACCATTACTGTTGAACATCCGGCCATGTCAAGCCAGCTATGTAAGTCCCTATGGAACATAGAATTACTGATGTTGTGGCTAATGGAAACGGCTGACTCGAGCAAATGCCACGCATGATCAAATCAACCAGAACAGAAACTTAACGATGGACTTGGTTCTCGTAACCTATGAATAACTAGTAAAGCTGATCCTTTCAAAACATTGTCAAAGAATGCGAGAGAATATTAACTAACTAACCAATGTCTGGCGGGCTTCACGGTGGGCAACAACGACGAGCGGGTGATTGTGTTCCTTCACAAACTTCGTGATCACCCACTTCCCGGATTTATCAAACTTGACATGAATCATACCCTTGCATCCTTCCCTCGTGCTGGGTCGTGGCTTTCGAACGTTCCCATGTTTGCCTCGAACGCTAACACAGTGGCCTTCCTTGTTACAACCGAACCGACGTGCAAGAATCCTCCCGTCCCTTTCAGACCGACGGCATGACATCACGCGCATGACGAACCCCAGTTTTCGTGCATATTCGTCGTAGAATATCTTAGCAGCGTCTTCTGAATCGAACTCCATACCCTCAAATGGTTCTAGGATTGACTCATCATCTTCTTCCTGTTGTTCTGGTGGTGCAGCTGTCTCCTGTCCATCATCTGAAGCCTCCTCCTGCATTTCAACAGCTTCTGGTGGTGCAGCTGTGTCATGTCCATCATCTGTATTCTCCTCCTCCATTTCAACTGCTTCATCTACATCACTGGTAGATGATACCATTACCTATTACTATCTGCAAATATCCAATCCACATGTCTCAAGATCAGAAACACAAAAAACTGTGTCCTCCTATCAAATTTTTCAAGATCAAACTGTCAATGTCACCAATGGCCAGCAGAGAATCGATCACAACTTTGAACGCTAAAATTCAAAGACTTGAGGCTACCAACATTGTGTTGATTCGTCGTTTTCAGAGGCCCATTTATGTTCCATTTCTCGTCTGTGCAACAAGGAACATGCATAGGATTTGTTAATGCCCTCGGTCCTCTGAGAATCCCTAGCACTACAATCTATCAAAACAGGAGCTAAGCAAACCTCACTCAGACTGAAACATTTTCATGAAATTGCAAAAAAAAAGAAAGAGGGGTTTTCTTTCCCTTTTGTCATTTAACCAGCATCAAAGTAAGAACAACCGGCTAGCCTACTGCCCGCGCCCAATTCTGTTCCTAATTCTAAATTCACCAATCAGAATTACTAGTTTACTACGTTTCTATCAGCAATCATGTTCTTATATGAAGAAGAAGAAGAAAGATACCCAGGCTTGACGGTAGAAGATGATTCGTTGACTCTCCAGCTGCCGCTTCCTTACCGAACTCTGTTCCCTGGGCTTCCTTCCGAAGCAGCTATCCCTTCGATTCACAGCAATACAGAGGACAAGTACTCGACTTTCACAACGGACCCAATTCAATCTATAGCTTCCTCCCCCGCAGAGTACCACGGCGGTCGGAAAATTTCGTCGCGGGGATGGTAGAATCCGATAACCGGCCTCTCTCTCGCAATCGAGATCGGATCCAAGAGACTGCTTTTTCGCTTCTCCTTCCAATTTCTTTATCTATGCGACAGCTGACGAGGAACAAGTACAAGAACTCCCTGCCTCTCTCCCCCGGCGATGGGGAAATGATGACTATTCAGTAGACGTCGGAGCGGGAAAGCAATAGCTTCTTCTTCTCTGTTTCCGACGACCTTGCTAAATATTGGGCCGAACGGGGAAAGACTCTCTGAAGCCAAATCTCCGCGAAAAAGCCCGATCCGTTCCAATTATAAATCCCCAAAACAAACAGAACTACAAAACGAAATAAAACCGAAAACTTTTTTTTTTTTTTTTTAGCGAGATTAGTCGTTGTTGTCGAGGGTATATTTCAACACACCATCACAGAAAACTATTTCGGAAAGTAAATAGCAAAATATCAACACTTGTTTGATGCTTCTCCATATTATGTACACAAACAAAGCAAGAAACAAATGAACAAAAACCTTTGAACTTGGACTATTTTCCCCCCTGGTGTGTAAATAATTATTCAGCTAAATTAACCAACAACAATTTGTGGGGTATTTAGAAGGAAAAAAAATTGATTACAGAAGCTGGATCTCTTGTAGAAAAATCCGTCAGTCAAGAGATGTCATTTGCTTGGTCGGCATCCACAGGTGCAATTCTCCATATCCTCATGTAGTTTCTGCGCAAACCAAACGATAAATAGTATGAGTTCGAAGAATGAATCTTAATAAGATATCAGAGTTTTCGTCCACGCTAGAAGATAGACTTTGGACTAACAATATTAACGTATTGCATGCATCAGATATATGAGACCGATTAGCCTCGGATTTCAAGAACACACACCTCAAGTTCATTTTGGAGGCCTTTGATGTGCTGAACTGCCAAGTCCAACATGTCTGAATAGCTCGTTTGCTACACAAAAAATAATTAGTTCCAAGATTACATCGTTATTTCATCACATTCTGGAGAGAACCTCTAAACAGAATATAGCAATCAGATTTGTTAATTACCTTATCCATGTTAGGAACGAGATCTTGAAGCTTCTTCAACCTCCCACTTATTCTGGTCCGCCTTTCCTGTTTGGATCATCATCAACCACCATTAATAATAACTTGTTATCCCAACTAAATCATGATTATAGTACTTAATTAAACAACCCTTCATTATATTATCAAACACTTTCAAGTCATTAAATTAAGCAAATCTGCATCACTAACCCTTTCAGCAATGCTTCGAGGGTGGGTGGCGAACCCACGCTTAGCTCGGACTCTGCATGGGACAGAGTCTTCGGGTATATGCATCAGCTTGTCCACCGTCGCCATCTCTAGCGTCGTTTGCGGCATGCTAAACTGCATGCACCACCATAAACCGCAACGTATCAGAACCAGTTCGTTCCAATAACTTACTACGAAAAGGGGAAAAACAATAATAACAACTTACCTGAGTGTCCAAGCCGTTGTAGCAAGTGTAAATATCTCCATCCACGGCTCTGAACTTCTTGCTGGGTTGTCCTGACGAGAACGTGATGGAGTTGGGGCTATTGTCCCAATCCATGACGAACCCAGACGACGCCGGATTGTTATAGGAACTGTGGTGGCGGCCGCGGCCGGTCTCTACGTCCACGTCGACGTCGCTCTCGCTGGCTTCTGATATATGAGAAAGTGCCGATTCTGGGCCGGTGAAGCTCAGTTGCGATTTCAACCTCTGAACCGGCTGGTAGCCGCCGCCGCCGCCGTTTGCTGCGTGTGAATCGAAGCCGCCGGAACCACCCCTCGTTATCGAAAAACCTGGTTTAAATCACCATTAATCAATATACAAGCTTGTGATTATTAGCCAAAAGCAATTAGTCCCTCGATGAATCGCTGCTTGAACATAGCGATGAGAAATGTAAATGATACGATATTTTACGTTGTTATTTAATAAGAGTGTCTATCATCAATAGAAAATACTAAGACGACGCGAAACATAGTATTTAATATCGCCATCAAGTTTCACAAATTCGAACCAGATCAACATTAAATTAGTTAAACATGAGTACATGACAAATCTTGTACCATTTTATTACGATATAGCCCGTGACGACGAACTTATACCTAATATCCTAACTAAAATAAACATTAAACAATGTGAATTTTGTAACTTGTGGAGAAGCTCGGGAAACAAGAGGCACTGAGCTTTCATCCAAACAGGCAGATTCAGCCAATCTATGTGCTCAAAAGGTAAACCACCAGAACATTATTTTTATTTTCCAGATCGACCTAGATCTGCACTTACTGATAAAATAATAATTGTTATCATCAACTTGGCCAAGTGGGTGGATATGGAGGACCCAAATCCCTAATAAAATAAATAGAATATTCCACGCGGGAATAGGCACTCAATTTGGGGTTTTGTTCAATGAATTCATCCAATCCCCAATGGAAGTAATTATTCTACAAAATATCGGATATTTGTATTAGAAAAATAAATTAAAATAATGACCAAAAACCGGTTCATAAATGGAGAATTAAAGACCAATTCCTAATTAGGTGGTAATTTACCGAAAAGTTAGGAGCAAGTGGGGGCGACAAACACACGTGGACGTGAAGGGTGATTATGTAATATTCGACTAAGTTGGGTGGTGGTAAAGTTCACTTTACTACCACGTCAGTCAACGATTATCTATTGGAGGAAATGAAACGTATATAGAAACAACGAACAATCTCAATCGAGATAAAAATAAATAAAGGAGGGGAAAGAAAAGAACAAACAAAAGAATGTACCAATCAGGAATTTCCTTTCTTTAGTTATTGATAGGGCCACCAATCAGGATTGCTGGAGTAATAAAAAGGAATAAATGCCTTGGTAAATTACATGAACAGTCACTGGCCGTTCGCTTAAGTTTCAAAATGGTAATCCTAATAGGATAAGGAGTAAGGAATCTTCTGTATTTCCATGTCGACAATGCTCTACAATTTTCCATTGATTCATTAAATAATTTCCAAAATTCTGATAAAAGTTAGATTTTATATATCTGATTATTACCTAGTGAAATATGACAATAAAATCGTTTAATGTTGACAAAGGTTTCTACTTTTTAGCGTCCAAATTGCATAATCCAATGTTCTTATGATGTCACAAGATTCAGAACTAAAATCGTGTAAATAACTGCTATAAAATCGTCATAAAATCTGATAAGCTCATACTTTGATCTATGACAAGCTTGAGAGATGATTCACACGAATTGAGTAGGGATAGAATGTGAGGATCGCCATGCGTGCTCGATTCATATCTTAGAGAAACTACGCCGTCTGACTACACAGATGAAAAATTCAATGCTAATAACGTTTTCGAAGATAAAAAAATATTGTCGAGACTCAAGTGTAACTTAAGAAACAAAATAATTATGTGATACGCGATGAACATAAACTTTGCCGAAATGATGATACACGTTTCGACCTCTGATACCTATACGAGCCATCGATCCAGTACGAACCTGGTTCCATGTTCGATTCACAAGGGTAGCAAAGAAGTAGCATCCCACTGGACCAATTTGTAAGTTTGGTGAAAGTTCAATGACGAAAAATACAAACAAAAAAAAAACGTACCCCTTTTTCCTATATTCCATAATCCAGCATTACGATTCTAAGATAGCCAATAGCAGCTCTCACATCTCTAATGGAGAAAAAGACTGCAAAAGCAAAACATTGCTTACGAAACCATTTTCTCGCCATTTTCCCAGCAACCAAACAAGCAGCCGCCTAAGCTAACGCCCTAAGGATTCCAATCGATCGGCTGAGCTAATAAAAATAAAAAAAACCATACAAAGAAACAAGAAATGGGGACAGGGGAATATTGATCGATGAATTAATAAATAAATAAACTTACCGCTTTCCGAAACGAGATTGGATAGAAACCCGGCGGGAGAGCTCCTCTGCCGGAGCAACGACGACGACGACGGCGACGCCCCGCGAGCTATGGCGTTCAACGCGTCGGATCTCTTCAGCTGCTCACCACCGCCACCGCCTGATTTGTGCTCGCCGGACTCGGAGGTGAGCTGCGACGACGAGAACGACTCGCCGCCGCCGGAGAAGTACTTGTGGTTGTGGTTGCCGGTGTTTGCGGCGTAGAACTGACGGCCCTCCTCGGCGGAGCCGATGACCGAGTCGACGGCCTTGGTGAGGAACGAGCCCGGGGCGGAGCAGTACCGGGTCAGCCCGCCCTGGAGCCCGCCCGGCTTCTGCTGCTGCGCCGCGTTGGAGGAGGAGGAGGTCGTCGACGACGACGGCGGCGGCGGATACATGGATCGGAGAAAAAGGGAAGGTTAGTTTTTTTTTTTTTGGAGAGGAGAAGAAAAGAAAGGAGGCGGTTTTGGGGTTTTGGATTGGGAGTATTGGCCAACAGGAATATTAGAAGAGGAGACGAGACGCTTTGTGGAAAAGTCTGAGGAAGTGCTGCTAACGTCACCGGCGGGTCGTTTCTTTATCTGTGGTTCTATTTCTGTCGTCGTGTGGGTGGGAAATTAGTGAGAATGGTCAGCTGAGTTATGATGTTTGTACGAAATGGTCACTTGATTATCGGTTTTTTTTTGAAATACCACGTGAAGGCTTAGCTTTAGGTTTTGGCGAAGAGAGTGAAATGAAATGAAAAAGTTTTTGCGCGGTCGTGTTACCGTGTCGTTTCGGTCTCGTTATTCTCGTTGCTGAATCATCTAGTGTCCTCTCGTGCCCTCCTCATGCTGCTGTTTAAGGGTGTTGAGATGAGATGAGATGAGGTAAATGATGAGAGTAGAAGGGGGAATGAGTGTTTTACGCCCTTATTGTATTTCTCTATGATCATCTGATTCGATCTATAGTTTTACGCTCTGGATGGACATTTATGTTGACCAAGTGTTAATATGTCGAGTCATTTGCTTGAGTACAGATATAACGCATTCTTCAAATGACCTAAAACTCTAATCCAACTTGAAAAAGGAAAACGTTACTCACCCGTAACAGAGTATCTATCTTGAACTCATAACAACATCAACTTTGTCATTAGTTCAGTAGGCCGTAGGGTGGTGGATAGAGGTGGGTGGAACTTGGAAAAGCATATCTTGTCATAATTTGGATCAAACTGAACTCTTGGATACAAGGTTGTCAACACGCGAGTTGACCCGTACCCGATCAAACTAGTGGGTCAAGAGTTAACGGGTCACCCGTTTTAGCCCGCTTCAGCCGAAAATATGAAAAGAGTAATTATATTGTACTTATTCTGATAAATTATATCAAATCTCATCTAACATATGAGTAATAACATATAACATTACACCAAAGTAACATGTCGTACGTAGATCCAGCATATAGCGAAAATTCACACACACTTATATAACATCAATATTCAAATGTTCGACTAAGGATTCTAAAGATTGAGTTAGGCGAAAAGAAAATTTGGAAAATAGGAGCATTTCGCAAACCAAAGAAAAAAATGACACAATTTGACCTTCAACCCGATACCTTGTAGCGGTCGACCCTGCGAGTGCGTGCTGCCCGTTTTTCTTATCGGGTCAAGGTTAAAGCGCGGGTCGACCCGCGGGTTGACAACTTTGCTTGAATATGTATTAAAGAAACACTAACTTTTGGGACCATTTCTTGTAAACTTTATTGTTTAATGACTGTTTTGAAAAAAATTGTTGTGATCTATGTGTCAGAGAGGGCCAAGCCACTTGCATATAGAAAATTTTAGCTGGAAAAAAAGCATGTGGCCCATCCCCACAAGTTGCATCCTAGAAGTAGAATATATTTTCCCCCTCCTGTCTGTCTGTCTATCACATCCTGCTTTCTTCAGTTTTCATGCTTGTGTTGTGCCATTTCATCTTTTCCTTTCTTTAATTTAAAAAAAAAAATCTCAGGTTGCTCTTATTTACCTTTCCAAAGCCATCGGATGTTGTTCATGGTATTCTGTTTTAGGTAATGTTATCGTTTAGAATCTATCGGCCACTTCATGATACAGTTGCGATCCTGTATATCGTAAGCGATAATTCGGATTTATTTGTTTTCTAAGAATATGATAGTTGATTGTGGCCGAATCCATACTGTATATCGTGTAACTCGTAAGTCATCAAACGCGCAACATCTTCCTTACTGCTTTGTAAATATCTTGCTTGACGAGGATTAGGTAGGTGTGCTTTCTAAAATAATATTGATGATTTATGTTAATCTAGTAGTAGTCCCCAAGCAAAGAAGGAAGAGGATATACAATAGCAGGCATTATTAGGGTCTTTAAGAGGGCCGAAATTTCAAGACTTGGACGGGCTGCGTCCTTTGATGGGCTACTGGGCTTGGGCTTCTTAAAAGGAAAACTGATTAGCCCAGAGACTTGGTAGTTAATGATAAATTGATAATTGCATAAGTAATGACAATTAAATAAGAAGGGTTGATTTTATAATATAAAAAAAGAGGTTGATGACTTGATGATGATTTTGGAAACTTCTTCAAACTCTATGTAAGAATACGTTGTTACTATTGAATTTTTTTTTCTGGTTTACGTAATGTCATTTTACAACTATTATACAAAATATAAAATCTATTACATTTAATAACATAGTACAAGTGTAAAAAAAAAAATACAAGCCAATATTTACTTTTTCCCCATATAATGGTGATATATGTTTTACTTTTTATGATTAGATACTAATTAATTAAGAATTTGAACTTAGAACCTCCAGATTTCAAGACTAATGTTATTACTACTAAACCAACCATTGTTCGTATTTACAATAGTAACTTCAAAGGCCTAATAAGTAATAAGAGATCCCTAGATAACTAGTTCATTGGCCTAATATAGAGCTAGATCGATTAATTGGAATCCCGACTTCTATCAATCAAACAATTCTTCCCATGGCTTTCTCTTGTTTCGATCGTGGGATTTGCTGTCATATATCATGGAACGTTCTTTTCTTTTATGTTTTTGGATTACTTTTACCGGCGTGATTCGGATGAAGAGAGATGCTGCTGATCAACTACGCCTGCATTGAATTACAAGGTCGGCTTAATTATGTTAAAATGGAATTCATATCGCACCTTTTGTCCCACATTATATATGAGAGAGATGCCCTAAATGTTGCTGTACTCTTGGTTTACTATAAATATACATGCAAAGCAGCAGCAGTTGCTCAACACACATCTACACACCTAACCAAACTTCCAAAAAGATACCTCAAAAAGAGAGTAAGAAAGAGGCAGAGCATATAGCCATGGCGATTCCAGCGACCGGTACCATTGCTAAGTTGGCCTTCGTCTTGCTTCTCATCCTTCCTCGTTTCGATTCGAGAGCAGTTAGTCCGCATCTGGAGAATCTCAACGACAACGTCAGGTATATACTTTATCACGACGATGACGGTATATAGTTTTATCTAGCACGATGATAAATGTTTGTGATTTATCTACGTCTCTCTGAATATATTTTTTTTTTCTCGATTAATCCCATCAATCAATCACATAGTTTTTCATTAATCGATCATTTGCAGCAACCACCAGAACTCGGCCTCCCAGACGAAGCCTAAAAGTGGAACAGGCGTAGTGATCATGATATCTCAAGCATCCAACAACAATACTGCTTCGATACAGGACGATTGCGATCACTACTGCAACGATCGTGAATGTAACATATATTACCCATATTTGTGCAATGGTCAGGATCCTAATAACTGCCACGTGGGCTGCTACTGTGCCGAGTATCCACATACTTGTTATTGCTTGTGCAGTTCGTAATTAAGTACATTTTATCTAATTGAAAGGGATCAGATCCATCGAGCTACATGCTTTCTTCCGGTCGGTAAGCCGATCGACACCCTAATCGCCGGCGGGTGGACGTTTCTTTCTCCATGCTTTCATTCCATGTTTTGTAATAATTATTCCGGTTGGGGTTTCTATGTTCTTTAATTTCCGCCGGGCAGTTTTGCTGCCTAGCGATGAGTACTTGAGACTACTTTGTATGAGTTTTAATTTTTTTTTTTCATAAATGATAAAATAAGGATCGATCTTCATGAAATAATTTTTATACATTATGTGTTCCACTTTGAAGTTTCCTTTTTGGACTCAAACTTGGTCGTGTCGTGTCGATGATAGAGGTCGGTCTCTCTATTATTTGTTGAGTATACTAAAAAAAATTAACGGAGAAAAAGAAATATCCATAACTAGTTCAGAAATGATTACAAATTAACTAGATTACTTGAACAATTGAAAAAAATACAGAATGTGCCGGAGGGATTGAGAAGTATATATATAACACTTTTTTAAATGTGTTAATTCTCATCTAATAAAGAATAAGATTACAAACCAGATTTAGAAAAGAAATTCAGACGCGCGTGTATAATTCAATCTGATAATTAAAGACTTGATCAGATTTCGAACAAAGAATAAAGAATAAGATTACAAACCAGATTTCGAAAAAAATTGCTCAAATAATTACGAAAATGACATCCCAAAATATATTGGCCCAATTCGTTGCTTAATTGACTTGATCATCGGTGCAGAATAGGATCAATAGACTTTATTATCGGTGGAGAATAGCCTCGAGCCGAATTCATGATATGTAGCCTCAAAATCGATAGAAAATGGAATTTCGGAAAAATCGCCCGAAATCTGTGATGGTACCCCTTTGGAGTCTGCGAAAAATGGACCCTGAAGAAATCCGCCCAAATTGGCCCTGGATGGACTTAATCGTCGTTATAGAATAGCCTCAGGCCGAATCCACCATCTTTATCCTTCAAAATCCAAGGAAAATGGCCTTTCGAAAAAAATTGCTCAAATAATTACGAAAATGACATGCCAAAATATATTGGCCCAATTTGTTGCTTAATTGACTTAATCATCGGTGCAAAATAGGATCAATAGACTTTATTATCGGTGGAGAATAGCCTCGAGCCGAATCCGTGATCTGTAGCCTCAAAATCGAAAGAAAATGGCATTTCGGAAAATTCGCCCGAAATCTGTGATGGTACCCCTTTGGAGTCCGCCAAAAATGGACCCGGAAGAAATCCGCCCAAATTGGCCCTGGATGGACTTAATCGTCATTATAGAATAGCCTCAGACCGAATCCACCATCTTTATCCTTCAAATCCAAGGAAAATGGCATTTCGAAAAAAATTGCTCAAATAATAACGAAAATGACATCCCAAAATATATTGGATCAATTCGTTGCTTAATTGACTTAATCATCGGTGCAGAATAAGATCAATAGACTTTATTATCGGTGGAGAATAGCCTCGAGCCGAATCCGTGATCTGTAGCCTCAAAATCGATAGAAAATGGCATTTCGGAAAAATCGCACGAAATCTGTGATGGTACCCCTTTGGAGTTCGCCAAAAATGGACCCGGAAGAAATCCGCCCAAATTGGCCCTGGATGGACTTAATCGTCGTTATAGAATAGCCTCAGGCCGAATCCACCATCTTTATCCTTCAAAATC